CTTTGATTATGAGCGCCTCGACTAGTGTTCCCTCCGCCAACGTCGTTATCGGACGACTGATAATAGCGGTGTTTAAATCGGCAGTCTTCGGCACCGTGACCATTGGTGACAATCTGTGGGCGCCTTTCCGTCGTTTTTGGGGTCAGACGTGTAATTCCACGATGCTCGAAGCAAAATTCCACCGATTGCCTTCATATTTTACGGGTATATACTGTCTAAAATCCAGATTAAGTGTGCCAAGATTGAGATTCATGGGGGGAGATGCGATGGAGATATGCACAAAATACATTCTGGGCCGTCGCTTCTGGGGTCACACTAGTATACTCCTGGAGTAGTGAATGCAATCCCCCCACACGGCAGGCACTGGCCAAATTCTCGTGCCAAGAAAGACGAGAGAAACTTCGGGACAGTCTTGACTTCGCCCGGAAACATAACATCTATACCACATCACACAAAAAATTGACTTTCTCTACACCTTTCTGAGAATTGAACCCAAGAGAAAATTACACCTTTCCCGCACGCTCGCCCCGTCAGAGAAAATGTCCGGGAAAGGTCAGCTTTCACAGACTGAGCACCAGAAAACCTTTGTGAAAGCTGACGATTAAGCCGCTTTCTCCACTCTAGCGAGTGGCACTCCAATGCTGTTCTGTTGTATGAGAAGAAACATGTGGTAGCTTTCTGTGAAAGTCATCCTATACTTGTGGGACAGATGGAGGGGATATCAGCTGTTCAACTTAGGACTGTCCCGGAAAATCTCTTACATTTCACAGGGTTGGGTTACGTGCGCTGCCTGTCGTGCCAGCGCAATGCGACGCAAGCCCATATTAGGTAGAAAAATCTTATGTAAGGCGCTTAGCTCAAGAACATCCAGGACCCGCCATTCGTGCTCCCTCCCCTCCCTCGCTGCGCTCGGGGGGTCCCCCAAGCCGGGAGCACTCAGACGGGCACACTGAAGCCTTGTTCGCGCGAAAAAAAAAGACCGGCGACCCCTTGTGGGGGTCAGAAGAAAGACAAGTGGCTAACCCTAACCTCTAACCCAAACCCTAACTCCCAACCCGAACCCCAACGCGCGGGATTCGAACTCTCGCACGGAAAAACAACAACAACCATCGTTACCACTGCACCAGCAACTTCTGAATTTAGACATAGGTGCGCCAGTATGACACCGTCTTGGACACACTTACCATACAAGGCAGGTTAGATCAAGCGCCAGCGTCGCATCGCGCTGGGGGGATTGCATTTACTATATAAGTACTCCTCCCGCCAGCGTCGACATGGCACTCCTTACCTGCCTTCGGTCTGGCCGTCTAAGCCTGTTCTCAAGCAGACAAATCATGTCATCAACTGAAATGAATACGGAGTCTGTCTCCCATCAGTGGTGACTGCCAGTGTGCGAATAATGCTCGCACTTGCAGGTGCATCGGCTGACACCTTACGTCGTAACCTTAGCTTATACTTCTAATAAGTAACCAGATGCCCATCAAAGCAGCGTGATTTTCCGTCTACATGCCACTGACGAAAAATCACATGGATTGCGAGTATGCGATCCAAGGAGACGATCGTAAAGTTCGAATCACCACTTGCCTCGTACACGCTAACGCACGTCACCTAGATTCATCTTCACGCGGCTGGCATCCCAACCTCCGTGAAGGTCAGTCCGGCATCACAAATGTCAGCCAGCTCTGCCAGTGGTTCAAGAACCGCACTGCGCCGCAACCCCTCCTCAACTCCCAACCACCATCTTCTCCGCACCTCCGTGGATTATCCTCATCATCTCGACTTCATATGGATGTCGTCCCTTGATCCCGTCGACCAAAACGCTGGGCGCTATCCTCGCCTACTACTCATCCCACTATCGGCAAGCAGCGTTGTCCGGTCACCAGGACAACAGGTTGCTTCTGCTCCACGCCCGACTCGACGACATCGCTGCTTCCGCGCAGTCCATGGGCCGAGGATCTCATAAGTGACGGTCGAGAATGTCGACTCAGTGAGCATTGGTTCATCGCCTTGTCCTTCTTTCTCGTCCTGACTCCCTTGACGATTCAAAGGCAGTTCTCCCAATCGCCCACCACTCGCGGCAAATTAAGCAGGCGCCGACCAAATCGTCCTCCATGGTCCCTGGCGTATCTCCTCTAGAGCTTCCGGTGCCGCGGAGTCTTGGGGTTGTATGTCAGGTGGGGCTGACAGACTCGGGTGGTGGCTCCCCCTTGTCTCGTCAGCCCCTTCGACCTACGAAGACGATGGCGACCGCTTCTTCCCCTTCTCTCCCTAGGAACACTCAGTAAGCCTACGGTCTGCATACTTGTGAGAAGTCCTCTGAGTATCTGAGACTCTGTTGTACAGTTTCCCTGGTCGTGGACGCTCCTCGAGTCCATCCTTCGAGGCGCCATCTCGCGACCCTGCGGCTGCTGCGCCAAGGTTCCTGTTGGAAACTTGTGACAGGGATATTGGGGATATGCACGGAACGAGTTGTCCTGGGTCCAGAACCATCGGATACGAGTCCTTGCACTGTTGCACTCCAAAATACACATTACATCCTCAGACCTATCGCCGGTTTGTGCGCCTGCGAGAGTGAGGATTGGAGCGTTCACCAGTCTAGACGAGCCTCGGCCGGGCAAGGAATTCAGGTGCAGCCGATCTACCACACCTGCCTGCCGTCGAAGGCAGCGATCACAAGTATCCTCTGCTAATGCCAGGAGAAATCATACGCTTACCGACGAGTAGAACAGCTTGAGAACGAGCATATGTCGCAAGGACTGGGCGGAAGCGGTTTGAGTACAGTCTGCCGTCTCTTGGATCTGAGGCATGTACTCCTCGGTCCCGTGCTACACGTGCAGGGCGATATTGGTATTGCGCGCTATAGCAGACAGCCTGCATTCCATCACCGCTCCGTCATGATCTGGCGCGAATGCGCTCCACTCTACTCGACCATCGAAACATATTGTGGGTGAAGTGGGCGCCCTAAAACGGCATGACAGTGCGCTCTGTTCGTCCGGTCGTCGGTGGAGGGACCTCAAAAGTCTGTTCCCTTCCTCCGGCGGGTCGCCAGCGCCCTCGGACATATGCAGCCAGTCACCAGTGTCTCGAGAATACGCTCCACAGGATGACCAATTGCCTATGTGAGCGCATACAGGAAGCTTTTGTGGACCCTAATTCAAATCAATATGAGCCCTAAATACTGACGCCTGATCGACTAGCAACGGGGCGTCTTGATCATAGGGCGAATGACAAACGCTTGGAATTACCCTGCGTCAGGATCCGAGGAGGTATGTACAGATCCTACTGCGCCTTCGTGACTCCCACAGCGCTCCCGGGCAGATACAGGACAAATCGACCTAGAACGCCACGCGACGTTCCGTGATGGCTCGGACGTTTGCTTCGAGTAAGCCACATTTTTTGTGCGAAATCGTATGAATGATGCGCTTGCATGTGTAGCCTGCGTTCAGGACATTTGTGAGCTAAGGCTCGTGTCGTTTAGCATGTTGAAATCCGCACCATCGTAGGTATTCAGTAACTAGTCAAGCATCTGGATCTACGCAGACGATCCACCTCGGGCCGATCTGCTCGTGCAAGCGCTGGTCCACGGTAGCACTGCCACCGCTGTTTGCAAGCTCGCTCCGCCTGACCAGCTTCTATCAGACAGACCAAATACGTGTTTCATTCCAAATAGTACGAAGTCGTGCCCAACCCCAGTTTCCACTGAATACCGCGGCTCTGTTCTGATTTACCTTGACGCCACTAGCTAATCAATGCCACTCGGGCGTGACAGTGCATTTGGTGAAGGTGCGCCCGCCTTCTGCTGGATTTAGCACGCTTGTGCGCTGAATGACATAGGCCGTGCTGAACCTTGTTGGCCCCCCCCCCAAAGATCCTCACATGCGCTCGCGCTACCTCTTGTCGCACGTGCCAATGCCGGTCTAACCCTGCGCGCGATGCCCACCATTGCCCCCACTCTACGCACAATGGGCCAGGAAAGCTGAGGTCTCTCAGAAACACCGCCACGTAATCAGAAGCACTATGGCTGAGTGTAAGCGCAGAGACACTCTACTAGGAGACATGGCGAGCCGCTGGTTACAGATGGGCGACATTTGGTCAGTGGCTAAGGCCATCCAAGCGACACGCTCTTCGGACGCGTCGTTTGCTGATCTCCACCTTCGCCACGGACCGAAGTTTCTCAACGGACAGTAGCAGTGCACGGCGCTGCGCTCGGGTGGGGCCCAGGAGCTTCATGCAAGGTGGACCGAGTTTGCTTAGCATTCTGCCGTGTCGTATTTCCTTTGTGTCTTATTCTTCTACGGTTTCATGTCTCAATCCAGGGTGTTCACAGGGCACTCGATGGAGTAACTGATATTGGCATAGTCCTGCATAGCGGCCCCGTGGTCCGGGAAGAAGAGCGCAGAGAACTGGGCCTGTATAAATGAGGATGCGGTCGAAGCCTTCATCTCCAGGCCAAACACCTACTCCTTCACCGCACTCTCCAGCACAACCACACAGCACCGCACCATCGCAGACATGAAGTTCACCATCGCTACCCTCGTCCTCGCCGCCATGCTCCCCGCCGCGTTCGCGGAAAACTGCCAGAACACCGGCGGCGTCGCCAACGGCGAGTGTGTCAAGTACTACTCCAACGACCAGTGCAAGGGCGACGTGATCGGCAGCTACAAGCCGACCTGCGAGGGCAACTGCTTCCAGGCCGACTTCAGCAGCGTGTTCGTCTCGGGCGACGGCACGTTCGGCACGGACTGCACCCTCTACTCGGACGCCAACTGCAGCGTTGAGCAGACCGTAGGCGTTGCATTCCGTGATGTCTTGGCTTTCCGGCTTTGTGGGCTGACGATCGGTGGTTGTTAGGATTCCGGAAACGTTGTTGTTGGAGCTGGCAAATGCGCTAGCGCTCCCAACGCCAAGAGCATGAAGTGTTTCTACCGCTGCTGAACGCCAGATGCTCAGCCAACGAAAGGTGCGTCCTTTCGACTTCCAGCATCTGTGATCTTTGCTGTATTCATGAGACCTCGTTTCCATGGACAGTCTCTTTGTCGCAGGCACGCCTTTCTATCGACAGAATGCGCAATGGTCACTCTACGTGACCGCGTTGGAGGCTCCCGATGTCCAATCAAGGCTCTGCCCGCGACCTAGTTCTTCTCTGATGTACTACCATTGTCGACCGTTGGTAAATGCAGTTTTGACCTTCCCCATATCTCAGCATGAGTTGTGACTCGATCTTACTTACAATTCTGATCCTCATCCTGAGTGACCTAGTGTTTTCGAAAAGCGAAGCACCCGAACAGAGGCCGCAACGCGCTCGGAAGTGAACCGCCTGCCAGAATGCATTCCTTGTACAAAGACCGTCAACAGCTGATAGGGTTGCGGTTTCTCGGAAGCTCGCGCCTTGTTGTATGGCGACGAAACGTCGCGATAACTTCCACTTGCACCAGCAGTCCTCAGATGTATTGCTTATAGCTTGACATCAATTATTTGAATCCGCAATGGACTGACACGACCTCGCACGTGGATAAATGAGCTGAAGGACTCCGGCTCTGAATGGCAAGCCACAAGACAAACATCTGCGATGGATGATATTATAAGTCCTGGATGAGATGCATGTACCTGGGCTGCTAACAAAGGGAGGGTCATTGACCTCGCCGTCTTCTCGAGACGATCCGGCGAGCGGTGAATATGGGAACTGGCCGCGTGATGCGTATGGCACAAGCCCCCCTGCTGGGTCTTCGTGGGAAAGAAATACACTCTTACTCTTGGCTACGTGCTCTGACAGGCTTTCTGAACAGCGTCATGTGCCATAGGAGCGTTGTGCGTGGAGATGTACTTACAAACTGGAAGAACTTCCCTTCAACTTTACGCCCAGAACAAAGAAGCCTCAGCTCCGGTGACTCGCTTCCCCGGATAGCCGGTCACACCTGCGGGCGCTTGGATGATGAACATCCTGTGGGTCTTGGCATCTGCTTCGGAAACTTTGAGCTTGCAAGGTTTTGCCATGTCGTCTTCGCGATCTCGGTCCTGTATGGTATTCTGATGCTCAGTGGAAGGTGTAATTTGATTGACAAGGACATCCAGATATTGAAATCATAACAGCTCGATACGCTCAGCAATTTACATGCATTCTATAACAGTCGCTGGCAGGTTGGGTTGTTCAATCTGCACTAGTGATAACTAGGCAGGCCATGAGTGGTCCCTTAGGGCAGGTGCAGAATGCGTCCGTATCGATGACACGCTTTTCTCAAGGACATGTTTCGAGAATGTACTTACTGCACAGCGATTGCGATCGACACGCGATTCTCGAGAAGAGACCGGCGAATAGGACAAAATATGCCGGCCGGGTTGAGCGATCGTGTATCCCAGGGCTGAATAAGCCTAATAGGAAGCAGGTTTCCCGATCTGTATATGACATATGCATTGCCACGGGCGAAATGTATAAGATGGGGGCCATGACCGGTGTCAACACTTGTCATCACATTCTCTTCGGCCTTCGCACCCTTTGTCTACTCGCTGCAATACATCAACATGGCCCCTGTTAAGAACGGTCGTTATCTTTTCAACGAGATCCCTACAGGTACGTTCTGCTCGGTGCGACCGGTGCGAAGACCCTTGGTGGAATGCTTATAGCGGACATTGCGTCATAGGTTACCCCGTCCCAGGCAAGACCACGATATACGATGAATCCGAGACAATTGACCTGGACAATGTCCCTCTGAATGGCGGCGTCCTCGTCAAGATCCTTGTCCTCTCCATCGATCCGTACATGCGCGGAAGGATGCGGAGCCCTGAGAACAAAAGCTATGTTGTGAGTTTCCATGGTCAGCCGAGTACGCATTCTGAGCGCTTACATGATGTGCCGTTCAAGGAACCCTTCAAGCTAGGGGAACCGTGAGTAGCATGCATTTAGACCACATATATATCCTCTATTGACGCTTTCTTCCCATCTTTCTGCCCATCAGCTTGGCGAACTCTGGTGTTGGTGTCGTTCTTCGCTCTGAGGCTCCAAATGTGAAGCCAGGCGACCATCTCTATGGATTCTACCGTACGTCTCAATCAAATCCTGTCTTGCATGGTGCGTAATAGCAGCAAAATCTTCATAGGGTTCCAACAATATGATGTCATCACCGACGTGAAGAGTTTCCGTGTGCTCGAGAACAAGGAGGGCCTGCCATGGTCGGTCTACCTCGGCGTCGCCGGTATGCCTGGTAAGTTCTCGAAACGCCTCAGATTGACTTGCAATCGTACTGATCATGGTGCAGGAGAGACTGCGTGGTATGCTTGGCAAGAGTATGCTGAAGCTAAGAAGGTGCTCCGCACACTTCTTCTCCTACCGCTAGTGAGCTAACGTTTTGATCTCAGGGGGACACTGTGTTTGTCACTACAGGCGCAGGTATGTCGTACCGAAGGCAATGCTCGCTTTAAATATGCTGACCATGACTGGACGGTGCAGGTGTTGTCGGAGCGTAAGCAGCGAGGTTACCATGTTGATCGCATACAGTCTTATCTGAAGTGGCTTGTAGCACCGTCATCCAGATTGCCAAGGCCGCAGGCCTCAAGGTAATCGGCTCCGCAGGATCCGACGAGAAGGTTGAGTTCATGAAGACCATCGGCGCCGATGTCGTCTTCAACTACAAGACGACCAAGGCGAGCGACGTCCTCGAGAAGGAGGGCCCGATCAACATGTGCGTCGCGCACAACCTCCATGCCGTCAGCCATTCAACTGACCCGCGTTTGCTCGCTATGCAGCTACTGGGATAATGTCGGCGGAGAGCAGTTGGAAGCCGCAATCGAGTACGCTGCCCCCGGCGCCCGCTTCATCGTGAGTCTTCGTTCCGCATCAGCCTCACTTGAACTCGGTCCACCCGCGGCTGACATTTCTGCCTGGCCCGGTGCAACAGGAATGCGGCATGATCTCGGGATACAACACGACCGATCATTACCACGTCAAGAACCTCTTCAAGATCGTCACAAAACAGCTGCACTTCCACGGCTTCATCGTCGGCTTCCTCCGGCACAAGTACGTCGACGAGTTCTATTCGTCCTTCGTGGGCCGTGTCGCCAGGGGCGAGATCAAGTACAAGGAGCACAAGCTGTACGGGCTCGACAAGGCGGGAGAGGGCATACTTGACGTGCAGAGCGGGAAGAATTTCGGCAAGTGCGTAATTGTCGTTGCGGAGGAGTAAGTTCGTACTTGTATAATAAGTGGTGGTGATATGTACGATTGGGATGGCAACGCAGTGTTTATGACCCGCATAGCCGGTTGGAGACCTGTCAATCCCGAACGCGCTTGTAAAAGGGTAGTGCCCGCACGCCGAACGACGTCCCGAATGCTCGTGCACGAGCCTCTATTGTCAGGTGCGGCAGTCAGTGGTGGCCCGCATTTGTCTCCTCGCAGAGAAGGAAGATTTTTCGACATCGTGATGAAGTTCAGTCTACTGGGGAAATGGGACGGGAACGCCCAGGCTTCAAGCGAATAGTGCAGTATCCTGAACCTCGGTCAGCGCGGTTATGCGGTCATGGTTGAAATCTCCAGCGTAGTGGATATTGATTTGGACCGACACACCACAACATACTATCAGAGCCGACTGTTCCACAGAACAAGCGGTGCTAGTTCGTCGGGCCTTGAACAAATACTGGCCCGATGGGTCTGCGGCAGTTTGAGGACTCCCGCCCACCCCAAACGTGTAGATGCGCCCTCCCTGAGAGGTATAAAAGGCCAACGCATCTCAATCCAAAATCCCCCACATATCACAAGTCCTTCCGTCTGACTGGTCAGGCAGAACATCCCACCATTACACCGCATCAGTAGTCGAGACCACACTCTCAACCTCACCAACACCTCTGTACCACCCCACCTACTCATCGCCGCTGCGATCACCACCAGCACACACACACCTCCATGCCAGGCCTCATCCAGCGTCACAACGCCGTCGCGGAGTACTCCGCACTCATCACCACCAACCCAACCACCACACAACGCCGCCGCGTCCGCAAACACGAACACGAGGGCGGCGAGTCCGCGCCACCCCGCCTCACCCGCGTAGCCATCCGCGAAGAGGCGTCGGACTGGTACGACGCGGTCGCCCCCCCGCTCGAGGACCTGCAGGCGGTCATCCGCCGCATGCAAGCGGACCCGGAGCTCAGCCAGGACCGCCTGTTCTCGTACCTCTGGCCCGTGGTCGTCCTCGCCACCGTCTTCGCCGTCGCGGTGATCGCTGTGCAGGAAGGCTCGTACGTCCACCGCATCCTTGACTCCCCGGAGAACTACTGGCTGGAGCTCGGCCGCTTCGCGGCACTCGCCGTGGGCGGCGTCGTCGTTGGAGTCCTTTCATTGAAGTGTATCATCTACGGCTTTGCTGAGCTGTGCGCCGTCGTCGCGTCTTTGGAAACCAGTAGCGAGGATATGGAGAAGGAGGAGAAGGGTGTGCCGACTAGAGGTTTAGTGTTGGGTGGGATGTTCATGTAACACCGGGCTCAACATGGATTTAAATCAGCGTATATACTCCACACACAGATGCGAGCATGAATTGCCGGAAGACTCCGACGCCCTCGCGAATTTTCTCCTTCACTTCCTCGAACGGAGCTCCTCAAGGTAATGATGCGCGCGCCCGAGCATCCAGATAGTGAACTCGAACTTGAAGTTCGGGTACGATATCGCGACATTCTTGTTGAACACGCCCTCGATCGCCTCTTGCGGCCACGAGCCGTCCTGTGCCATCCTCGCCGTCAACACCCGCTTTCCCTCTGAATCCGAAAACATAGTCCCACCCACCGGCCGCTGTCGAGACATGACGAGCTTGACCGCGCGCTCGATCGGCTCCGGGTGCGGGTACTTCGCGTACATGAGCGCCATCGCCGCCCAGCACGTCTGCACGACCTGCGTGTCCTTGTGCTCCACCCACTCGAGCGACTCGCACGACTGTTCCCGTCCCCGTCCCCGTCCCCGTCCGTCAGCTTTAGCCATCACGCCTCAGCCCGCGCACCAGACGCACCTTGTAGCTTTCGCCCCACCCGCCGTCCGCGCGCTGCTTGCCGACGAGGAAGTCGCACGCCCTGCGCGCGTGCGCGCTGCTCGCGTACGTCTCCCCTACGAGCGCGAGGCTCTCGAGCGCGAACTGCGTCGCGTACGTGAAGCAGATGCCCCACGAGCCGAACCAGCCGCCCTCGGGGCGCTGCGCCCGGTGCAGATAGTCGACCGCCTTCGCGATCGTGCGCGCGATGTCCGCCGCGCGGTAGTGCGGGTAGTGCTTCCGGAAGATCGCGAGCGCGGTGATGACGGACGTCGTGCACTCTGGGTAGTTGAACTCGGTCATGATGTTCCCTGCGGCGCGAGGATGAGTATACGTATGCGCGAGCGGGGAACGGAGCGGGGTCGACCCACCGAAGACCTCCGCGGGGTTGAGGTACTCCATCCACAGCGGCGCGCGGATGACCTCGTAGCTCGCGAAGCCGCCGTCGGCGTTCTGCAGGCTGAGCATGACGTCCACCGCGTCGCACAGCCTCCTCTCGGAGACCAGCTTCGGCGCGTCCCTAGCAGAAAGCAGACCGATGCGTCAGCGTCAGCGCCCACTCATCCCATCTCCCCCCCCCAGCCGAACCACCTCGCACTCACTTGACGTGCTCCTGGATGTACAGCACCGCCTTGAGCCCCTCGCCCGTACAGTCGCTCACCGTGTACCCCTGCGTCTTCGTGCTGAACGGCCACGCGCCCTTCGTCTGGTGCCTGTACGCCGTCCGCCAGTGCCTCGGGTTCTCCCTGATCTGGCACCGGTCCAGCCACCCCAGCACGCCCAGCACGCTCGCCCTGAACTCGTCCTCGAGACCCAAGCCCGTCTCCACGAGCGCCTGCCCCGCGAAACCCGCGTCCCACAGCTGCGAGCCGTTCGTGCCGCACATCATCATGCCCTCCGCGCATATCCACATGAAGTCGCGGCAGCGCGCGAAGTGCCTTTGTGCGGCGGCGGAATCGCGCCCTTCCGCGTGCACGCGCACGATCTGGTTCATCATCTTGTTCACCGGCCCGAGGTCCTGGCAGTCCGTGTTCTCGTCCTCGAGCACAACGAGCTCGTGGCAGCGCGCGATCGCCGCGCGCCGCACGGGCGCCAGCGCGCACGCCTCGTACGTGCCCAGGAGCCCGTAAAGCCCCTCGAGCAGCGTCGAGTGCGGGGTGTAGAGGTCGATGGCGGCGACGTTGCTCCGCTGCGCGGGCCAGTCGATCGAGCGGTAGGGCGTCGTGTAGAGTTCCTGTGGGCGCGAGTTCGGCTCTTGGGAGAGGAGCTATGGGGGACAGGACGTGCGTACCTCGCGGAGATCCAGGACGAGCTCGGTCTCTTCCATCTTGAAGCGCACGCCGTACAGGTAGCCCATGGGGATGTAGACGTTGCGCGTGTGGATCCACCATCTGTGCGGGTGGATGGGCACCCAATCCGGCAGCAGCCTTGTCCCCGCGTCAGCGGCAGGTGTCGTCAGCATATATAGAAACAGAACTCACCAGAGCTCAGATGGGATGGGGTGGTTACCCTCCCAGTCGTATACGTTCAGGATCGAGAGCCAGAACTTGCCCCAGGACGGCGCGCCGACCGCGCCGCCGAGTTTGTGCAGACATGCGCGCGCCTTCACGGCGACGGGATGGTCGGGCTTCAGGCCGAGGATACGAGCCGCGCAGTAGTTCAGGGCCGTCCCGAACACCGTACTTGGGCCTTCGATGTGGCTGCGTAAGGTGCATCAGCTGCGTAGTCGTGGCAGAATAAAGATCGAAAGGACGCATAAAGAGACATGCTGAACCGTTGCGCAAGAGCAGAGGCGTGTACCACTCCGCGCATGACAGCCACTGAGATGGACGCCTTACTAGCGTGCGCTCAAGCATCAAATTTAAAGTCCTGCTCGCGAAAGAAATGGAGAGCGCGAGTTACCGCGATACTGTCTGCACAGACACGGCAGGGAATCGGATGTTTTCGATAGGAGAAAAGTCGATGAAATGGGGACGCAAAAGGCAACCGCTCGTCGTCTTTCAAAGACTTTTATCCAGATGTGCTACACATTTACGGATAGTTTACCTCGCGCCTCCCCTTTTCAGAGACTTTTCTCCAGCTGGAAACATCCGAATCCCTGCCGTGAGACAGCAGAGTCGGGCGTCGGGCGAAAGTGCGACCACGTTCACGACAAACCCCGTTCACAGCGCGCAGTCGGCGAACGTGTCTGATGGATGACGCGTAGCATTCTGCAGAAGGGACGGCGGGGACATGAAAGAGAAAGAGAGACCACTCACATGCCCCAACCGCCATCCTCGTTCGCATGGTTGAACAAATAGCGGATCATCTCCAGCCGCTCCTCCAGCTCGAAGCCCTGCCCACACACGTAGTTGCCGATGACCAGCCCGGGGATCAAGAACATGGGCCCACCATACTCGCCCGCCCAGTGTCCGTCCTCGCACTGGAGCTTCTGGAAGAAGCGGTAGCCGTTGCGCGCGGCCTCGAGGGCGTTGGTGGGCTTGGGGAGCGCGGGCAGGCCGACGTCCTGGCCGAGCCAGTACTTGTCGTAGGTGGCCTGGGGCCAGGCGGCGAGGTCGTCGTCGGTGCGGAGGTAGTGCCAGGTGTGGTCGCCGTTGGGGGAGATGCGGAGGCGCCAGCGGGAGTAGTCGGTGAAGGGGAGCTTGCCTGAGGCGGGGAGGTCAAGCGGGGCGAACGCTGCCATGTGCTAGTAGTATAGGAGACGGGTTGGCTATCGCTCGGGGACGAAGGTAGCAGATTTGGAGGCAGCGACAGAGGGTCAGCGAACAGTAGGCCAAGTCGAGAAAGTCGAGCGAGGAAGCGCGGTTAGAGGGCGGACGGAGGTCATCGTCGCAGCCAAGTGGGTCGCAGCCAAGTGGGACGACTCGTCGCATTTACTTACGCGGTCACGCACCCCACCCAACCAGACGCCCATCGCAGCAAAGAGGAAAATAAATATTGAGACCCGTAGGTCTACCACTCCGGGAAAGCGTGTCATCCTTGTGCAGGGGCCATGCTAATCTTCTCTGTATCGTTCCAATTTTTTCGTATGTCACCCCGAAGGGGACAGTACGAGAGATTGGGGAGGTCATCCGCCCATCATGTTTTTGCTATTTGCTCATTCCGCGGGTGGCAGTTACGACAGGCTCCCACTCGGCGCTTCGTTTATACATCTCATCATTGCGCAACCTATGTACTTACACCCCAATATTCAATCCTGGCTCCACGTCAAACTCAGAATGATTCACACGCAAGATACGTATATCCTTCCACCGCCATCAATTACAAAGAATCATGTATACAGATCATAGCGATGTCCCCTGCATCCTTCTACCAACGGGCAACCCGAGTCTCACACTCCCATCCTTTCACCTCGCCGAAGTCGTCGGCGAGAACATCCACTCATATGGGACCGTGCTCACCGGCGTCATCGTTGACGTCGGGGAAGGGTCTGTTGTCGTCGATGCTCCAGAATCCGTGCCACTGGTAGAAACTGAATCCGCGGTATCCTCAACGTACGGATTATAGACCTTCACCTCCAGAGCTGCAGGAGGTGTCGCGGTTGCAGTCAAGCCAGACCCAGACGTCGAAGAGACAGAACTCGCAGAATCAGAGGATGTCGCCGATGATGTGCTTGTGGCCTCTGCAGTGACAACCGACGAACTGCCGGTGTCAGTATCAGTCGCAGAAGCATCCGTAGTCGATGCAGAACTCAAAGGATCGGCCACTGATTCCGACGTCGGAGCGGATGTCGCCGAAGAGAATGTCGCCGAAACCGTCGCCAAGAGCGTATCCGAGCCCGAGTCAGTCGTGGCACTCGCAGACGAAGAATCCGTCCCTGAAGGTTGCACCGCGAGTTTCCCAACCGGCGAGTCGGGTAGAACCTCAGCTGCCATAGGTGAAAACATGAGAGTCACGTTCTGCGCACTCCCCAGTGCCTGAGCGCTGAGCGTCTTCGGGACCGGCATCGGGGAGTGAGTCGAATCGCCGAACTCGCCATCAACAGCCTCCTGCTCGAAGCTCGTCACGTCCGCCACCTTGTTTGAGACAGGTGTCGATGAGTCGTCCGTCGAAGACGCAGAAGGGCTCGAGCCAGCAGTGGAGCCGCTGGGGGATGGGGTGCTGTCGCTGGAGGTACCGTCATCCTCGCCCTGGTACCACATGGGACGGATGATGCCGGTAGCAGGTTCGTATGCGAAGGTCTGGCTCTTATGAGGGTCACTTGACGTAGCGTTCATGCAACTCTCTACCGTCATCGGGGCTGGAGCGGAGGGTCTCGGGTCGAACGTCGCACAGTAAGGCTTCATTTCCGCGCTGGCTGCCTCGAATATTGGCATCTGCAACAAGACCTTGACGAAGGAAGTGATGTCTGGGCCAGCCGTAACTGCGTCTGCAGAGAGGGTCGAAGGCGAAGGCGCCGCGGGAGTACCCGAAGTGGCACTATTGGCGGAAGTGTTGTTCGTAGAACTCGCCGGGACCATGTACATCTCCGTGCGGTCGGTATCTGACGCATTGAGCACAAAGGGCGAGTCACCAGAGCTAGCGTCGTCGCCAGAAGCCGCCAAGACGAGGGAAGCAACTCGTTGACCAACAGGGGAGTCGGCCACTTGGCTCTAAAGTATCCGGTAAGTACGATGCCGTGACATGAGTAGTGGACAACCTACCATGATATCGATCATCCCAGGGACACCTGCCATCCCTGTGTCGCGTCGTATGTTGACCCCAACACCAACGTTCGCATTAGCAAGTGGAATATCATCCGTTGAAGCTTTGTGCGCGATGAGGTAAGCCTTGCCACGGTTCCCGGGAATAACAATGGGTTGACGGTAGTCACGAGACCGCTTGCGATGGACGTCGACATGGTCATGGTCGCCCTTCACCACCACCTTGTCAGAATGATGACGGTGATGGGGCTCTGGCGCGGGAGCAGGCGAACGACCAAGGTGTACGTGCTGGTTGTTCCCTTTGATGATGGCCTTCTGGTGATGGCGACGGTGGAATGAACGACGGTGAACGTGGACCCTGTCGTGATCGCCTTTTACCACGACCTCCTCGGGATGGTTGTGGTGATGAGGTGAGCGGTGAATGCGAACGTGGTCGTCACTTCCTTTTACGATGACTTTATCTGGACGCTGGTGACGATGGCGAGGCGCAGGCGAGCGACGTAGATGAACATGGTCATTGTCCCCTTCGACCACCACTTCGTCTAGGTGGTGATGGTGGTGCGGAGACGGTTCGCGGCGCGCGTGAACGTGATCGTCACTGCCTTGTACGATGACTTTATCTGGACGACGATGACGATGATGAGGCACAGGCGAACGACGTAGGTGAACGTGGTCGTTGTCCCCTTCGACCACCACCTTGTCCGGGTGGTGACGATGGTGCGGCGACGGTTCGCGGCGCGCATGGACATGATCATTGTCTCCCTTGATTACCACTGTATCGGGGCTGTGGTGGTGATGATGCCGTGGAGAGGGCGAACGACGAACGTGGACTTGATCGATACTTCTTTCCACTACTACAGGGTTGTGATCGTTGGTGTGATCACGTCCGACGACCGAGCCGAAAGAGCGATCGTGTAAGTTGACGTGGTCGTCGTGTCCCTTCACTATGACCTTGTCGGGTCCGTGGTTATGGTGGTGATGGTGATGACGTTTATCAAGACGGGGTGGGAGGGTCTCAAGCTTGATGTCGCGCGCGGCTGCACCGCCGCCGACCCAGAGACTCCTCATGCGGGTCATGGGGTCGATGGAGTACGTCTCTCGCTGGAGTGAGTCCGAATGAGACAAGATCAAGGACATTACGAGAACTCGCCGTACCCTCTCGTTTGCACGGTCCTCCCGCGACCCTGAGTGGTGCTTCTGTCCAATCTTGCCACCCTTCTCGTGCAGCGACCCAGTAGCTTCCGCCTTTGCGTGGCTGACCAGAGGAGTGGGGAGCGGCAAAACCGGCTTGGTATGAGGCCGATCCTTTGTTCCCGAGCTGTCCGATTGTGAATTGTCCTTCGGTGTCTCCTTCGTACTGTTGGTCTTGTGCTCTTCACGATCAGTCCCAGTGTCGCCGGTCCTGTTGTCATCGACGGCGGCTTTCGTCTCCTTTCCACGTACCGAGTGACGCGCGGGGATGGAAATGGCGGGGTGGGGTTCATCGGCACGGATGAGCTCTCCCCGAACGGCTGGAGGAAGAGCGGACACCGCGGCGATGGACGACAGGGCAGCCAGAAGGGCGAAGCGGCGAGTGATGGCGACCATTTCGGTGGAGCGCCTCCGTGGTGAGAGTGAGTGTATGCGTAGGGAAGTGAGTAGAAATGGCCGCTAAATACGACTCAGTCGCGGGGTGAATCGAAAGCAAGACGATAGCAAGAAGACCACCAGGGTCAATAGAGCGATAACGGCGGTGGAGGAGAGAGAGGCAAGCCTGTCGAACACGAAATACTGCGGGTCTTATATACCTCTTCACCCCCCGAAGTCTCCTCCGGGAACCGAGCACGAAGAGGCTGACTGCGGCGGCCGTATAGACTTGTTGGGTAACCTGCCTTCCTCTTTGAGCCGCTCCTGGGATCGGCGTGTGCCAGCCGCAAGGCCAGCCAGGCTGCGATGCGGCAACGATGTACCCAGCGACGCTATTGGATTGTCTACATGTACAGTCAGTCTTCTACGAGCGCAACAGCACAGAGGCACTATAGGCACACCATCGCTATGCGCAGCATTTGATATGGCTTCATCACCCGGAATTCGTACATATACCATGTTGTCGTCACCTTCAAAGGACTAGTACTGTCTCTTGACGATTCTTCGGGTAACAATATCTGGTTTGAGCATGCAAGTTGCGTGATACGTATGTACAACGCGGTGGAAGACTGGAAGTCAGAGATTATGGGCGCTTTCGCATGGATAGGCGCCATGACTCGGAATCTTCCATCGGGTTCAACTGTCTGCCATGAACGCTTTGCCAGTTCTGCTACTAGTAAGGTCTCAGGTCTTCGCTGGCTCCATTACTATACTCGCTGAAATTATTGCCCTCATATTGCGCTCTATATTCTCGAGAATGCTCCTCGGCCATCGCTGTACGTTACAAGGGCCTGCGCATTCCATCTGCCATAGTGTCAGACGATTCGCAGCCTTGCTCGATGCGGCAACTGATACTTGTTACCATGCCTGTTCATTACCTGTGAGCGGTAGTCATGGACCTAGAGGCTAGTATGGCAATGCTCTAGCCCAAACGCCCCGCTCAATCCAAACCACACTTGCCTGCTGTACACCGAGCAGACCGCACATGCCATGACGACGACCCCCGCTTACGCTCATAGCCGCACGACAATGAATATGCCACCCCACAGCTCCGCCTCCAAAAATGGAAACCGCCAGAGTCGCCGCCATTGCGAAGCGTTCGCTCGCCAACCTCCTGGTATGTTGCAGAGCCCAGATTGACAGAAGCAGCGAACCTCGAGGCCGCTAGCGCCATAGTATAATAACATTCCCGCTGGACTGAGCTGCATCCCTCTTACATGCAAAGATGACTATCCTGGATGAGGCCAGCCTTCACTCGAGCGTCGACGACTCCCTGAAAGGGCTGCTCAAGCTGCCCTCGCTCGATAACACATATGGGGCTCTGTTCTTGGGGGCGACATTCAGTTTCATGTACGTCCGCGTCTTGCTAACTCTACTGGACTCATCATGTTAAGCAGAGACGTCGGTTCTCAGGATATACGGATTGATTGTTCATCAAACCTACAGATACTACCGTCTCTATCCAACCGACCCTCTGACCTTGAAGATGTTGGTGAGTTGTTGTAAAGTAGCTCATGCATCGATCTCACAGTAACTTACTTGCCATCCAGGTGCTTGCTATACTGTAAGCTTTCGACCGTCATGTAAGCCAATGTCTCTGGTGCTGATATTCGAGAAGATTGGTGGAAACATTTCATTGCATCCTGCTCATCAATTCATGGTGCGCTATCGTGATCCGACAAACACGAGGAGTAGTCCACTAAGTCATATTACACCAGCTATTTCCACCTCATCACGAACTACTTTAACCCCGTCACGCTCCTAGAACAGTCATGGTGAATGGTCAGAAACCCTCATGTGTGCAGACCGAATTACTGATAACGAAGTTGTCGTCTAACGATAGGTCCCTCAAAGTGAGTCCGCTGCTACAGGGAACATGCTTTATGTTTGCTCAGCTCATGTTGCGCCAATTCGACCAGATGTTGATCCCCACATCCGTGCGTCTGTTCAAAGCCTGACGGGAAAGTGATGCTGAACGTGATACCGTACTCAGGCCTTGACGACTATCCTCTGTCAAGGGTTCGTGAAATGGTCTAAACTCGCAGCCAGTGGTCTCACTTCCGTACTGGATGCAGTTTCTACGCACGTCGTATATGGCTTGGTGCGCATCGAGTGAGGTCCTCCAGCTCGAACTTTGATTGACAGTATGGACCATTCAGTCGATCGGCGATATCGCATCATCGTTGGGTTTGCGGTCAGTGATCCGCGCAAATTCAGCTGATTATATGTCATGCTGAAACACGGCGCAACAGGCACTTCCCGCAGTTGTCTTCATCGGTATGTCCCTTGGCACTCTGCTGGTCTGTCATTTCCCCGAACTTGCCTCAATGCTACACAGGATTCGCCGCAAGTGAGTGACCATGATCCATCCGCCCGTCATCGGTGTTCATTTGGTGATATGCCTCGACAAGGTGCTACCGTGGAAAAGCAAGTGGATTCCTGAGTGTTGAGAAATGGCTTGACTTAACAGCTCCTGAACACCAGCGTCCTTCTCCACGGAACCGCATTCGAACGCTTCACAGTGAGCTCTCAGCCTCTACACGCATAGCGAGATGTTCTTGCACAAGTAACCGTATCATGTATGATCAGTGGATGGTATCTGCGATGTTCGGCGCCTCGGTCATTGTCGAGATCCTCTTTTCCGGTACCCTAATCTTCATTTTGCATCGCAGTCGCACAGGCTTCAAACGGTGAGTGGCACCATCTCTCGCGCTGCCCTGAACGTTCTGAGACAGGATCGTGCCGAACGGCTTGCCACGCGAATAGCACCGATTCCATGATCGACCTACTTATCCTCTATACCGTGAATTCTGGTACGCGCTCATTTTTGCTTCGAGCGGAAGCGAGAGCTGACCAAAGTATTCGATAGGCTTACTGGTAAGGTAAGATCCACCGGCCGCTCGAGACGTCGTAGAATGCTGACCTCTTGTATCAACTCCTGTCAGCGCCATCGCGGTCCTTGGGCTCATCTTCGTGTGTATCAAACTACCATCTCGCGTGTCATCGGCAACGGCGAAGTTTCACTGCATAGGCTAACCCACGTGCACTTTGATAGCCTGTCATCTACCCTCATAACTTCATCTACATCGGCATGAGCATGGTAGAGACGAAGCTTTACGCGAGCTGCGTACTCACCGCGTAAGCATTTGTTCGTGCATTCGATTTCTTCGCGACTGACAGTATCTCAGTCTCAACTACCGAAGAACGATCTGGAACAGGGGGACAGGAGTGGTTGACTTGGACGCTGAACGCGCCGACCTCGTGAACAGAATCGAGGCAGGGGACAAGATGCCTGGTTACGTACGAGACTTCTGAGGCAGAAAGACTTGGTTCGCGACGAACTGGACTATATTCTCAGCTGGACAACAGACCCCCACACACCTTGTTAGACTTTATCGGATATTGTCCTTCATAAACTATCCACGTACGACAGCACGATGTGTCAACATAGGATACATTGCCCAGACACTCGATTTCGAAGCAGACGACGATAATTCACAGCATGGAAATATCAGTCTATAGGTTACTTTTCTGCAAGGACTGGTTGCCTAGTAAATCAGTTGATCAGTTGACGCAGTTGTTCAAGCTGAAGCGATTCTGCTCCCTATCCCCGCCTCCGCGCTGGAAACCGTGGCAGGGCCCGAGATCTGGGGGGCGCCGGAAGGTTGGAAAGTACTTGACGCTCGAGTTACGCTTGAAACCTGTGCGGTGCTCGAAGCTTGTGCGGTTCTCGAGGCCTCTGCAGAGCTCGAGATCTGGAGGATGCTCGAAACCTGGGGGGCGCTCGGGCCCTGGGTGGTGCTCCGAGTCTGTGAAGCACTGTGGACAAATGTCGTAGAGGCCAGAACGCTAGTGGTCGAGGCAGCAGAGGCCGAAGGTTCGCTCGTCGATGTAAAGCTTGCAGAGGCGCTTGTAGACGTGCTAGTGTACGTCCTGCCGACATATGGAGCACAAACATTAGGATCGTTAAGCTTCGAGGGGTCCTTCGTTAGGTATCCAAGCTTCACGCCCTCCAAGTAGGACCACTGGCGGGAAAGATCTCCTGCGAGCTCGGATATCTCTGTCTTGAAGTTCCAGAACTATAAACGACGTCAGCTCGTCACTTAGGAGACCGAAAGAGAGAAGTGAAGAACTCACGATCCAGCCCTTGCCCTGGGAGTACATGAGCTTCTGTGCGTCGGCCCACTCGTAGAGGAATTCATCGGTGGCATTGAATTGGGTAGGGAGACCCCACTCGCCAAACCAGAGCGGAGAGTCTCCGAGTGCGGCGTCGGCTTGTACCCGCTGAAGGTTGCAGATGCTGATCATGTACGCCTCCTCATTCGCGTCGGCAACACCCTGCAGAGCTCATTGAGGGACTGGCAGAAAGAGTGTATGTAGGTGAGAAGTACATACACCGAAGCTATAGTACAAATGGTTGTCGTAGCCCGTGGGACCGATAGTAACGTCAGCAGGATTCGGAGGGTCGTTGTACTGCCAGTTGACGTCCATGAAGCTGTCGGGCCTCTGTTCAATATCAGCCTCTACACACACCCCAGCACGGTACTCACTTCGCGACGAGAGGGTCCTTCTTCCTATTCAAAGCGCTGAGGAGTAAGTTGAAGCCCATCTCAAAGCTGAGCTCGGTAAGGATTGGGATGGACGCAAGGATAGCAGCCTTGACCTCAGGATTGATCTCGTGAGAGCTATTGACAGTCGCGGAGATAGCTGCAGTAACGTTCTGACTCGAGGCGGCCAGGTTAGCCGAGAGATCGAGGATAGGGTCGCCGACGCCCAGGATGAACTCAACGGCGCGGATGGTCTGCACAAAGTTCTGTTGGACTAACATTACGGAAGTCTCACTCAGAAGCTAAGGTATCAAAGTCTGAGAGAATACTCTTACAATCACCGTATCCGGGAGTTTGGGTTGCGTCCATGATCGGCTCGTTGACAGCTTCTATAGCGAAGACAGAGTCGAAATTGGAGTCGAGGTGCGAGAGAGCGGTCATGACGGCCGTCCAAACGAGCGCTCGCTGATAGTTGTACGGAGTCTGCAGGAGCAATCAGCTTGTATTCTGCTTTCGGAAGAATGGGGAAAGACTAACATAAAACTCGACATCCGTCGTACAGTGGCCTGTGAAAGCCTGATTCGCATCTTGAACACCAGGTGGCGCGTGGTGGTCTAGGATGGCGTTAATGCCAGCCGCTTTCAGCTGCTTCAAGCCACGTTGCTACGGAGTATTTCTCACTACTGATCATGGCTGGCAACAAAACATGGACATACCAACTGTTTTATACCACCGCGGGGAAAGAACTCGGTCTTCCGGTCGACGAGGGACTCGATGATCCAGTAGCCCAACTAATATGGCAGGCCCTCAGCATAGCGGAACAATACTTGAACGCGATTGATCCTCACTGGAACGCGAACAGTGTTTATACCATTGCTTGCGAGGTCATTGACGTCGTCCTGGGTGAACCAAGTCTCCCTATGGAAAGTATCAAGACCATGAGATACTAATGGCATACACAAGCTACACACCAGTGCTGTTGGAATTTCGCGTCAGCGGTATCGGGGTAAGCCTCCACAAACGAGCTGCTGTGGTATCAGTATATGGATCTCGTTGAAAAGTGATGGCGAGCGTACAATTCGGAGCCGATGCACTCGGAGCACGGCCCGCTGCAGATTTGTCCTCCCATATCGGTCCATTCTATAGAATGTCTACGTCAATAAGGGCGTCAAGGCGTCATTTAAGCTGGAGGTGACAAACCTTGGGGGAGCATCCATGGCTCCAATACCAACCACGAACCCAGGTTCACTCCATATATTTTGGAGGGGAGACCTGCGGCGACTCGCCCCAGGAAGAATGCAGCGACGACGCTCCAAGTGAGTAACATCCGCATCACCTACCGACTTGTGAAGGTGACAGAGGGACCCGGGGCGGGAAGGACAATGCCTTGCCTGCCTATGACTGAAACTGTTATTTATACTCGTTAGTCTCTCCGGCCTGCCAAACATGCCACTTGGTCTTGCTCAACGCGCGGTCATGCCGCCCGCGGGCAAGATCGAAAGAGAGACGCGGCGATGTCAGCCAATAGAGCGGTGGTATTCTCGGCCCTCCGCACTAGCCCTTGCGGGTAACGGCGTTTCCTGATTTCCATCAGATATCAGGGGACACGGGTAAAAGGGAATTACAGCGTTCAATACGTTGGTACCACTGTTCTTGTAACCGAAGATTGAACGAGAGTCCTCTAACGATAGCGCGATGGGCGCGGGCGGCCGCTCCTGCCGAAGCTCAACAGCGAACACGGTCCACGTGGACGGCGAATAGATGCGAACGCGTTCCAGCTCTGTCAAGTGACCGCGCCGTGCTAACGGCTGACCTCCTCCGCTGTTCTTCACCCCATTGACCGCCGTCCTGAGCTCATGCTCAGGGCTTCGAAGCCTGGAAGAGCGGAATTGGCACGACTGGTGTTGACTCACCCGGCGGATCAGCCATGTGGGACGATGTTCTCGACAACGACATCGTGCTCTGGATGCCGTCAGTCTGCCCGCCTCGTGTCGTGGCAAGCCCCGTAAGAACCGTCCTCAAGCGCGTTGTACGTAGTCACCTGAGGTCACGGTAATCGCCAAAAGCAATATCAGGGGTATACTGCGACTGTTCTCGACATGCATAGTCAGTGCTGAGCTTAACTTGTCGGTCTGAAGTGAACACATGACGAAGTGCCGCTGGGTAGATGTACATAGTCGGCATCAATACGCATCACCATATCGGGCCATGACCTCCTGGTGTCTATCACTGAAGTTGCGGATCTCATACCAGTCGCTGTGTGCTTGCCTTCGCTCGTATACCCGGCGCCTCCTCTTCCCACAGAATACTTCCATCCGCGTCCATGGGGGGGAGGGCACGTTGAGCTATTTGTAGTACGGTGGTTATATAGTACATCAGGTGGGGAACGAAGCTTTAGGTGTAGGATTGAGGGCAAGGTGGAGATGCAAGGAAACGCCGAAGCGAATGTGCGAGCGCATGTTGGTGGCGGTGCAGGCGCGCTGGGAGGGGGTAATAGTCTATAGACGGCGCTCGCCGAGACTGGGGTACGACGTGCACCGCACGGCGCATCCGCACTCCACTATCATCTGGTTCAACCTTCGTTCTGTTTGACCTTGTCCATCGCACTATGCACCGTTGATTGATAGTGACACTGCACAGCGATATATCCTCCACTATTCCACTGTGAGTAATTCTCTATGCCTGGGCCTTCCAAATTCAGTTCTGTGACGCTCTGACGGTCTCAGTAAAAAAAACAGGAATCCTGATACGATTACTTGATACTAGCACTGGCCAATTTGCTCATGTTCTCGACCCGTACGATATCGAATACGCCATCTTAATACATACATGGGATCCGCGCGGCGAACAGACATATCAGGCTGTCAAGCACATCCAGACGTCCTCCGTACTTCGCCTGGAAACTCTGCTCGTCTGGACCTCCTTGGAGATCTGGTGGCGACTTATCTTCGTCGTCTCCTCCCTCACTCCAGCACTTCAGATCTTGTCTCATGTCGACCTCGCCCTCTTGCGTCTCTCCCGCACGATGTGGTGGATCCGAACGAACATCGGCTACTACATGGCCTCCGCCGTTCGCTACACGATTCTATGTTTCCCTTTCCTACCTGCCCTGCGCGTCCCTCGCAGGCGACCCTTCCGCCAATTCTCCCTCCTCCCTCTGTACGCCTACGCACGAATATCCTCTCCATGGCATGAGCGAGCGAAAATGGTCCGAGAATACGCACAGCGGATTCGCTCAGGGAACTCGAGGCAGCTCTCCCCGAGGCTTAGCAGTAAGATCAGAGGCGCGTGCCTGATTGCAAGGCAGTACGGACACCGCCTTATCTGAATCGACTCGTGCTGCATCGACAAGACGAGCAGCACGGAGCTTTCTGAGGCCATAAATTCGATGTACGCTTGGTATCGCTTAGCCACAGTCTGCTATGCGTTCCTGCCGGACGTTGACGGCGTCGATCCACTTGGAAGTGTATTCAGCCTCAGCGAGCAACTCAAGATGATAGTGCAGAGTCGTTGGTTCGCACGTGGGTGGACTCTGCAAGAGCTCATCGCACCAGCTAACGTTGTCTTCCTTTCTCGAAATTGGCACTTCTTGGGGACGAATGCGTTGTTGGCAGATGCAATAGAAAAGGCTACTGGCATTGTTCGAGGGATTCTACTCCACCAGGTTGCATTAGATCAAGTCGGCGTTGCTACACATATGTCTTGGGCGGCGAGGCGACGAACCACCAGGATCGAGGACGAGGCGTACTCTCTACTTGGGATCTTCGGGATCAACATGCCCACTCTCTATGGAGAGTGCCGTCACGCATTTGTTCGGCTGCAGGAAGAGATCCTGGAACGTATATACCAGACCAGATGCTCTTCACGTGGGGTCGGCGCTACCCTGCGTATCTGTCGACCCCATCTTCTCCCTCCGACGCTTCTCTGGTTACCACCATACAACACCGAAAGGACGCATCCTTCTTCGCACTCTCCCCTACCTCATTTGCGCATTCAGAAGGCCTCCGTGCTGTCGATCATCCAGCCTTTGCTCGACGGCTTGGTCTCTCGTACCTCGACCCTCCTACTCACACGTCTACTCCGTTTGGCTTGCACACCCGCCTTCCTCTCATACCAGCCTCACACTTCCTTCCACAACACATTCTCGCGACGAGCGTGCGATCTGGTCTCAACGACTACACCGCTGTCTTCCTCGCTGTCTTTGCATGTGAACCTGTTGATCTGGAAGGAGGCCTCATATCCTTTCTTTGTGTCGTCGATGACATCAATACGAACTTCTCGTATGCGAAAAGGCTCGCGTTCTCCCTTCGCCCCGTACGCGATGACCCTTTCTATTCTGACGTCATTGTCACCCTATCTCCCGCCCAGCTCAAATCCTGCCCTGTGTCTCTGAAAACAACTTACATCCCGACGGTGGCACCTCAGTCGCTCGAGCCCAGTTCTACCCTCAGGCAGCTATCTTTTGACGTCCCCCTCGCGACATGGGGCTATACCATCTCTCATGAACCAATGCCGACAGCACCTCGTCCTCTCGAAGGGCGAGGACCACCTTCACGTCCGCGCTGGAGCCGGCTGGGAGAAAGCACGGCATCGGAGTCTAGGGCGACACTGGATCAAAGTACCAGTATGGGTCACATACGTTCGCAAAGAGGATGAATCATCAAGACCTTCAGCACTGAACAGCTTGCCTGCGCCGCGTAGGCTGCCCCCAACCGCTACGCTCTGGGCGGGAGACTCGTCGCGGAACCATACCTCATACGAGTTCAGTGCGTTGGATGGACACCGCATGGTCTTGCGCGTTCGACTCGCGCGTCGAGCACACGAGGAGTCGACGCGCTGCTTGGATCTGGACATAGCGGAGGTTGTATAGCCCGGGAAGACGGTGTCAGCATGGTTTGGGCGACATGAGATTACTGTATGTAGGGGACGGGGGGCTCTTCTGTAGGACAGAGAAATGACCACGGTTGTACATTGCCTCAAGGCATTGGCTACAAGGGCAAATTGTGGGGATCCGGCATACCTACTTACTGATTCAGCTCTTGTCCGACGCTCGAACCCCTTGCGCAGCGAGAAGCGGCGGAGAAGGACTTTTGCGCTCCACTCCATCGCGGCATCTTGCAAACACCTCGCTTCTGTATCGGCGATAGAGCCTCCATACGCACGTGGGTGAGTGTACTGGATGATTCGATGATGGCTGGACAAACCTGTCACCAACAGCAATCACCCACGCGGTCTGCTTGTACCCATCCGAATCGCCTGAGAGTTAGCACGACGAGCCCTAACGGCGCAGCAGCAGACAAGAATAGGACGAGTCGTCAAGAACAGCGGAACGGGTTTACTGGTCGAAAGAAAAGAGCGTTCCCTCGGACGGTGGAGGCGGTGGCCTGCTATTTCGGCCGACCTTGCTCCTACCGAATCCGTCAGTCGTGATCAAGACTTACTCCCGCCCGTCACGAGGAGCACATGCATCTACCTCCGGAACTGCCACTGACTCCACACGGTTCGTCTTCGATGCCTCCGCGCTGTCCACGCTATCACTGTTCAGCCTGACGCGCCCAATAGAGGTGCGCTCTGTGCTCAGCTATTTGTGCCTCAACGGCCTTTCGAAGCCATCGACAGGCATCCACAAATGGAGACCATTGCTGGAGCATCATATATATAATGAACGGGTCCAACTCTTGACAATCCGAATCCACCCAGTCACCCCTCTTCGGCCTCCCGCACTTCGCGTCTTGCGTCGCGTACGTCGCGCTCTGTCGTCTCGCCTCACTTTGTGACCATGGCCTCCCTGCGTCTCTGGTTGTCGGCTGTCACTGCGCTGCTTGTGGCGAGCGCAAGCTTGGCTGCTCCTGCTGTGCACACGAAGCGTCAGTCGATTACGTCCGTTTCGCAGTCGCAGATCGACTCGTATACGCCGAGTGCGTGGTACGCCGCGGCGGGGTACTGCGAGGCGTCCGCAACGCTCGCCTGGAACTGTGGCACGAACTGTCAGGGGAACCCTTCGTTCAAGCCTATCGCATCAGGCGGTGATGGGTCTGATGTCCAATTCTGTCAGTCACTTGAGGCATCCCAGAGGGAATATATGACAGAGGTACTAATTTGGGGTGTCTACAGGGTTTGTTGGGTATGATCCCACTCTCCAGACTGTCGTTGTTTCCATCCAGGGAACCAAACCTTCGGCGATGTGAGTCCTTCACCTCTGTCGGTGCGACCTGCACTGACACGAATTCCAGTATACCTCTTATCACGGACGGTGATATCGAATTGGTAAACCTGGACTCAACGCTCTTCCCTGGCCTTGATTCCTCTATCGAGGCGCACAAGGGCTTCGCCGACGCGCACGCCGAGTAAGCACAGCCTTGTCATAATGTCGTGTCCCGAAATACCGACCCTCGGCGTAGTTCAGCAACCGACGTTCTCGCAGCTGTGCAGCAAACGATGAGTCTGTTCAACACCTCGGACGTCCTCGTCACCGGCCACTCGCTCGGTATGTCGCCCTCTAACCAAGCTGCCCTAAACGCAACACGCGTGCTAACACCTTCACTTCCAGGCGCCGCGATCTCGCTCCTGCACTCGGTCTACATCCCGCTCCACGTCCCTTCGGCGAAGGTTACTTTCGTCGGCTACGGCCTCCCTCGCGTCGGCAACCAGCAGTTCGCGGACTACGTCGACGCGCATGATGCCATCACCTCCGTCACGCACATAAACAACAAGGAGGACCCGATCCCGATCCTGCCTGGGCGCTTCCTCGGCTTCCACCACCCCTCGGGCGAGATCCATATCCAGGACTCGGGCGCGTGGCTGGCGTGCCCGGGGCAGGACAACACCGACTCGGAGTGCATCGTGGGCGATGTCTCGAGCATTTTCGATGGCGACGAGAGCGATCACGACGGGCCATACAATGGGGTGGACATGAACTGCTAACCGTGCGTTGAAGCTTTCATGATGGGGTATGGTCGAGAGGACTGGGGCCATTCCGTTGTATTATGTGAGCGTGTAAGGTACATATTACACGGGATACAAATGACGCGATACACGGTTCTATTCGATGCTGACCTATTCTTTGGCGAGGAAAGCGTCCATACACTCCAATATGAGCCGTTTGGCGTTAGCTGACTGAGGCTTGATGTCGAACTGATACATCTTTGGATGCCTAGGTGGTCCATCCCCTATGTGAGCGCGCGGGAGTAGTGCGAAAAGAGGAAGTCTCACGATAGCATGCTCTCCGTGCTGAACTCGTACTCGATCTTCATCCGATGCCCATCCTCGCCTATAGGGGGCTGGATATGATAGACGTGCAGGATCGACGCGCATGTGATGAACAGGGAAGCGTCGGCGAGATGTCGACCTGGACATATCCTAGAATAGGGTTTCGGGACCATCAATAAAGGACAGGTATGTCGAATGAAGCTGGACCTGCCTCCTGCCAAATCCGAAGGCAAAGTCAATGGGATCCCTCTCAGGGAACTTTGACTCCCCTACACGGTCAAGGAAACGTTCTGGCTTGAAGCTGAGGGGATCAGAGTACTCATCGGGGTCCCTGGACATGGCCCTTGGTACCGCGAGCATTAGCTTGAGCGCTCCGCATACGGATGTGTCGGCGACATACCAGACGTTAGGGCATACGATGGTTCCTTCGGGGATGAAGTACCCATTGTACACCTCGCCAGACGTAGTTCGATGCGGAACTCCCAAGGGGAGGACGATGTGGAAACGCAGGACCTCTTTGACGAGAGCGTTGATGAAAGGTAGATGTGGGCGGTCTGTAAAATCGGGAAGACGATTCTGGCCCACGACGGCATCGAGTTCCTCTTGTGCTCGAAGCTGTATTTCGGGGTGCAAGGCCATCAGTAAGACAAAAGCATGAGTGACGGCGTTGGTCTGTCATGAATGTCAACGTTTTGTCTGTACGTATCTAAAAAAAGCCGGGTACAGACAGTTTCGACACCCGCTAAGTAGGCCCAATAGTCAATTATACTAGTCGTTCAACTTCGTAAGATGAAACTGACCTATGTATGCGCTTGCCGAGACGCCACGGCACATAGTTTGCGTTTCATTGTGGGATAAATCTTCCAGGCTTGTGCTGCTCTCTAATATTTTGGTAGCCACCGTGTCCTGAGCGCAACCTTCCTCCTATGGATACTATGAGATTCATCGCCCGGCTATAATATCCCGCAAGGTCGATTTACCTTCGCCTTCACAGATGCGTGGTGTAAGCTGTCTAGGATCATATGTATGTCGCTCTTAGCCTTCAATGCATAACGCTTGAACTGCATTCCAGGAAGCCACGCTGGGAGATACCGCAGGAATGGGATAGCCTCCACGAGATACCTGCCCGGGACTGCGATATCTTCCGACACTTCCCGGATCCGCTCCACCATTGCGAAGTACCGATCGTCCGGCCGAGTGACTTCGAGGCCGTAGACGAGCTGCATAAGAGTGGAGGCAAACGTACTAACATAGAGGTCAGTACCGTGTTCACGCTCATAGGCGAGAGTACAGTAGTATGTCTCGGACATACAAATCAAGAATGGCGGATAGGTCCTGAGATGATTCAAGAATTCTGCATAACATGCGTCGTGTAGCCTCGAGTTGGACTGATTGGTGCTGTACACATGCATCAGCATGAAAAGACTGGTGGAACGCGCGGCGGTATCTTCGCCACTTGGGCCCGTAATTCTTGAAGACAAAGAACCAGCTCATGTCGGCCCTGATATTTGAGTGAGCAAGGGTCTCGGGATACCCCAGGGAGCACGTACAACTCTACCATCACCGAGTTCGGTCTTCCGGAGAGAGTTACTGATCGTTTGTCCAGTAATTCATACGCAGCCTTGTAGGTTCCGAGCACCAGGATGGGCTGTCCAAGCACGTTGAGATACACGACGTCCCCTATGTGACCATGTCAACATGTGCCAAACAGAGCCTGATCAAGCTTACCGTGTATGTCCCTCATCTTGGCGAAATTACGCCCAAAGTCCCTGCGAGGCATGTCGAGAACGTTACCGATGATCGGGAAGGCCTTCGGTCCCGGGGGGTAAGGCGGCATCTTCTTGAGTAGACGGATTAGTATCCATATGGAAGGGAGGAGAGTAAGCAGAGTGCACGTGTAGAGCACAGGAGCACCGTTGGTGGTCATCACAAGCGAGAGGGCTTCGTAGCTGCTGGGATGTTATGGGAGTGACAGGAAGAGCTTCTCGGTTTTAAGTCAAGAGGAAGTCGGGATATCCAATCTGGAGCCTGATGTCTAAGAATTCCCGGCGGGGGACATCTGATGGCAACATGAAACCACTGTAGCATACACGCAGGCATGCTACAGAGCCACTGGGGAGCAGCTCCTCAGTTTGATGCCAAACCAACTTGGGCAGATGAATTTATCCGGCTTACCATAAGGGCACGAATATATCGTAAGCAGCGGAAAGCAGTGTGCACTAAGTTCACCGGGGCATTCTCTGACCGAACAAGAAAAGTCAATCCGTGACGGAGATGGCGTAACCGGCCAGAACATGCAACATGACAGACCTTGGGGCGGGGCAAGAACATCGACATCGACATCCGCTTGCCCGCAAGTGACACGTAGCATAGGATATATATATATATATATGATGTGTTGGTCATGCATGGGGAACTTGTTTGAAGGTGAAGCGGTTCAGCCTGCCGGTCCTGTCAGGTTTGAGTTCACGGCAGGCGCTCCGGGTTGCCTCGGAGCCGAACTGGTTGACAAGCACCATCCGCCATGTTCGATGGGCTCAACTTGGGTGTCTCACCCTAAGACCGTCCTTGTGAGCATAAGGTCCGCACCGATCGGGAACAAGTCATATACAACCGATACCTTCGGCCTCATGGCTGCTTGCGACATAATTTTTCAGCTAGAGCGTCTTGCATGCGTTGACCGCACAGCTGATAGCGCGGCGGATGGATACTCTGATAACGCGGACGACCGCTCTGGAAGTTAACTTATGGTCATGTGTCCACCCCGCTCGAAGGTCGGGAATGAGGTAACGGGCCTGTTCACAGCGAGCTGGCTGTAAGTTACGCCACGTCGGTATCTGTACAGAGAAATAATCAGCCGGTGCGTACGAGAGGTGGATATAGATGTGATCATGCCCACCGCTGAGCTTCTGCACATAGGTTCGATACCGGAAAAAGAGGTACGCAGGAGAGAACCCCGCTCGCTCGACCTCTGCGAAGTAGTTCTCGGGGTCAAAATTATCTTGCCGATAGGACAAAGCGGATTGTCCGCTCTCTCGCCTATCAGTCCACATGCGACAGCGCAGTAGAACTCCACCGTGCGGCCAAATCTTCGTCTCGTCGAGCATGTTATAGCGGAGCTTCTCGGCTTGCACAGGCGTCATCTTTGGCTGCAAGCCGACTATATCGGGACTCAGTCGTCGACGAAATGGGCTGCACTTACTACATAGGCACTACATGAACTGTCGAGGAAGAATAGTCCCCCTTCTCAATATCCTTAGAGAGGTTGCGGATGCCGCGGTCTGGGTCCTCGCCAGCAAGTCTCTCCGCCGCCTCAGCGAGATGTTGACAACCTTTTGAGTATGCTTATCCCGAAGGTATCAGCATCATAGTGGTGGATTCAGGGGTCGCACTTGTGTGTATGGAAGAAAGGGGCGAACTCGGTCGCAATAGGGTGTTGTTGGACACCCAGTCGAGGTGTCCTTTCTCCGTCATACCTGCTCACAACTATGAGCGCTCCATATACACGTTGTGACAATGATTGAACAACCTTCACGGATCACGCAGGCTGTCCGCAGTGCCTACCTCGCCGCTGACAGGAGAGACAGACCGTGGAGAAGGGAGCAGTGTTCCCGACGAGCTTGTACCAAGTCGCGCAAGCGAGATCGATGATGTCGTGAGTAGCCTCGAAGCAGCCGCGCGCTTTGCCTTGGACAACACGCCATAAGGGGGAAGGTGCTAGTGATATTTTGAGAACTTAGAGTTTGTTAACTGCTCTTCGGATACTCTACGTCAAGATGTGATGTGTGTAAATACGTACCTTACAAGCGCAACGGTCCATCCTTGTCGATGCGCTTGGCTGCAACGGCTGTGCCACGGACGCACTTGAGGGCGTCGTATAGATAGTGTCGTCTTTCGTGGTGCTCATGGTGTCGGGAGACAACATTCCAGGGGCAGAGAGCTGGTGCCGAGCCGAGACGATAGGGTAAGGTGCTGTGGATGTACGACTATTGCTCGAATCGTGACGTTCGATTGTGTGACTGTACGCCTAGCAAGCTTGTCGCAGGGTGTTCTCAGCCTCAGTGTACATCGCTGAAGGCTCCGAGAGAGGGCTGCATGAGTCGCAGCTCAGCGCTCAGAGGGCGCTAAATGACCACCGGATATTGCCCGCCCCTATTTGTGAAGCATTGAGGTGCATCCTGATTCAATGACACGGCATCCATCGGGTTAGTTGAGTGGCACTGCGGATTGAACCAGTAAGGATTGACGGTCATGAACTTGAAATCTCCCGTCGGGGCGTCGTGCATGTGACTCGAGGGGTCCACTTCAGCCCTTACTCAGCGTACAGTCGTCGCTGATTCATGCCGTACGTAGCTTGTCTCCAGTTTCTGCAGGAGCCAATGGCTTCAACTCCGAGTGTCGTGGAGCTGACCGTGCCCGAATGAACCCGAGAGAGCTTTTCGTGACGCTATGTGCCGGAGTAATGGTCTATGTGCAGGCGTACTATACTAGACAATGTTGAATGGGATCTACATCTCTGAGTATGTCCTGCGAAGAGGCGTCAGCGGCACTGATGAAGGGAAAAAGGGCTTCTTACCTTCGCTACTCTTCCTGAAAGCCGCATTCAGGTCCCCGCTATATCTTCCTGAAGTTTCCCTGCATCCACACTCTGTACATCTTCAGCTGTCGCTTCCGGTTGACTATAAGCCGACGATCGACTCCAAGCTGCTGGATGGCGAAGAGTGGGTGACGGCTCTCTCCTGTGTGCGATTGGGTCAAGACAGGGTGGATCGCACCCGTCTTCGGCACCGACCGCTGAGTCTCCTCCACCGAGAGCGATGATAGCGAGCTCGCTACTTCGGTGAGAACAGGGGTAACTGAACCTGGTTGAATTTCATTGTATAGCTCAGAAGGCGAATACGGCGTCGGCGACCGCCGAGGTTCAGAGTCATCGGTTGCTTCTGTCTCCTCCATGATCTGTATAGCTTTGTGGACCTTCGAAGCGGCTGGTGCGGGAGCGCCGGTGAATAACAGGGCGAGCTCGTCTGGCGCAATGGTGAGTGGGCGACTGATGTTGTCTGAGAGCTATCCTGACCTAGCTCGAAGAAGTACACGCGTGTCTTGTCCCCTCGGATGTAGAAGTTCTCGTCCAGGAGACGACCACCCTTGAACCTGAGTTGGGTAAGGTCATACCGACCGTAATCTCGGATGAGGACTCTCCCTCCTCGTTTGAGCAACTGAGAACACCCGTCGATAGCATGCTCTCAAAGACGTCGGGTGGATGACAGCAGACCTTATGCATGTTGGAGACTGCGTTGTGCCATTCGTTGGGATGCAAAGCGCTCAGGACAAAAATGAGCACGATTATGTCGACGCTTCCAGGTTCCAGATCCGGTGGGAGTGTAGGCGAGGTTAGATCCCAGACGGCCGCTTGAATTTTCCCTATGGGAGGCGCAGAGTACAAGGGATTGTTCTGTTAGGGAATGTCATTGGTGAGCATAGACTACGTTTGTGGATCCCCACACCTGGACCAATTTTACTGCATGGTTCGAGTAGTCGTAGGCATGCAGATCCAGCAATGGGTTCTGGTTTGCAGACAACAAGGGATATACCGCGTTACCGGCGCCTAACAGGGATTTTGAACTGTCCTTCGTAGGCGGGCAGCAGCAACTGAAACATACCACATCCAATCTCAGCGATGGTCAGCGGTCCTGCCTAGGATGCATTAATGACTACGCGAGACGCTGACGAAAGGGGACGAGTACGTCGGGCTCGGCGGCTGCTTTCAATTCTGGAAACTCAAGATGCAACCTGTTGTGCAAGGCTCAAGCGACGGATGCTTCTGGGCAGCGTCGATTGACCTACCATTTTCTGTTCCGGAAGAAATTATTCGCGTTCATCTTGTAGAAGTTGTCCCTACCAAACACGCGGTAAGCCACGTGTATTCTACGCCTGCATGGAGTTACATTCATACCAATGTCTAGAGGGTTTTACATTATATTTCGCCTTTTCGTCTTCGGGGACAGGAGCATTCTTTTGTCGCGCGAGAGCCGTCGAGATGATTTCGTCCTGGTCATCTGGTGGTGGGACGTGATCCCATGCATTCTGGCTCCACACTTCCGCTTCGTCTGTGAGAAATCTTGCGCCCATTCATCAGCTGTGTCATGGCGGCCACGGTATTTTCGCAAACCTGGAGCCGAAGGGCGGCTTTTCGGCGGTTACGTCGTGGACAGACGACGCAGTCTTCGGTATCCTTGCTGACTGTTCGGTGACCGACATTGGCGTGTTTGAGATCACAATCGTGGTTAGTTGCTTGTAAATCCAGATGCTTGGTATGAATACCGTAGATGAATGGGGAGATGTCGAAGATGAGGAGCCGCGGCCGATGGCAGTGGCCGGTGCCTGGCTTCAGGATAACCGGAAACGGCAGGCACTGGTGATTGCTGCCGTCCGCGCAGCTCTCGACTAGACCGTCAAGTCGTCCATTACTCTCGACTGTTATGCTGCTCTGACTGTCTCGGCGACGTCTCGGCACACTCTCATCATGTCTTCCGTTGCTGCCTTGCAATCGCCCACGCCTGGCGAAGAAGATCTCGCCCAACTCTACCACCAAGTCCTGGCTGGCTTCGCGGAAGAATCACCCTCTGGCGAACAACCAGTGCACCCCTCTATGTCTCCTTCGACGGATCGCGATATTGAGTCCTTCTACGGTCAGTATCATGACGGCGAAGGGACTCCAACTGCGACCAGACTTCAGTCATCCGCGCGGTCGGTTACCCACTGTGCGTCTTTCCGTTGCAGTGCCCACCGGTGTGATCTGACCTCCACAAGCTTCCTACTACGGCCTCCCTCCTTCTCCACGGCCACCACCTCCGCCAACGAGCTCGCCTCCACCTCCACCTCCCAAGAGTTCGTCAAGTCCTCAATCTCCCTCCCAACGGGTACCCAGACCCCTCCCTCGCATACCTGGCTCTATGTCTGCTACGCCCGTACCGCCTCCTCCTCCTCCGCCCATCATCTATGGAGGCATGCCCGAGCCGCACCCGTATCAGACGGTAGATGGCCAGCCGAAGCATACCAGTGTTGATGCGTACGTCTTCTCCTTGTTCATCGCGAGCTGAGTAGCGTGTTGATCTCTATTCGTTCAAGTGGGCGGCGACTTCCCCCAGCTCCGAGTTACAACGGATCTGCACCCTCTACTGCCAATGGTTACAGTCCTCTCTCAAGTGGATATGGCGGGCCAGTCAATCCTCCTCCCAACTCTGCAATGCTTCCGCGGCTACCGTCCCTGAACGGTGCGTACGTATCCGATCCTCGCCCAGGCTCCGCTGGTGCACGCCCTGGGTCCTCCGACAGCGCGTCGAGAGCGCCATTGGCGATGCCTGTGCCTGACACATCGGAGGCGTACGGCTGGCGTCAGAGCGACCCTCGCCGCCCTCCACCTGGCGCACAGGCCCCCAGGGTGCCGGGATACAACAACGTGTACGAGGACGAGCGGCCTCCCAGTTCCCCGTCAACTCTTGATATGTCGGATACGTACCAGGATTACCGCCCATACTCCCAACATTCTTCATCCTCGCTCGCAGCAGCGCCCCCCCTCACTCACAGTCAAAGCTGTACGTGTGCGCGCGTTCCATGTGGTGCTTCTGCTAATGTGCGCTGTAGATACTCCAGGTGTAACGGGGCTGGGACGTTCAACCTCCACCGACTCGGCAGAATCGTCGGCTTACCCGAACGGTCTGGACCGTCATTCATCGTATACCACTCAAACCACTCGTACTACGATGTCCTCGAATTACCCGGACAGTGATACAGCCATCCGACCTAGTTCTTCCTTGGCCACTAGTGTTGATCGCGGTAACTCTGCGGGCTCCTATGTCTCTAAGAGCTCTGATGGTGGCTGGTCTACTTCTGGGCCTCCTTCAATCGCCCCGACGTTCCAGGGACAATCATCTTTCCAGGGACAATCCTCTCAACAGAGCTACTACCAAGTGCAGGACATGTATCGCGCGCAATCGCTCCAGGGCCCCGCTGCGTCGTCCTCGACATGGCGCGACCCTGATTTGCTGCGCACTGTCCAAGACCTCAAGCGTCCGCTTGAGCTGCACGAAAACTACGCGGACGAGGACGACTTCTACGAGGAAGATCCCTCAGAGGACGGTGATGACCGGTTCTTCAACCCGGCGCTTCTCAGCCACATTGCCGTTCGGCTCCGTGATAAGGTTCCTCGTGGGACCCACGTCAAGGGCAGCATTCCCTACCCCCGGGCTTTCACTGGGAAAGACATTGTGGTATGTTACTATCCTTCCGGACGCGAATGACACTCACCCATCGTGCCTTCAGTCGACCATTCAGTCGCAGATTCAGCGCGAGCTGCTCGTCACGCACGGCATCTCGACGAACGACCGCAGGGCGGCCCTACAGGTCGCGCGCAGTCTACAGAGCCAGCTGTTTTTCTACGAGGTCGAGTGGGTAGACAGACCGCTGCAGGATGGCGTCGAAGATGTGTACATGTTTTGGGACGACCAGGAAGGCGCGTCGGACGCGCGGATAGAACGGGAAGAACTCCCGACTGCCGTGATCACGCTGCTCACGCGGTGTTATGCGTCATCGTGTGACGATGACAACCCGTGCTATTCGTACACTTGTCCGAGACGGGTAAGTTGATAACTCCTCGGATGTTGAGCACGTGCTGACGTTAACTGTAGAGGAGCGCTCTGCAACTTGTGGCGCCTACGGAGAACGAAGACGAAGAGGAGAAGGTTGGGGCAACGCTTCGAGTGTGCTTGGGATCGACTTAACGTACGACTCATACAGGACGAGTGGACACGGACAGTGCCTCCGGAGATCCTAGCGACCATTCCGGATAGCGAAGTCAACCGCCAGACGTAAGCTAGGTTTCGGTACCGCCACGCTCACTGTTCTGATCTCCGCTTGCAGCATCATCCACAAGCTCATCCACAAAGAGAAGCAGTATCTTCGGGATTTGGACACCATCGAGAGTGTGAGTACATCGAGTGTAAAGCGTCGTCCGTGATACTCAGTCTTCGCGTGTAGCTCTACATCCGGCCTTTGCGTGCCGCGAACCCACCTGTGATTCGACCAAGCGAGATTGACGAATTCATCGACGAGGTCTTCGGCAACGTGTTAGACCTCCGCGAGTGCAATCGCCACTTGCTTGAGACCATCTATGTACGCCAGCGCGAGCAAGCGCCAGTCATTCAATGCATCGGCGACATCTTCCTCGATGCTGCTACGCAATTCCGTTTGGCGTACCCGATCTATGTTGGTCACTTGCCGGTCGCCGAGAAGCGCATGAAGGACGAGCTGGAGAAGAACGCCGAGTTCAAGCGCTTCGTGGAGGTTTGTCGTCTTGCTGTCTTCAAAACTACCCGTAGCATCTGTCTCATTTTCCCTATCTCACAGCAAGCTTCGCGGCATCCGGATGCGCACAAGCTGGACCTGAAACATTTCCTCAGCCGACCATCTGAGCATCTGCAGAAATACCCTGTTCTGCTCGAGGCTATCTGCAACGAGACGACAGACGGTAATCCTGATGTCGAGTTCCTGAAGGAGGCAATCGCTGCGATCAAGAAGCTGCAGACCGTCGCGCAGCTGTGGACTTGGCAGAATGCGATGGGTAGAGGTCCTACAGGCAAGCTGGAGTGGCATAATCTTGTTCCAGAGGACGTCCGCGCGAGCTTGTCGAAGCACGAGGTCAAGCGTCAGAAGTAAGTTGGTCATTGAGCTTTCCATTCAGGACACAAGCCGGCTGACGCTGCTGCCAGCATCATCTTCGAGGTCATCAAGGGCGAGATGGACTACGTTCGAGATCTCGAGAATATCGAAGTGGTACGCCGGTTTCCGTCTCCTGAGCGTCACAAGCAGGACTTGCTGACGCCGATGCTAGATGTACGTGGGACCGTTGCGTGAGATGGACCCGCCAATCATCCCACGGGACCGTCTCGAGCAATTTATCCAGGAGGTCTTTCATAACTACGCCGAGCTACATGCGCACCACCGGCGGATGCTGGAGAAGCTACATGAGATCCAGCGTGATGAGCATCCGGTCATCCGTAGTATCACGGCTGCGATCTACGACGCGGTGCTCAACTTCAGGGAGGCGTACATGGAGTACATCCCCAATTACCCTATCGCGGCGTACCGGATTGATGACGAGATGGCGAACAACCCACAATTCAAGGCTTTTGTGGACGTAAGTTTGAGACCTTTCTGGTGCACTGCGCGAGTACTGTGGTCTGATAGAACTCTACTCCAGCAATGCACACGGCATCCCGACGCACACCGTCTTGACATGAAGAACTTCATCAACCGGCCCATACCGCGTTTACTCCGTTATGAATTGCTGTTGAAGAACATCCTAGACGAGACACCAGAGGGACACGAGGATCGCGACTATATCCCCCAAGTGCTTGACGTCATCAAGGCCCTCGGTAAGGAGACCGAGCCCGGTGTCGTCTCGGCCAAGCAGAAGGTCGAAGTCTGGCGCTACAACTCGAACCTCGTGTTCAAGAAGGAGGAGCAGATCGTGAGTCTAGTGGCAAACATCTCCTTAGTGGGACAATGTATCTGATAGATATGCGCCTATAGGACATGGACTTGCTTAATGAGAACCGCTCGCTCATCCACACAGGCAAGCTCTTGCGCCAGCCGGACACTGGATTCGAATGGAATGGCTGGACTGAGCTATTTGTCCTCCTTTTCGACAACTACTGTAGGTTCCAATAGCAAAACTTCTGTCAGAGCGTGCAGTTGACTGACACTCTACAGTGGTCATGACGAAGGTGAAGGAGAAGGACGGTGTTACAAAGTATCACGTCTACCGACGTGTAAGCCTTCTCGGTCCGCTTTGTAGCAGGTCGTTGGCTGACGTAGCCCACTCTATAGCCAATACCTCTAGACTTGCTGACACTGGCCAACTTCACGGACCCCCCAACTCAACGCGGAAACAGTATCCTCCGTCTCGGTCGGTCCGAGCGGCATGCGGGTGATGCGGGTACTCCAACGGGCGCTGCCACGTCCCCGGAGACCGCGACCGACTCTCGTCTCGTGTACCCGTGCACGATCCACCATAATGGTCGTTTAGGCGGGCTATATACCGTCTTCGCAGAGTCGGCACAGGTGCGGACTGAATGGAAGCAAAAGCTAGAAGAGGCGATTGGCTTGCGGAAGGTCGTGCAAGATTCGAACAAGGTGTTCGAGATCGAGACGCTCAGCGCGGACACGTTCTTGGTGCCGTCGATGATGGGCAACTCGAACGCATCCTGGAGCCATGAGAACGCGTTCACTGGCAAGGTCACTTGCTCCGTTCCCTTCAGTAAGTAGCTTTGCGAAGGTCACAGACTACAAGCTGATGGCTTGTCGGTAGCCACTGCTGACGGTCGTGGTCTGGTCGCCATTGGATGCGCCGAGGGTGTCTGGATCGGCTTCCGACACGACTCTCGATGTAGGTTTTTCCAATTGATTCCAATCCGGTTGCTGACTACTTCGGATAGCCCTACGTCGTGTGCTCCACCTCAAGATGGTCACTCAGTGTGCCATGCTCGAGGACTTCGGTATATTCCTTGTATTGGCAGATAAGGTGGGTATACTCCTGGCTTGAGAAAATCTATCACGAGATTCACCGACGACAATTCGCAGTCGCTCTTCGCATACCACATCGAGGCTTTGGTGCCGTCGTCGCCTCAGAGTGCCCATACTACGCAAACGCCTCAGAAACTGAGCGGCAGTAAAGACGTCCACTTCTTCAGCGTTGGGAACCTCAACGGGCGCACACTTGTCATTTACATGAAGAAGAAAGGAGTGCGTGGATCTGATGCCAATTTCTTCCTATTGCTGACCATCCTGGGGTAGCTGGACAGCGTGTTCCGTGTGTTGGAACCTGTTGTTGGCAAGATCAACGAGCGGTCGAAGGCTCCCCAAACCTTCGGTTCCCGTCTCGGTTTGCGCTCACAGCGATCGGAATGGTTCCGAGTTTACAGGGTATGGCGATCGCAATGCTGAGCGTGATTGCAAGCTAACTTGCCTGATCAGGACTTCTTCCTGCCTTCCGAAGCGTTCGATCTCATCTTCCTCAAGGCTAAGATTGTCATTCTATGCACGAAGGGCTTTGAAATCATGGATCTCACAGAGTAAGCTCTTATGTTCATCGCTTCGCAGACTTGGCGTCTGATGTATTACACAGCTTCAAAAGTGTCACGATTCCTCAGCGTGATGATCCTCGACTTGAGAAATTGGCCAAGAGATGTGAGAGCTGTCGCCCCATGGGGATGTTCCGCTCCAGCAACGACGAGTTCCTGCTGTGCTACGATGGTAAGCTAGTCGACGGGCATGGGCATAGGCATGCTTACACCATTACTCACGCCTCTGTGTATGTGCTCAGAATTTGGCCTGTATGTGGATCGTCACGGAGATCCCAGCCGTTCGATGGGCACTATCGAATGGGAAGGTACCGCGGAGCATGTGGCGTGGCATCCGCCTTACGTCCTGTTGTTCGACAGCCGTTTCATCGAGATCCGCCATGTCGAGACCGGCCGCCTTGCCCAGATCATACACGGTAACGACGTGCGCTGCATTTGGGACGGGCGCGGTGTTACAGGAGTTCCTCCCGCCACGCCTGTCCCTGAAGGGTATGGGCAGGAGACAATATCACAAGAGCCACGTGTCCATGGTGTCATGAACGCCACCGACGTTCCTACTGGGCCAAATTCGCGCGTGGGCCGCCCTGTTGCACAGCACGTCTTTGAGCTCATACCCACAATACCCCTCTATCTACCCGGATCTCTTGCTTCGCCGTCACAGTCAACGACATACTTCTCGCAGAACAATTCGCCCCCGCACTCTCCGCGCCTCAATCCCGCACTCTCGTGGCGGTCATGATGACGAACACTAGCGCCATTTTACTTCGAGTATACGTACATCATATTCTCCTGTTTGCACGCGCACGCTCCTTGACTATCCTGTCCGTCGCTCGAAGCTCCGTGGATTACCTAAGTATTGACAAGTATCATATGTGGATATAGATGCCCTCTCTGTAATAACATGACATAACCGCTTCGAGATATATCTCGTCACGACAATATTTCGTTTGCTCCGTTCCGGCCCTTAATTTGTAGCTGCGAATCTGTATTCACGACAGGCAGGGCACGTAATACAATCCTGTGAAATGTAAGAGATTTTCCGGGATAGCCCTAGCTTGAACAACTGATATCCCCTCCATCTCTCCCACAAGTATAGGATGACTTTCACAAAAAGCTACTATACGTTTCTTCTCATACAACAGAACAACTATGAAGTGCCACTCACCACAGTGGAGAAAGGAGTTTAATCTGTAGCTTTCACAAAGGTTTTCTGGCGCTCAATCTGTGAAAGCCAACCTTTCCCGGACATTTTCTCTGACAGTGCGAGCGTGTGGGAATCACGACGGGCATTGGCCAATGCCCCGGACCCAAATCGGGACAAAGAAATGGACCGAGAATGTACGCCTTTCCCGATCCTGGTCCCAAAGCCTAGCTCCGGACCCCAGCTAGCTGGCGCTAAGCCCCGAAAAGGGATATTAGTGCTGACAAACTATATGACATCAGCGTGTTTGCTCCTTTTTTGGATAGTCGGGAGCGCTGATATCCTGTTTCTGGTATCAGAGCGCGGGCTGGCTCGGGTCCGGAACTAGGCTTTGGGACGTGACCGTGACAGAAGTACATTTCCAAGCCTGTCTCCGGTCCTGTTTGGGACCGCGGCATTGGCCAATGCCCGTCGTGAATGGTGTAATAATCTCTCGGGTTCAATTCTCAGAAAGGCATAGAAAAAGTCCTTTTTTGCGTGATGTGGTATAAATGTTATTGTTTCCGGGCGAAGTAAAGACTGTCTCGACATTTCTCTCGCCTTTCTTCGCACGAGAATCTGGCCAGTGCCTGCCGTGATTGTTAATGTTGCGCTTTGGGATGCTTGTGGCGTGGTGGATGGCCTATGCTACAAGCTAGGGACACCTTATAAAACGCCTGAATGCTGGGTGGACTGGCCCAACTCACTCAACTATGTCCGCTGATAACAACCAAGCTCCCTACTGGCCTCCACCACTCGGTCCATCGTCAGTCTACCTCGAGGCACCGCCGGGGACCATCAGCGGAGAGGAGCTTGCAAAGATGGTTCCACCCATGCCAACCATTGACTGGGACGCCCCTTGTGAGCTCACGCCGTCGGACGACGAGAGCATTGAGGGACCGTCACCCAAGAAATCTCGCGCACGGACGACTAAGAAGCCATCGACTAAAGTGCAAGCATCGCAGAAATCCCCACGGAAGCCGGACTCTACACGCGGAAGAACGCAGAAGCAGGATGCGGCTTCTACACAGGCCAAGAAAGAGGCGAAGCAGAAGGGCACCAAGAAGGGAGGAGCTTGAACACAGCCTTATAGCCGCTGAAGTTGGGTCGCCCATTACCCCGGCCGTATGCTGCCTGATGTTCCTCATAACTGCCTTCTGTTTACTTGTTACACACAATCCTTTGTATGCTGTCTCGCTAGCTTCCACCGTTCTGGGCGTTGCGGTAGCAGATCCGTCAGCTACTTACGAATCACTAACGGGGGGCTAATGGATGGTAAATAAACCCGCAGGACAGGAAAGAGGGAAGCCAAACACGGAGGGTGATCTCGAGTCGCGTCTCACACTGGCATGGGAAATATGAATGCTGCATACATCAACTGTCCAGACTCGCCTATACACTGCGGATAACGCTACGCGACCAGTCGCAGAGTACGGTGAAGTGAACGACAGAGGGTGCGGAGTGATTTGAGAGTACAGAAAAGAAGAAGTTACGGATAGATGGATAAGGTTCAGCACTGGCAGCCTACGACGCGGTCACGCAGAGCGACACACCGCGACTCGCGTCAGTGATGAGGCGCGCTGACTGAAAATCTACATATGGCAACAAGCCTCGATTAATCTGACAGTAAATGTTATACAGCAAGGAGCTTACCCGTGAACGACTAAGCGTTTAGCAGCGGTAGAAGCACTTCATGCTCTTGGCGTTGGGAGCGGCAGCGCACTTGCCACCTCCAACGACGACGTTGCCGGTATCCTAGTCACAGGTCATCGTCAGCATCCGCAATGCGGTGAACTACAACCACGAAACAGAACAAAGTGAGGAAGGGAGGCAAACTCACAGTCTGCTCGACGCTGCAGTTGTCATCCGAGTAGAGGGTGCAGTCCGTGCCGAAGGTACCGTCGCCGGAGACGAACACGCTGCTGAAGCTATCGAACTGGAAGCAGTTGCCCTCGCAGGTCGGCTTAAAGCTGCCGATGGGGTCGCCCTTGCACTGGTCGTTGGAGTAGAACTTGACACATTCGCCGTTGGCGACGCCGCCGCTGTTCTGGCAGTTGGCCGCGAACGTGGTGGGGAGCATTGCGGCGAGGACGAGGGTAGCGATGGTGAGCTGCATGTTTGCGGTGGCGGCGCAAGGATGGGTCGTTGAGCTGAGAATGGAGGTGAAGTGGAGGCTCTGGTTGAGTTGCTGGATACTCTGGTTGAGCTGGAGATTGAGGCTTCAAGGACACCTCTATATATACTAGGCGTAGCCTTCCACTCCGCGCTATTCTGTGTAGCCGAGGCGCACATCGTGCGGGATGAAGCCGAGCATAAATGCGCCTGGAACGCATTGAGAGCATTGAAGGCATTGACGCGGGTGAACTGGGAGCCGAGAAAAACAGAAAGGAATATGAAATCAGCTGGTAACCGTATGAATTGGGAGAAATCGGGACCACAGAATGGACAATAGATTCTAACCTTGAAGAATCAGGCAAGCGTGCGAGGGAGTTACTAGTGGGCTCGGTCTTGCTCGGTCTTGCATCCGTGCATGCTTAGTGCTAGCCGAGCAACGCCGAGCTTCATGCAAGCATACTGGGTGCGCAAATGAGGAAAAGAGGGGAGCAAGCGCGCAGACCGAGAGGTTTGGCTCCACTCACAAGACTCAGTGCGGCGCTGAGCGCGCACCGCCCTTTGACCGCGCTTGTGACGAGCGCACTTGAGCTGGCTGTGCTGTCACGATTAATCAGCAACAGAGCGTGCAGGTGCACTGGACGCTTCTTAACGTACTGATCATTCTGGGTCTTGGACAACCATCTTCCAATGGCCTAGTTCAGCGGCCACGCCCACTTGTACAAGCGCGCCGTCGCCGCCCGCAGTGACTGAATATATGTCAATGCAGGGGAGAATTTTTTGGTCGTCAGGTGAACTACTGCCGGAGCCTTGTATTGCAAATGACTTCTCTGGACGCTTACCTATCCACCTCGACCGATGCCCGTCGGGAATTCCGAGTACCCTGAAATGCCAGTTGCCTTGTACATATTGAACGCATGATAAGGAACAGACAAATCTGGGTCCTCCCGAATGCTGCTACCGGTCAAAACTTAGCCCTTGAGTAGATGCGCCCTCATTGAATGTAGGACCCGATGTGCTCTAGTCGAGCCTATGAGCGACAGCACTTGTTACGTGACGGTGAACGAATTACTCACATGGGATCCTGCGTGGGTCTCATGATCATGATGAGTGCTCATCTACCTCGTAGTCACGGGCTGCACTCGGGAAATCTTCGTTAGAAATAGGTTATGTTGCAGACCTGTGCCAAGAATGTAGAGCGACGAGACCGTCACGTTGCCCAAGCTGAGCCAGAACCACACGGCTGTGCGTATTCTACAATAATGGCTACTCTGTACGAGATAGAGCGTTTGCTTGATGCAGAAGAGCAGGTGCTCTTGACTGGGCTGCGGTGTGACACGGTTTGTAGGGGAGAATCTGGTTGGGGACATCAGCAAGGCCGTAACGTGTACGCACAGTGGCCATGGAGGGCAGTACTTACTCAATCTGATCGTCCTTGTAGCGGCACGTCGGATCCTACAAGCGCACACAGAATTGAATTAGAGTGTTGAAACCTGCAGCATGGCCTGAATGAACGCTCTCCGAGTCCGAGTTTCCCGAGTTCCCTCGTGTTAGAGGAGATACGGCCAGGATCATTGCAGAGTGCCTCAGGGCTCGGCGGCGCGCGGATCCACATCTGACGCTTGATCGGCCTTGTGGTCGTTAGTGACGATCTAACCTCGAAACGCTGCGAGAACACAATACTCAAGCGTTAATTCACTAATGGGCTAGAAGCCTGATCGGAGGCATGAACAAGTCGGCGATGAGATGGCCAAGTCACCGCCAGCGGAGCGTTAGACGCCTGCGCCGGCAATACCCGCGACGGCTCCCGACGACTCGGAGTCAACGCGACTTCATCTGTGTCCCCATCATTTTTCCCCCTCTTGGCCTCACTATCTATCTCATCTTCAGCCTTTGCTCGCGGTGGCTACTCCCGATATGAGTCTTCCTTGGGTGTTCAAGCTGCCCATAGAACCTGCTCGACAGTGCCCTTGCGGCACCATTCAAATTGGCCAAGGTACGCACATTCTATCTCTTCTTATTCCTCCTGCCTATCGAAACACGCAGTTTGACGGCGTATCTCTTTTAGGCGTAACGCTTTCACCTACAACCTGTGTATCAGTATCGGCAGTGTATATATCTCTATCACGTTCGGTGCAATGAATGGCCTGCATCTGTCGAGCCTTGTGAGCGAGATAGACATGGAAGGATCAATTTTCCCCCACTTTCCTCTGGGTAGTATTTTCAGACGACTCACTGACTCAGGTCCTGGAGACATCTATGTGAGCTTTGCTGTAGGGACTTCGCCTTTGGCGCTGCGTGAGCAGGTCTGTAACTCCCGATTGCGATAGGATCTGTGTATTCATCGAAGCGTGTTGCCAGTGCTTGCCAGTGGCACAGTTCACAGCCTCTGCAAGGATCCACTACTTGGAAATGGATCTTTCTTACGCACTCATTGCTGAGGCGCTCTTAACTGGACCATTTCACTTGTTGGCTCGCGCGTGATCTCTGGCATTTCTCAGAATGCCTGCACCTACAAAAACGATGCATGCGAAGCTCTCGTTTTGGGACATGTGACCTATTGCATAGTCACGCTCGTGCATCCAACTTGCAGGATCATTTCAGTACACGAGCCACTTGACCACACTTACGGGCGGTCCGCAAGCTCCTACACAAGCGTTTCAGGACCCGATGATAGAGTAATTCATTCGCGCCTGGACGAACCTACCCTAGCCCACAGTCCAGGACTCCAGGACCTAGGACTCCCCGTGCATCTAGACCTGTGAAGCAGATCGTGTCCAATGGAGCTTCGCCACGTTTCCCCGTGCGCAAGCACTTGACTAGCAGCCATTTCCCTCGCACTAAACACCGCTGAGGCAGATCGGTGCCCCTGCGGTTGATCACCCACAGAGGATAGAGTATGGTCCTGTATTCTTTCTCGCCAGACGCCTGATACGGCACGACATGACCACGATGACGTCCTTCGTTGCGTCCGCACGCTCCATGGGATCCTGCATTCAAGATATGGGAGAACCCTTCTGGTGGCCTCGAGGACATGCAGTGGGAGTAGAGTATAGGGCTTCTATGATGATGTAGTATCTGGTGTGGAGAGTATCGTTGAAGTACCTGACATTCAGCAGGCGGCTAACAAAGTTGATGTACACCAGTTGCGTTGCACCGGTGCCACCTGGAGGAATGCGAGTGCTCTGCAGTGTAGTCGATGCGTGAACCCCTTCCTCGGGCTGTTTAGGAAGACTGGTGGTTCGTCGCAGGATCACCACTGTCTCCGTCGAGGACCGAAATTCAGCACGATCGCAAGATCCGAAAGTCACGGTGTACGGTAGTAGTAGCCGCATCAGCAAAAGTGTAAAAATCTTTTGCCGTATTGCCCGTTCAGGCAATACTCAGCGAGAGCACGCAATATACGTCAGATCATGCGCTGTCATGGGTGGTCTTGCAATGTCGTAAATATATTGCAAGACCTTGCAATATCCCACAACACCAGGCAATATCGGCAATACCGGGCAATACTTCGCATTATCGCAGGTATTGCGAGGTATTGCCGGTATTGCGCGCTCTCGGAATACATTTCCGGTATTGCAAGACCGTGCCACAACTGGCGCTTCAGGCAATGTCCGCAATCCTGTAGGATATTTTTACACTTTTGCTGATGGCACTGCCACGAAACACACCGATCGTGATGCAGAGTCGTCAACAGCGATTGCCTACACAGACAATACCGCATACTGGGCCCGGCATTACCTCATACGTTCAGCATCAACAAGTATCCCGGTAGAACCGCGGTAACAATTTGGGCCATGACGCCATATTGCCAATACTTCGCCTCATCTTACGATACCACGCAAAGCTTGCTCGCTAAGTTATATACTCCGGCCGTTGTAGTCAAATCGCGCATGCAGTACCTCCAGACAGAGCTTGGGCCGCGCACTAACGTCTTAGGACAGTTGCATCGCGCACGGCCGTAGCCGAGAGTCGACGTATAAACCAGCACACTAACGACCCCTCCTGGCTAGCACGCTCAATCCGAAGTGCGGCATGCCGAACCATGCTTCAAGAATCACTACATTTCTTCTGAACCCAATTCTTTGAACATTACTAAGTTCCAGATATTCCGCACCATCCGTTCATCTAGCGCGTCACCTTCCCCGCTGCCTCACTGGTTCAAGGCAGCTTGGGTGGCGAGAGCCTTCTTGACGCTGTCGCGAGACACCAGCTTCTGGTGCCACCTACACGTTGAACACCCGCGTCGATGTCAGCTTCAAATGTATGCGGAGTGGTAGATGTGAAAATTGAGACTCACGCGAAGAACGCCGGATAGTCCTTCTCAACGTCCGCGTAGTCCTTGAGGGTGAACCCGAGCGCGACATTGGTCCAGGTGATGAAAGAGAAGTCGGCGATGGTGGGCTTCCCGCCCACGAGCCACTCCTGCTTGGACAAAACCGACTCGAGCACGGAGATGACACGAAGAGTCTCCTTGCGGTACCTCTCGATTGCGCTCGGAACCTGTTCGGGGTGGTAGCGCAGGAACCATGCCGCCTGGCCGAAGTACGGGCTATATCGACGAGCTATCAGTACTGGCTCTACGTCACTTGCGGATTAGGAGACCAACCCCTGGCCGGAGGACTGGAAGAAGAGCCACTGGATGAGGGAGTACTTCTCCTTCTCGTCGGTGACGGTGAGCCGCTTCTCAGTATCATACTTGTCGGTGAGGTAGAGGAGAATAGCGTCGGACTCCCAGAGAACGAAGTCCCCATTCTTATGGTCGATGATCGTAGGGATGCGGCCGTTCGGGTTGTACTTGGTGTATTCCGGGGCTTTCTGCTCGTTCTTGCCGAAGTCGAGGTAGATGGGTTCGTAGGTCAACCCGAGCTCCTCGAGAACGTTGACGACCTTCCTGTGGGCGAATTATGCTGAGTAGCTGCGATACTGAAGGCGGCGAGGAGACGGAAAAAACACTGACCAGCCGTTGGGGCCTCCAGCGTGGGTGTAGAGGGTCAATTGTTTGCCGTGCGACATCTTGTTATGATGCTAGTAAATCTTCGAAGAGGAAAGGCGAAGAGGTTGTGGGGATGATCTCCATGAAGCCATGTCTTCGTCTCCTATATAGCAGAGCCTGCTGCTGAGGACATGCCCTTGACTTGGATCCTGGACATTTCTGCTACTAGCTTGAAGTGCTTACACACCTTCATGCTTGGTAAGTGTGGCGTAGACCCCAGAAGACAGAACTTCGAGGCGAGTTGAGTCGGTCAGCATACTACCTAACTGGGGATAAAGAAGAATAGTATCCGACATACCACCACACAGACACCTTTCGATCGCCGAAGTTGCCACAAGGTTTTGATGGAAGCAGCTGTTGCCGCTGCAGTGCGATGGTCTGACATAGCAGCACACGAATCCAGATCCTTGGTCAGCAGATCTGCTATCAATAACATCGACGTGGTGGCAACAGAGAAACATCCCAATGACAAAGAATCTAGCGAATCATGCTACCTTTGCTGATCAAGACTAGCGACGAGGAACGTAGAGACCAATACGCGCATACATTGTCAGCAGCTTGCGCACGCATAGTTACGCGGATCTGCTGAAAATTGGCACGAGTCAACGTCCACGCGTAGCCTACGCTACCCTGTGCTTTGTCTGTTGTGGAATCTACGTGCTTCTCGATGCTAGATAACATGAGTACGTCAATTGCCCGCCTATTCACAGCAAATATTCACCGACAATTCCTATTCTCCGTGTTTCGAAGACGTACTTACTCGTCATTCACGTTCGGATCGAGGGAGTCGAGGTTCGCCGCGCCAGGCGTCCAAGACACCCGAGAGCGCCCATGCCACGTGTGTTCTTTCGGTGAACTCAGCAATTCAGACGCCCAGCTGCAGCACATCCGACTGTCGTCAGAAGGTCTTTACTGCTGGCTGTATCTACGCTCATGAATCAAATCGAACTCTCGCATACTCAGCATTTCGGCACGATTCTGGGGTGTTTACGCGACAAAATCGACTAGCATGGGTTTGCATGAACCACGAGGCCTCATAACCGAACCCGGACTCAGGCTGCTTTGGCAGACTTGGTTGGCATCGCTATACTGAGCTAGGAATCTTCCTTATCTCGTATTTCGTGTACGAGCTGGCTACGGTTGAAGAAGGAGACCACAAGTGCAGTCACTAACCCGAGATTGACTATGTTTCATATTCTGATTTCCACCTTGAGCCAAGAAGTTCTGAGACATTCTCTGATACTGGCTTAAGAACATGAAGATATGATGCACACTTCCGTCGTACAGGAGGAGAGATCGTCTCGTGAGTTGTCGTGTTAAACCTCGAAGTCGACATAGACGACGCGCACTGAAATGAATGCACGCACTTGCAGGCTTGAATAGGCGTGACTTCAGCCGACATATTTTTCCGATCCCCTTCACCCTCCGAAACCTTACAGAACGCGAATTTTGGAAGAGCATGGTTTTGCTGTAAGTATGTATCACTTGACAGGATCCTACACAATGGGCTCCTGGAGTGTTTTACACTCGGCGATACCTCGTCACGCCGCTCCTAATAGTAAAAATTAAGACATGCACGTCCTCGCTTTCCCAGGAGGCACAACCACGTTCAGCGGGCGTACAGGGGGCCTACACATCCTTAGAGGCCATCTTCGCTAGTGTCTCGCCATGTGCAAGCCTTGGATGCAAAGAGGGCATGTCGCTGCCGCACAGGAATCGAGATGGCTTGCGTGAAATTGAATAGCTCTCTGAAGCTTGTTTTCGTTACGTAGGATCGCAGTCAGGGTGAGTCGACAACTTAACGACGCGAGGGATGGCCGCGGTCATTGCAGCATAGGCTTGAATCAAGCCACGCTCCCAACTGCTTCATGCGCTTGGCTCTGTAGGGAAACAACTGCTTAGTACCTTCGTAAAGCAGGGTTCCACTACCCAGCCACGCTTGGTACAGCAGGCCTAGGCGGCTCACAATTGTTGTGTTCGCAAAGCTGGTGTGGCGCCACACGATATCACTGTCGCGCTTTGTGTCGCCCACCGTGGTTGTGGCAAAGCGACATGAGGAACATTATGATATATACTGCTGCCAGGCTTTCCTGTTTCCTCGCCTCTGTACCACATTCCCTTTCTTCCCGACGTCACTTGATCTAGCGGAATGCCTCGCAAGTCCCGAGAGTCGCCCGTCAAGATCAAGAGCCAAGCCTCCCCCTCGAAGTCCTCCTCTCCCGAAGAACCCGAGCGCATTCGCCGTCCACCGAACGCGTTCTTCCTATACAGGAGCCATCTTTGGGACACGGTCAAAACACAGTGGGCTGAGAACAGCGAAAAACGCCAAGTCAACTTCTCGAAGTACGCCGGCGAGCAGTGGCAATGCGAGTCGGCGGAAGTGAGGGACCACTGGGAAGCCCGCGCGGCTACGGAGAAGAAGGCCCACAAGGAACGCTATCCGGACTACAAATTCTCTCCGCGGCCTAGAGGGGAACCCAAGCCCAAGCGGGGGCGGGCTTCTGGGAAGAAGAGCGCCAAAGCAGGAACTTCTCGCGCCACCCATGGCGACGGCCAGGGCCTGGGAGCACAGGGGCAGCTTGAGCAGCCACTGCAGCCTCCGACAGTCGAAGAGGAGATCGTGTCCGAAGACGTCGACATGCTCTCCGACGACGACTGCGCAGATTATCTTCACGAGTCCGATACGTTCGACTTCGCCTGCTCGGACTCGGCGCCCCCAACGCCAGCACCCCCCGCGGCCCAATTTGACTGGACGATGCTTCGCCAACACATGCCCGACGATCGCGACGGATGCGACGATGAACAGCCTAGTGAAGCTAGCGAAGAGCTGCTAAAGATGGAGGAGGACTACATCGACTATGACGGGGCCATCTGTCGCTGACAGTTTTGTTCGTTAGCACTTGCCCTGGCGGTGCCCGGAACCCTTAGTCTTGTACCTGTACACAACGCGCTGAGTTGCTAGCGGCAATAGAGAAGGGACTCGAGCCCACCTGGTCATAAGCATTCCCCCGCCGAACACGCATAACGGCCTAAGTTTGGGCCCGAAACGACAGGAAGGCGCATCCTATAGACGCGTACAAGGCAGGCTTGACGACAGAAGTGGAATGGAGGCAAGCAACGTACATGGGTGATAAGCTAACGGTATCGGCCTAAGTGCCCTTCGGTGCACCCGTCGACCCGAAAACAGACCAGCGCGCAGTGTTTGAAAGGTATGTACTACACGAGGAGAATATATAGTATTATGCGTGATACATTAGGCCCCGTGGAGCGTTCTCGTGCTTGCTGAGACCCGCCTGGTACCAGGACGAACAAGAAAGTCCGTCGCGTCGTGAGAGCGCCGTGACACATCACCTACATCGTACAACAACATCCACATCGTGGCACATCGACAGCAGCAGCACAGCAGACGAGCAAAGGAAGAGCGTAGCGTGCGCGGGGTACGGTCTCAGAAGATTATCGCGAAGATTTTTTGGCCGATGGTGCGTGGAGGCTCTTCGGGGATTTCGGTCTCCTCGACAGTCGGGATGCCGGTGACGAAGTCCATTTCTTCCGGCTTCCACACCTTTGTTCGCTTGATGACCTTGTACCCGATCCAGAGTATGAAGAAGAGCGGGATGTTGATGTCTATCGCGAAACGAGGAAATGAGCATTGGATGACAGGCGGAACAGCACAGACCGCGGATACGCACAAGAAGTCAGGAAGCTGGACGCGTTGAAGTTCCAGAAGACGGTGAAGCCGTTGATGAGGATGAAGATGGTGATCCAGAATATGCCCCAATACGCGAGGTACGGCTGGAGCGGGTTCCAGTAGAGCAGCTTCTTGCGGTCGAGGCCTTGCGCCTTGAAGCCACGGTCTGTAGATGCGCATCAGTCTCCGCATTCTTGTGATGCGAATCAGATCTTCCGTGTACTTACAGAAGTAGACGTAGGTCAAGTTCATCGACCACCAGCCGAAGAATCCACCGACGGCAGACAAGCTCTGGAACCAGTTGAACACCGTCTCACCGCCGCTAGACACGGTCATGAACGCCAGCAGGGAGAACGCGCTCGACGCGAGCACAGCCAAGAGCGGAAGACCCTTCTTCGTGCAGTACGTGAAAATCTTGGGCGCTTGTCCTCGGAGCGCGAGACCATAGAGAACACGGGAGGCGCAGAACAGGAACGAGTTGCCGGCGGAGAAGGCGGAGGTGAAGACACCAGCGTTGATGATGTGCGGAAGGACCTTGATGCCTGCGCGGGTCATGGCGATGACATAAGGGGACTCGGCGGCGTTACCAGAGGCTGAGAGCAAGTTTGGGTCGTTGAAGGGGACGATCATGCCGGTAATGAGGAGACCGAGGAGCTGTACAGCACGGAACAGATTGGTCATAAGGTAAAACGCACAGGATTCACGGACGGACGACTCACGTAGAACACAAGAATGCGCCAGAATACACGGCGAACGGCCTTCGAGATGTTGCGACGAGGGCTCTCGGTCTCGGAAGCGGCGCTGTCAAGGTATCGATGTCATTGCCGAGTTCCTCGACGTACAAGAGAACACGTACACTGCGACAAGCTCCATACCCTGGAAGGAGAACGCGGCCTGAACGATCACGGACAAGATACCGAGGAACTTGTCGAGGCCTGGCTTGCTGGGAGTGAGATCGGCGCCGTTGAGCGGACCAGGATTCTTCCAATACTAAAAAGTTGCAGAAGCCATCAAAATGCCTTCTGCGAGAGGCATGGGCAACAGGACCTACATGGAAGCCCAAACGCTGGTGGTTTGGAGCACCACCGAGGTCGATTACCAAGCCGGTGATGATGAGGATGGTGATCAGAGATACTGAAGTGCACAATGACAAACACCGTGGTTAGTACCACGCGCTTTCGGATTTTCATCCGTCCTACATGACGGCAAGGACCATTTTGACTCGGCTACACTTACACTTGATTATGGAGAAGACGAACTCGGACTCCCCAAACCATCGCACGCCGAAAATGTTGATGGCACATGCGCAGACAACGATGGCGGCGATGTAACCTGCTTGATGCTTGCTCTGTCGCATGTCATGACAAGGAAAGTCGCGTTTAGCGAGTGGGGTAGGCGACTGAACTCAAACGCCGCACTCACATTGTCATCCCAGAACGTGAGCAGAAGGCCAGCGGCGCTGATTTCAACAGGGACCGAGATGGCGTTGGTATAGAAATAGTTCCAGCTAAAACGAACGAAAGAGAATCCATGTCAATTTCCCATCTGTCCGAAGAGCGGCCGAAAAGGGCGCGCGCTCACCCAAGTGCGAATCCCAAGGCGGGGTCCACCCAACGCGCAGCAAAGTGGGGGAAGGTTCCGGATATCGGCGCGTGGGCGGTCATCTCACCGATGGCGCAGAGGGAGGCGTATGCGGTCGTGCCGACGAAGGCGTAGGCGATGAGGGCGCCGAGCGGGCCAGCTGCTTGGAGGGAATGACCAGAACCCAAGAAAAGACCAGTGCCAAGTGTACCAGCGATCTAGCGAGGTTGAGCACACAACTTTGTACCGAGAGAAGAGCGGGCAAGTGGGGGGAGCGTGACGCGATGGCACCACGCCCATGTGGAAACGTGAGATGAATACGGAATGGGGACTCACAGCAATCATCTGGACATGGCGCTGCTTCAGCCTGCGCTGGACGCGGTCGAGATCGGCTGCGTCGAAGTGGTAGCGATCGTCGGTCTGTTGCACGACATAGTCGTGAACGGCACCCTTTTCGAGAGAGCTTGACCCATCGGTCTTCTCTTGAGAGTCGCGCTTCTCTGACATTGCGACAAAGACAGCAGGGGGGCGGGCGAGCAATGAGGTTGGGGAATGAAGAAGAAATGTCAAGGGCCCTCAGGCAGATGAGGGATGCGCACAGAAAAGAATGGATGGGAAAGACCCCGCCTGAAGTGCAGCGTTGGAGAGAAAGAGCTCGCTGAGCCGCGAAGGGTATGGGAGGAGTATATAACCCCGGGCAAATACGTCTCCCGATGGCCACGGAGCGAATTCGGCCTGGGACGCCCATGTCAGTTGCAGGAAGAGTGTGGAGGCGAGATAAGGAACGCAGGAGCTCATGGGACCTGCTGATAACGGTTGATGCCATGATGGCGGGTGGGGGGGGGGTCCCAACCGAGCAACCGATGTCTCGCCCCCACATTCCAAACAGCCATCCACGACGCGACAACACCCGCATCATGTTTGAGTTGTGTTCGCATCTGTTCTCACTGGCGACGCAGCCATAGTATGGCGGGCTACTGTGTTGATAACCTACGCCCTTGAGGATGCTAGAGGCGAGCAGGCTGCGGAATCCGGAAGGAACTGGAAAATAAAACAGGCTCGGTGAGCAGGTGGAGAGACAGAAATGGCATTAGCGATCGCGGCGTGAGAATGGCCGGCTAGGGAACCACGCGTGCCACCGTGGAGAGGCGCGCCCACCCCGACATGGACATGCCATCAAACGCATGTTCTTTCATTCCATCGTAGCTCGATCTTGCAGCTCACAAGCGGCCGCGGCAACATTTAAATCTGCCTCAGATCTTCAATCGTGTGTTCCGAAACGGGCGCTTGACAAACCGCAGGCACCCGAAGGCGCACCGTTCCTTTGGCCTCGCAAGTCACGCACACGAGCACTATTACTTGATACTACGAGAGCATCAGGCTGACTTCCTGAGCGCAGGTGCCTCAGACAGACAAGGCCAGACGACTTACGACGGGGTCGTCCTCATTGATACGGGAGAGATGAACAGTTGGGCGCGTCGCAACAACTCGACGTCTTGGGCGTAGTCGGCCGAAGCTCGACGAGTCATAAATGTGTCCGCGCATGCTCTCGGAAAAGCCAGTGGCAAAGGTGTGTGTCAGACTGAGTGCTACCAGACCGTCGAGGGTGGCATGACTCACAACGTAAAGCGGCCTCATTCATCACCGCTTATCTCCCGCCGGTCTTCAAACTCGGACGTTGATCGAAGTCGACGACAGAATTCCTCCGGTCTCTTTGCGCGCAATGATGGTGGATAGACGTTAGGGATTAGAATGCCGGAGACTGCTGACAGTTCCCATGCTGGGGAAGATCGGAAGTGGTCAAGTAGGCTGGCAGTGTCCCTATCTGGAACCCGAGGGCAGGCATCGAGAGATAAGAACATAATTGCGGCTGAACAACTGCACGTGCGGGGCGATAAGGAAACTGCTCGCCTGTGCGTCATATGTAGAGCAGGGGAACGCTGTGAGTGCAAATCGTGTTTGACGTCTGCAAAGGCCCGGAGCGGGATGAAGAGCTGACTTCCACACCCCCAACCCAGCAGACGGTCCTCGTTATGGGCACTTATCAGCTGTCCAGTGCATGAGATGCCCTGCATGAGATGTTCTGCCTGGCCCCCAATCACGAAGGGCTCTCCACACCGGGCGAGATGAGACGAGATGCCTAGACAAGGCGTTCACGTTATAGTCACTGTCAGCACATGGTCCGGCAGGCCGTCTCGCTGAGTAAGGGCGCTAGGCCTCTTCAGCGGTCTTCCAACGGTCCAGCAGTTTCCAGGGGCTGATTCGACGATGAGCGGGGCAGGCAGGCCAATGGATACCGTAAGGACCGGGCAACCATCCCGAATCACGAATGTGCGTTCTGGTACCGTCATGAATGGATGCAAAGAAGATGTTCTCTGTAGTCTGAAATTGATACATATCGCTTTCCTGATAGAAGTCTTAGGCCCAGACGCGTTCAATGCTCTAGCGAAACGCGCCCTGCATGCCCTCGGTATGTCAGGACCGTCGTGCCGTCAGGATCCGAGACACGGATGCTACATAAAGTGGAGCAGACGCGCAATTGTACTACTTCCTCCGTGTTGAGAATCTAGTCCAAACAAGTCACTTGCAGGGAAGTGCACATCGGAAGGCGCAGTTGTGCATATGCTCGAAGATCCGTCCGTATAACTTGTCCGCGCCCATGGCGATGCAATGACACGCCTTGGCGTTCCACACATCTGGGTTGTCACCCCACCACCTTATTCTAGACAGGCTTTCGCTCTTGTGGGCTTTCCTTCCACGCGCTTACACCTGAGAGCGCATATAGGGACATGTAGGACGTGGCGTCACCCGGCATCTCACGCAAGGCGCCATCTACTGCGAGCAGTCATCTGGAGACACATGGCGAGTCCCGGAGAACGTTAATGACTTGATTCATTGGATTGGACACTCACGACGACCACCTTGGCCGGCCTGTACGGACATTAGTGAGAATGCCATGGACCACTTGTGGCTTGCGCAGTCACATTAGCTTGATGTGCGGGTCGAGAGAGCATAAAGCTGCATTTGACTCTTGAGACACAATACTCTGGGGTGCCTGCTACGATGGAATTTGTGGAACCTACGAGAATATGAGCAGCCTCCTTTCTTGAAGTGTCCTTCGTTCCGGACAATTCGTTCGTCAGGCTTCAGTTATTGGTACAACTTTCGCCTTATCAGTGAGCAATGCGTGCCTCGCGTAACAAATAATTCCGTTCAGATATCTCGGGAGTGTTGTTAGAATGCACGTGGCAAAGGGTGACGGGAGGACGCAAGAACGATGAGGTTGATGATGGTCATTTACGGTGGCTGTGGCTTGGTCGGACAAAGCGCCGGTTTGGTGATAAGCGCTTGCACACTATGAGGCGTTCGGCCCTGGACTGCTGAGACTTGACATCACCCGCCCTTATCCACATTCTTCCCGTGCTGCCTCTCGTAGGCTCTAGGCGACACTGTACGACGTTCTATTCATTGTCTTCCTTGAGATAGGGTGACCACCATCATGACAAGTCGTTTGAAACGCAAACTGAACGACCTTGGTGTGGATACCGCGAGCTCGAAGGCAAACGAGAACTTCTGCTTGGTATGTCTACTTGCGTGCGCCCCGAGCTCCTGAAAACGCTTATATATCAACTATTATGTGTCCGCAGATTGGAACGCCGCTGCCGCCACTCGAGAAGTCGAAAGATATCGGCGAATTTGTTCCCTTATGGAAGCAAGACGTACGTTGATATTGATACATGCACGAGAGCTTTCATTCAAGCGCGTCTTCATCACTGTCAGGTCCGCGATGAGAAGGGACGGAGGCGGTTACACGGAGCGTTCACGGGAGGCTTTTCGGCTGGGTACTTCAACACCGTAGGCTCGAAGGAGGGTATGTAACTCACGCTGGACGATTCACAACGACGAATCACTGAGCTACATACACGATCAGGATGGACGCCGTCGACGTTCGTGTCGTCAAGGAACGAGCGCGCCAAGAAGAAGGCAGCTCGGCCAGAAGACTTCATGGACGAGGAGGACCTGGCGGAGCTGCGTGAGAGTCGGAAACTTGTAGACGAACATGAAGAGATGGACTTTGGTGGCACTGCGGCAGAGAAGAGGACAAAGGCTGGCGAGGCAGGGGATGAAGAGTGCGTACGGAGCCAGTCCTCGAGTGCGTCCTGTAAGCTGATAGCAGAACCAGCCCTATCACTTCCGTTCTCGCCGCTACACTTGTGCCTCCACCCAAAGACTCGGTCGGCGCGAAGATCCTGAAGAAGATGGGTTGGAGGTTGGGACAAGGTATCGGCCCTCGCCTAACGTATGCACAGAAGAGAGCCCAGGACGCCGGCTTCATGGACCCCTCAAAGGAAGTCAACGGGGATGAGGAGGATATCGAAGAGGCTAGGAAGCACCTGTACCCCCGGAAGGACGCCCCAGTCGTGATCTATCCTCGAAAGGATAATTTCCACGGTTTAGGGTACGCACCGGGGCTCAGTCTCCACGAGAGTGTCGGTGGAGAACGAGGATCAACGGGGCCCAACATCTCTGGTTCGTATAGTTCTCAGCTAACGGTCATTTTCCGAAGTTGGCTTATGTTGCTTTTCAAAGCTGGTTTTGGTTTGGGAGCCCTGAACGATGCAGATGATGACGACCTTGACATTTATGATGGTGGCCCCTCCGGTCGTAATCGTATGGCTTATGACAGTAGTCTGGGCGATGACGATCATTATATTACCGTCGGGTCCAGTGCTTCTCGGAGGCGAAATGCAATACAGGAACCTGTGAGCTACACGCATCGTGTAAATCCTGTATGACGTGGCTGACCCACGTTGGTAAGAGTGTACCCCCAGGAATAACTCAGACCTTCAACGACGGAACTCCTGTCCTGAAAGGCTTTGTCCTCTCTAACAAGCCAGTCTCTGAGGATCGCTGGTTCCCGCTCCCAAAAGTTCCTCCAGATTGGCGACCCGATCCTTACAGGGTCTGGAATCAAGACAAAGGCAAGGAAAACGAGCCCTCAACGGAGCATCCAGCACAGTCCACACGCTCTCACGTGGAATGGAAGGCCAGTCAGCTATCGGCCGACCAGGTCAGTGTCCTATCGCGCTGTGGTTAATCTATTCTAATTTACCATGATTGTAGCGAGGCTCAATGCTAGGCGAGACCCCTCTACCGGCGAAGACGCGGTCGGTATTCGAGTTCCTTTCCCAGAAGGACCGCGAACGCCTCCAATCCCTCCGCAAGGCACGCGCGGAAGGCGCAACCTTACCTTCGACGAATGCTAGCACTCCTCCCCGTCCTCCCACCCCCGGTCCCCAGCCTCAAGCCCCCAGCGGTATACGCATCCCGAATCTCCATCCATCCATTGCGAAGGCTGCGCTCTCTGGTTTCCAGCCGTTCACCGCCGACCCACTTAAGCAGTCGCGCTACACCGCCTTCCTCACTTTCCTCTCCGACCCCTCCCTTGCTGATTCACCCGAGAAGCTCGGTTTTGGTCGCTTCCCGCACCAAAGTGTCGATGAGTTCAACAAGGAGCTCGAGGACTACGCCAAGTCAGCGACGGTGTTCAAGCCCCTCTCCGCCGCAATGGCGGGCCGCTTCCGCTCGTCCGCCGTTGTCGAATTAGGCCCCAATGTCGTCGAGGGCCTCCACCAGCCGACATCCTACGCGGAGCATGTACCCGAGGAAAAGGGCGAGGAGCCCCTAGACAAGGAGGAGGGGGACCCGAAGATGGGCGCGGTGCGACTGGGGATGTACGGCCCACTCACGAGGGAGACGGTGCCTTGGCACCCCGCGAAGCTGCTATGCAAGCGGTTCGGGGTGAAGGAGCCGGAGGTAGACTTGACGGAGCAAGCGGGCGCTGCGTCAGCGGGGTTCGAGTTCGCCACGGGTGCGGCCGCGGCAGCGAAGAGGGACGCGGGAGGAGCCGCCGGTTCCTCCACGGACGCAGGTCCTTCGTCTGCTGCGCCGATTGCGATGATCACAGCGTCCGAAAGCGTAGAGGAGCTGAAGAGCGGGCCGAGGAATTTAGCAAACATAGGGTTAGGAGAGGACGAGACGCAGGGTAGAGACATCCTGACGTACCAGCGGCCCGCGATGGACGTCTTCAAGGCGATCTTCGCGAGCGACGATGAGGATAGCGACGACGAAGGCGAGGAAGCGAACGACAAGGCGGAGCCGACATCCCCGCCCTTCGACATCCTCGCCCTTGCGAAGCTGAAGGCCGAGCCTTCTGCATCACCCGCGCCTGTGGCGCGGCCTAACGAGCCGTTAGAGCAAGTCGACCTCGCGACGTTCAAGCCGACATTCGTTCCACGCTCGGAACGCGAGTCGCGCAAGGACAAGGACGGGAAGGGCAAGAAGAAAGATCAAGATAAGAAGGCAAAGGCGACCCTAGTCTCTTTCGACGCCGAGGACGACGGGAGCATACCCAGCTTCGGGCCCGCGCCGCCCAAGGAGAAGGAGAAAGATAGAGAGCGCAAGAAGAAGAAGCGGAAGGAAAAGCATGGGGAGGATGAAGACGATAGCATGTGGGTGGAAAAGCCTGCGCCGGAGGTCGTCAAGAACCTCCCAATGCCTACGAGCGCTGCTGCTGGGGTGGGGATGCAAGTCGATGGAGATGAGGCGGGTCCGCAGAGAGGGCGGAAACGCGCGATCGACTTTATGTAGAGCGTTCAGATTGCTATCGTATCATGCTGTGCGGACTGTAATATATCCTGCTGTAACCGTACTAGTCAGACTACTCGTCTTCTGACTCTCCGTCGCCTTCCTCCTCCGCTTCCTCTTCCTCCTCGTCACCTCCGTCTGCATCGTCCTGGAGGCCGAAGTCGTCCTCGTCGGCTTCAGCGTCCTCCTCGTCACCGTCGACTTCACGTTTGCGCTTGCCGTTGGTGGATGCAATCGCGACGACATCTCCCTCGGCTAGGGTGAGACAAGTGAGACGCGTCTTTTTAGTGTCGTACTCGGCGACAGGTTGAAGCTGGGTCTTCTCCTCTGAAGATACAGGGAGCGCGGCAAGGTCGTACAAGCGAATCTTGCCATCTGAGGAGATTGTGCAAACGACAGTCGTGGATGTGCGAGACGCGCTCGCGGGGAGGGCAATTTGTATGGTATCAATGGCCTTCACGCTGGAAATGATCATGTCAACCAGAGACAAAGTATAGGAACAGAAAGACGGACCGATTGGTATGGCCGACCATTTCGGCGATGATGGACGGAAGTTTTGTTCGGTCTTTGGGGACATCGTACACGGAAAGCTTCTTGTCCTCCGCCCCGGCGAGAAGGAGTTCACCTTCGCCTTCAGTGCGTTTGCAGAATTTGATGTCATGTAGTCGGGAGGGATGGATGATGGTATGAAGAAGGGCCATCTCCTATGAATGCAATAGATATGACGATTGCGACGGGAGGCACGACTAGCCGTAGTACTTACCGTGGAGTAGATCTCAATGGTGTTTTGCGCTTGTACAGCAAAGATGGACCCATCCGTCGACCAACGTACAAGTTCGCCCTCTGCGAAGATATCAGACAGGATCCGGTGAAGCACCCGAAGTGACACGCACCCTTGCCAATCTTCGTGCTCGCAGAACCCTTCCCTCGCATGAGATCCCACATACGCAATGTCCTATCCTTCCCAACGCTCAGCGCGACCTTACAAGACTGGTGTACGGCGACGGAATTGACGCGTCCTTTGTGTCCCTTCAGTTCCCGAAGTACTGCCCAGTCGCGCGCGCGGAAGAGGCATAACGTCCCGTCTTCTGAAGCGGACAAGAGATGGGATCGTGAAGGAAACTCGAGGTGTGTTATGGAACCTGAAGCGATCGAGATAAGTGCGTGGTTCTAGAGGTGAATATAAAGATCACGTGCCTTGGTGCTGCATGAGACCACCCAGCTCCTTTCGTCTCCTCAAGTCCCACACCTTGATGATTTCGTCTGCGCTCCCTGTAGCGAGCCACTTTCCTCCGTGAGGCGAAGCAGCAACAGACTTGATGCATGACATATGGGCGGGAAAGATGAATATTGGCTTGATGTCGAACGTGTATGCAGATGAGGGCTCGTCGGAAGAGACAGTGCCCGCGAGACCATAGAGTAACTTTTCATAAGAGCCGGCGATGACTTTGAAAGACGTAGGCAGAAGTGTAGAGGAGCTAGGATCAGACGTCGCGGTGGTAAAAACACTAGTAGCCTTCTTGTGTTTCTTGAGGATGGATGGTGATGTAGCTGCCCGTTCCTTCCCCTTCGCTTTGAGCGAGAGTTTCGGTGCGTCCGAGAGGTCGGGACGAGATTGCGCCTTAGCAGCTATAACCCTGTTCTTGGGAGACTTTGGAGACTCGACGCTCACCCGAGCCTTCTTCTTCAGGCTGGGCTTCGCTGCGAGAGAGGAACTTTTGGTAGAACGAGCCGACATGGAGAGCAGGGAACGGGTGTGTGCCAAAAAAATCCTCATACAGGAAATGGCGGTTGTTTGCTCATATTAGGATCACAAGCCTTTGGACAACAAATGAAAACAACGCGCGACGCGGACAGAAAAGCCACATGCCCAGACTGCGAGTCCGCCGCCACTACCGCGGCGGAAAATGATCTCTCGCTCTCCCTCGAGATTCTGCAGGCTACATGAGACTATCAGACCATATCAAAGGAATGTCTCTAGTCCGGCTCGGGCTCACCCTACCAACGCGCTAGTCGGACCGCTCGGGACTTCCTCGTACCCATTGTCTGGAGCTGGACCCCTAGTAGGATTGCGTCTGGCAGTGAAGGACAATATATGCACCAAGTCACTGCCAACAACATGCTCGTCTAAAGTGCTTCAGGACTATCATTCTCCCTTTGACGCGACAGTCGTTTCATTGCTCTGGAATAACGGCGCGGAGATTGTTGGGAAGGCGAACTGTGATGAATTCGGGATGGGGCGAGTATATGTCTGCTTCAGAACAGGTATATCCTCATACATAGCAGATCCCTCAACCTGTACTCGGTCCATGGTCCTGTAGTTAACCCCTTCGGTTTGCAAGGAGAAGAATCCGCCGCGGAACGGAGATCTGCGGGAGGTAGTTCGGGTGGAAGTGCTGCCGCAGTCGCTGCTGGCCTATGCGAAGCGTACGTGTTGTCAAGACCGCCATTTACGTTTGCGCTGAAGCTGCATGAAGGATAGCGCCTTAGGTACGGACACCGGCGGTTCTGTGCGATTACCAGCCTCGTATTGTGGAGTTGTAGGCATGAAGCCTTCATACGGTATCATTAGCAGGTGAGCACGCATCGATCAGAGACAAGTTGTGTACTCCGTTTTATGTCTGGTTGGCTGCAGATGGGGTGTCGTTTCCTTCGCCGACAGTCTGGACTGCGTAGGCGTTCTCGCGCGAGACATTGACACTACCAGACGTGTCCATGGTACGTTACTGGTTCTCCTCCCGTGGTGCTCATACTCACGATTTCATCAAAGACAGCCTAGCTGTCTGGGACCACAGAGATCCAACGGCCGCCCCTCTCCATGTGAGGACAAGAGCTAAAGGCGTCAGCGAGAGTGCCCTCGAGTACCTCAAGAGCGAAACCCTTGCCGGCCTTCGAATAGGTGTTCCGCGGGTACGTGTATGCTTCCACGCGTGATGAACTTTGCTGACATTAAGGATAGGAGTACTTCCCGAGCGAACTGGAGCAAAGCGTAGTCGCACCCCTTCGCAGCCTTCTGAACCAGCTACGAGCTCGCGGGGCGACCATCGTTCCGGTGTCCCTCCCCTCGACACCATACGCTCTGAGCGCGTACTACGTCATCTCCAGCGCCGAAGCCAGTAGCAACCTCGCAAGGTACGACGGAATTGAGTATGGTGAGCAGTCGTGTCGCACCGTTATTTGACGCAATGCTGAACGTGCGCCCCAGGTATGCGCGTCGAGCCACCTCCAGGCGCGAACTTCACAAAAACTGCCAACGTCTACGCATATACTCGATCACAAGGGTTCGGTAGGGAAGTCCAGCGGCGCATACTGCTGGGCACCTATGCGCTGTCGGCTGAGTGGGTGGTCCGCTCATACGAAGATGTTTATGGCCGGAGCTGACGTCTCGCATGCTACAGCGCTTTTGAGAACTACTTCCTGCAAGCCCAGCGGGTGCGCAAGCTCATCAAGGCTGACTTCGACCGTGTCTTCTGTATTCCCAGCGTGCTCAACTCGCCATCAAGCCCTATATCGGCTGGTCCATCAGAGGGCGTCCACGTCCTAATTCATCCTTCTGCGATTCGGACTGCCCCTGCCCTCCCAACCTTAGACAGCGAGGGTAATCCAGAGGACGGAACAGACGCGCCCACGTCTACCCTCGACGCGTATGTGCAGGACGTGATGACTGTCCCTGCGTCGCTAGCGGGTCTCCCGGCTTTGAGTATCCCGGCGGGCACGGGCGCCGATGGATGGCCGATCGGCGTCAGCGTAGTGGGACAGTGGGGTAGTGATGAGTTGGTGTTGAAGGTCGGAGAGATCATAGAAAGATGTCGGGGAGATACTTGAAGGTAGTGCGTATCTCAGGTGAGTAGTTCTCGCCTTTAAATTAGTGGGTACTCTGCAGCTACTCAGATAATATCAACTTCAGATACTAGTACAACAATCAACCGAGCCCTATAGCGGAATGCCAGACAAATCCAACTCGACCTACGACATCGCGTCAGCGTTTGTCTTGCAGTTGGCGTTGAGTGGACTCGAGAGCTCACCTGCGAGATCACTCTATCCACGGCATCAGCGTAGCTCTGCAGCAATCCCGATGCCCATTCAAGCCGATCCGACATGGAGCAGAAGAACAGGGGCGGCGTCTGGGTGGCTGCCGGGTATTGCCCATTGTAATTCATACCCAAGGTCTGGCTACCGTGGATTCCCCACTGGCCTCCTCCATACCCACCAGGCGAGCTCACCTGGGCAAGTGTGCTTTGCGCATGCATGCCGTCCATGACTAAGCCCACCAAGCTCATATCGCCCGTGAAGGCCTTCCCACACGGGCGCTTGTCTAGCATATCCTTAATCTTCTGAAACACGGATCTGAAGTCGGAGGACGGGACGTGGGTGGATATGCCCGTCGGACAGCGGGTACGGCATGCGCACTGGTCATCGTGGCAGGGGCGCTCGCGAGTGAATTGGAGATGCTGCGTCGCTGCGTTGCGATGCTTGCCGACGTAGGACAGGAGGCGGCGGTAAGCTAGGGAGCCCGCGGACTCCATTTCCGGAACGTAGAGCGAGTGCACGTTCTTGCCGCTGGGACTCTCTGCGATGAGCCGGGCGCAACTACGCACTTCATCCGCCAGTCTGAGTGCGACCGCGTGGAAGAAGAACCGGAAGGGATCCTTCTCAGCGAACGACATCCAGTAGGCCTGGACGGCCTCATCTGCCGCGTCGTTCAGCTCGTATTTCTTCAATGCGGCCAGGACTTCGAGGAAGAGGTCCGGTGAGTCGGTGAAACGGGGATGCTTTCCTGGGTAGCAAAAGCGGAGGAGAGGCCCCACAATAGCGCTCCTCTCTCTCATGATGTATACGGGCAGCTCCGCGGTGCCAGGTTCCCGTTGCGGCTGGTCTCGGGCAATGATCTGGAGCATTCGGGGAGAAGCGAGCTGAATGACTTGCAGGTGGACTGTGTAGTCAATGGCAATGGTGTCAGATGTCCTAAGAACGGTGTCGCCGCTGGTGAACGACGACGCTGCTGGAGTTTCTACGGTCTCCTGATCCACGTACTGAGGAGGACCTCGACATATCGGCTCTATGCCGCTGAAGTCGATCCTCCCTTGATGAACGAAGGCCTGCTGCAGGCGGATGACTCTGAGGCGGTGGTATGCCCCCGCGCTAACGGTGTCCATTTCGGGACAAGGAACGTCCTCCTTGACTGGCACGCGGCCCTTCGAGACCGCCGTCTTCGCCGCCTCTTTCGCTTCCTCCTCTAGATCCAGAGCGCAAGCGACTGCAAAGACGTGGAGGGGACCATTGTCGAGGAACCGAGGCTGGACAAGCGTCCTCCTCATCGCATCGACAACAGGCGGAGATATGTACTTCTGGCCCGCAGCTAGGACCTTGTGTAGGTGGGAAAGAGATCCAACCTCTATCTGGGCAGCGGTGTGGGGATAGCAGACGCGTAGGAACGTGTCCATGGTCTCGCTGTCTTCTGATACGGAGACCCCGTTCTCAGGCACTGGCCTCTCCTCGGGCTCTGGTGATGCATCGTCCTTGTGTACCGGAACCATGTCGCTCTCAGACACTGGTACATGGTCCTCTGCTGGGGATACTGGCGCGTTTGACACCGGCGGTGAATCTCTGATGTGTGCATGTTTCTGAGGTTTTGGCAAGGCAAACATGCTTTCGAAGTGTTCGGATGCGAGTGTCAGGATGGAGCGAAAAACGCGGAATTGGACACTGTCGACGGTGGTGATCACAAAGTCAGCGTCCTCTCTGTTGAATGGGGCTGTCGCCTCCCTGATGACGGGAGCCTCTGCCGCAGCTAAGTCCTCTGCCATGATGTACTACGGTTGTACCAGGAGTAGACGTAAGTCGTCGCGCTGCATGATCAGCCGCAGCAACCAACATACAGCTTTCTCCCGAAGTCGTCGATACTGCTTCGTCACGGCGACGAATGACTAGTACCTCCAATGTTAGCTGTCTTCACCAGATGCCTAGGCTGCTGCAGTTTCCATACCTGATACCCCAGCCTGATCCAATGTTTCCAAAACTCGAAAACTCCGACGGAGTCGACGTCCTCGCGTGAAGAAAAAGAAAGATAAGTAGATTGTGCGGATTAGCTGGGAGGTGATATGTATGATAACGTGTGGGAACCTCACGTACATATCGCTGCTTGGAACGCGGCAAGAGGGCCGGACTCGCTCTCATCCTCGGACAGCGCGGCAATATCTACATATAACGGACTGTACGGGTCATACACCTCCCGTCTTGGACACCCACATTCGTAGCTGACCCTTTTCTATCATGTCTTAACGTTCAACGAGTCCTATCTCTCGCACGCCCACCACGGCAAGGACAAGGTTCGCATACTCCCCGTTTTCCGGGACGGGGCCTGGCACAGCATTGTCGAGTGCAACGTCACCGTTCTTGTAGAGGGCGACATCGACATCAGGTGTGTTTTTACTGACTGTGCTCTCTAATGCGCGACATCGTACCAATTTCCCCAAACTCTGATGCAGCTATACACAAGCTGATAATTTCGTCGTCGTCGCGACTGGCTCGCGTGCGGCGCGTGGGTGCTATCGATACCCCATTCGATATCCATCGTCCAACGTTCTGACATCTGTCTGTCGCGCTCAGCGAAGATCATCAACTGTTATAGGCGCATCTCATACAGTTGCATTCCCCGCGCTCTGCTCATCTGACTTCCCTCGCGCGCCTCGAGCTCCGTGCAGAACAGACGTCGCGAAGACGTCTCCACATGTCCTCGTCCCGAAACGCTTCGCTCTCCACCTTAGATCACCCATAGTCTCCAAGTATGCGCACTTGCACAAGGCGTTCACCACGTGGAGCAGCTGCGATGGCAGCACGTCCCTACCTCCCAGGGGCCAAGCCAGACTCCTAAGGAGCATTCGCATGCGTTCTACCGGGACGGCGACGAGAGGCGTACCGTGGAAGTCAAGGTATGCATCATCATCCGCATTATGGCCATGCAGGAGGTACTCACCATTCACCACTTCTGGTCTGGAAATTTTCTACGGGCGTACGTACACATGCCCTCTTGTCCGGATAGATTGACGCGTCTGCCGGAAAGGACAAGATTGTCACTCGCGTGACTTCGGGACTGAAGGACCTGCTCGTCATCAAGACGACGGGCTCTGCATTCGAGTCTTTTGTTCGCGATGAGTATACTGCCGTCGTCGAGTTTACGACTGTATCTTCTCGACCTCAATCGGTGTCACCTACATATACTTCCGCGCCGAGAGTCAGCGTCCCAAAACCCGCAGACGGGCAGGGTAAGGTCTTTGATGCGCCATTCTCTGGGGATACCGCAAAGGGGACGCCGTGGGATGTGGAAGAGAGTGCGAGTGTACTGTATACAGGTCAGATGAAAGCTTTCGTGTTTGATCCCCTGTTTCAACGTTTGACTCGATCTTGATTGGATAGGCGACGCTCTACAAGATGGGCCAACGTATCATCGCAGAGAACTCGCACATCACGAGCGTCACATAAACTGCCGAGCAAGCCCTACATAGATTCCAGTCTATCTGAAGTACATCGGTATCGATAACACGTCGCCGTACTTATGTGTTTCCCTCAACCTCATCGTCTCCTGATGCGATGACGTCCATGCATCCTTGTACTCACCCCATGTGTTTGCTTGTACATCTGCAGGCCCAACGCAGAGGTCTCCCTTCCAGTCGCGCACCCGAGGTATGTCTTGTCTCAGTATTCGGCTCTGCTGTGGTGTCAGCGCACTGTATGAATCAGTCGAACGAACGTTGGCAATGCAGTGGCCTCATGATCGCTGCGACCGTCTGTCGTCAATAGATCGAGCATACGATCGAGCACACCGATGCTCCGTAAGCGAGGATTTCGGCCTCATCAGAGGATCGGAGGCGAGGGGGTGAAGGAGCTTGTAATATACCGTTTATACGTGTACGCTCAGTCATGCTGTAAGCTTCAACGATGTTGTTGAAGAATATCCGATGCACGTACAACTTTTGCCAGTGTATTCGCCGACTATAAGCTGAAGCTTGTCGGCTTACGCTGATTAATCCGCGGGTGATGTGGCTCGCGCATGCAAGTCTGATACAGTACTGGCCGGGGCGGCTTGGCAAAAGGGGCGGGTCGGACTTTGCGCTGCGTCAGCCTGACAAAGTCCCGTTCTCCGGTCTTTCTAAATTTGGAAGGTGTGTATGTTGAGTGTCGTTCAACAACACTCGACGACAGAATTCATTCCGTTGCGTGCGGGGCTCGGGTATGTTCTCTAGATTGTTCATCGCATGAGGTTAGGGCATCGAAATAGAGGGAGCCCGTGGTACAAAAGCGATGTCCTGAGCGGGGGAGCGGGACCAGTTCTCTCCCCCTAGCCTCCGCATAATCTCAACCTCCGATCCCAGCAAGCTACAAACCTCCCCTTTCAACATGCCTTCCTACACTGTCTTCGGTGCCTCCCGCGGAATCGGTGTGAGTTTCGAATCATCATTTGAGGAACGTTGCTGACTCCTTCTCATATGGCAGCTTGAGTTTGTCCGCCAGTTTGTGAGCATTTCGTTCTGTCTCGCATGTCCGAGTCGACATGGTGCTGACATGAACGCAAACAGGCTGAAGACAAGGACAGCCAAGTCTTTGCGGTCGTGCGGAATCCCAACAACACACCCCTTCTTGCCGAGGCCATGAAGACCTTCAAGCACAACAACGTGCGAATCGTGAAAGGGGACCTCGACGATTTAACCTCCATTAAAGTGGGTGCTTACACTCGACTGAAGAAGTGGCTTTCCTTACCGAATCGTCCGTAGGCCGCCGCCGCCGAGATTGGAGACGCCACAGGCGGGTCGTTGGATTATCTCATCAACAACGGGGCCTACATATACTCAGAGGGCGGCGCGCTCATATCTCTGCCAGACTAGTAAGCAACGGCTTCTCGATTCTCGGCGGATGTCGATCGACAAGATTGTCCGCAGCTCTAGCGAGAAGGTGCTAGAGGACGACCTTTTCAACACCGTATGTCCTCTCCATCGCTGCTAGCCAAGGGAGTGGACTTAACCCCTATCGCATAGTTCCGCACGAACGTCGTCGGAGTCGTCAACACGATCAACACCTTCCTGCCTCTCCTCCGCAAGAGCGCCATCAAGAAAGTCATCACTCTCTCCACCGGTCTCGCTGACACAGACGTGATCATTCGATCTCGCGTCACCATAAACCCCGCATACGCCGTCTCTAAGGCTGCCGTCAACATGGTCGTCGCCCAGTTTGCAGGCCGCTTGCAAGAGGAGGACTTCACCTTCATCGCCCTCGCGCCCGGGCTCGTCAACACCACTACTAAGCCGCGTAAGCATTGTTCAAACCCACGAGGGTCATGGCATCCCGCTGAGTCAGTCATACGTGCGCACAGCGACTCCGGAGGAGCTCGCTGCCTTCCAAGACACGGTGCAGAAGTTCCTGAAGCACTCGCCCCAATGGGACGGGGTACCGCTCACCCCGGAGCAATCAGTCACGTACATGCGCCAGGTGATTGACAAAGTCGGCCCGAAGGATTCGGGGGCTTTCCTTTCGCAATTCGGTAACAAGCAGTGGCTGTAGGAATTGCCGGATGTTCGTTGTCGCAATGAGGTGCATAACAAGGATGTGTAAAACAAGTGACTTCTGATCTATAGACAGGAGTGGCATTGTGGCCCAATTTGTACTGGCCATGGCGTAAGCACGCATCGGTTCTTCAACAACGCCTAAGAGCTGGACTTGAGGAAAGTCATTGCAAGCCAGCCATCTTGCTGCTCTCGGATGGGCGGTATTTCAAGGACGAGGGGAACGCGGCATCTTCTCTTCATGGGGATGCCGCGTACTTCGACTTGAGGAGACGACGAGTGGGCAGGACAGACCTCAGGACACCGTGGGAACTGTGTCGATTTGAAGCCTAATCGCGTGGCACTGACTTCCAATGCGGCCTGCCATCTTCCTTCGAAGATGCAGCCATGATCTCACAGCCTTCACGCACTGGCGCCATGAATATACTGGGAGCTCCTGATGTGCGCTACGCCACTATTTGTCACCTGTCAAGTGCCAGTGTGTGCTGGCATCGTCTCGACGAACTATCAGAAAGCGGAGGCCTGAGGTGATAGGTAGTGTCCGCAGCGTTTTGGCTCTTGGAGTCACGACAACTTGTTCCCCTTCAGTTGCGCTACTCAAGCGCTTGGGCCCTGCACTTCAAACTTGTCTCATCGGAACATCCCTGGGAGTCTACGGCAGCTCGTAAGTGTTCAGCGCTTGGCGCCCTATCTGGAATCGACTCATACCTTCCTTACCTCTCACGCAGTTGACGTACAAACTTATGGCTGGCGTGGGGACACGAATGTGGGGACTGACTGCGAGGAGGACTTCTGTCATCCCTAGTATGTGTCATACGCCCTCACTCGCTTGCTGTTCATTCAGAGATTATCAGACCTCAAGGGGTCACTCCTTACGGTCATCATTTCAAGCTTTGTCGGGCTCTCACTCGTGACTGCCACCTCTGTCAACATCACAGTCGATGACACGCTTGGCAACGCAACGTATGGAGTGTGGCCAGCATATCTCCCAGCGGACGACGTTAACTGGCACGCGGGAACACCTACGGAGGAATGCGATATTTGCAAAATCAAGCCTTCTGAGCTTGACTTGAACCAGATCCTAGACCAAACCTGGCACCATGGGACATATTTCCAAGGATCCCCTATACAAGTGCAGGTCACTTTCACTGGGACTGCAGTATATGTCTTCAACGTGGTCCCCAATACACTCCCGGGAACAGATACTCTGATGAACATCTCTTTCGCCATTGACGGTGAGACAGTCGGAGACTTCTTTCATCAACCCAATTCTAGCTCTGTGATACTGTATGACCAACTCGTCTACTCCAACGCGACCCTGCCCAACACTTCCCACACCCTTGTCATGAGCGCATCCGGGGACGAAGAGTCCCTCATTTTCTTCGACTACCTGCTATACACTGCCGATATCGACAGCACCGGCTCGTCCCTGCTACCTTTCCCAACACCAACACCTCCCCCCGGATTGACATCTTCCCTGACACCGTCGCCGATATCTAGTACTGGCTCTTCCACGTCACCTCCCTCATCACATGTGCCAATTGCAGCAATTGTTGGAGGGGTGGTTGGAGGAGTGGTCGGATTACTTGTGATTGGTGCGCTTGCCTCATTCAGCCTTTGTAGACGGAGTCGCGGCCGAGCACGTCGCCCTAGTGAATCCGTCAGGATTGCAACATCGACCGAGAACGCGTCCCACAGCCAGCCTGCAAGCCTCACACGCAACATAACCGTTGCAGGTGAGTGATCTGTTGTACGACCCTCATAAGCTCACCTCACCTCGTCCGACTACTACACTTGTTTAGGCCAATCATTGGCACCAGATCCCTTCAGTTTACCTCCAAGTGAATTGTCGAGGTCTTTCGGAGAGACGCATGGGAGAGAATCGATGGGGAGAGACGCTCCGGCTCAAACCGAGTCCGAGATGCGTTCTCCATCTCACCGGGCGACAGACTCCGAAGATGTGACCCAGTTGAGCTCCTCAGTAGTGCAAGCGCTGCAAGAGGAGATTGCCGCGCTTCGAGGGATGCTGAGCAGCTCGGTCGTCCGCATTGTGCATCGACAGTCTTCGATTTCAGACGTACTACCGCAGTACGAGCCCCGCCAAGGTGAGCGTGCAGTTCGACTCATTCAGAGCTGCGCCTCTGCCTCACCGTCGCTGAACTCATATATCTCATGAACACAATAGATACGTCACAAGAGATGGAATAAGAGGATTCCTGTGTGGCATTTCTTGTCCTGTCAACGGCGACAGTACGACGAGACGTGACCGGCTGTGCAAACATCAACAGGTACTGACAGGGGAACCTAGCACGGGCAGTGGTAGGAATATTGCACCACGACATACTGGTACGCGTGATTACGGAGTCATATACAGTGAATCAGGGCCAGACATTGCTTGTACGGGATATACGGGTCAGACGTGTAGGGTATGGGAAACGGCAATGTTACATGGATTCCACGCAATGATTATGTATGTTCGCTTGCTCAACGCTCAGATGGCAAGTTACTATGCTTTACGGGGGTGAAGGTGGAGTCCAGTCAGCTTTCCTTGGACCTCGGACAATCAGAGACCAGTAGACGTATTATCTGCATCGCCAAGACGGCGAGGGCCTGAGGTGAATGTGAGAAATACATACCCTTTAGAATTGCGATGAGAGAGAGAGTATGGTGACAACTCAGGAACAGATATGCATGTCGTCTGGTCCTGAAAGTGGTGGACATCAGCGAGAACGCGCGTGTGAGCAAAATGTCGCTCGGCCTTTTCCGGCTACTGGTGCAGGCCTTTTGCCGCTCGCCATCCGAAATGTCGAGTTGGCGACTCGTTGAACCGAGTTCCAACCCGTCTCCTTCCCCTCTTCTGTGCTCAACATCTATCCCTTCCTCTCCGTTTTCTCGCCGTTTGTCACCGCACGTCGCACCATACTGGTAGGATCCATGGGAAAAAGGAAAAGCAACATCTCCGGACTTGCGCGCTTTGTATTCGAGGTAGTCCAAGATCCCCGACCCCAACCGATAAACCAGTCTCCTGAAGCTTCGCCTGAGGGAAAGGCAGCGGCTTCGCGAGAAACAGGGGATGATGGGAGGGGCGACGATGTGCTGGACACGAGGCCGAAGAAAAAGCCGAAGCTCCACACAGGACTGCTGGGACCCGGGCTCGAGAAGTACGACGCGACTGGACTAGTTCCGTTCTACACCGATGCCTCGCAAGTACCTCAACATCTGCAGAAGTGTACGTAGACGCTTGACGTCGATATGTATTGCACCGGACTTACGTCTTTCCAGACTTTTCGCAGCGAGAACGCTTCTTCTCCTTGTACTCGTCAGGCTGTCTTCTGGATGAGGAAGGCTGGTATAGCGTGACGCCTGAGGCGATTGCGGATCAGATTGCAGAGAGGTGCAGGTGCAACGTTATTCTGGATGCATTCTGTGGCGTTGGAGGTAATGCTATCGCATTTGCGAAGACATGTGAACGAGGTACGTTCTCGAGTCGTGCTCCGTTGTCTTTGGGTCCAATATGCATTCCCTACCCTCAATGCTTCTAGTGATTGCATTGGACATATCCCCCGTACGTCTCGCCCTTGCAAGACACAACGCAGTCCTTTATGGCGTGGAAGACCGAATAGAGTTCATACTGGCAGACTTTTTCTCCTTCGCACGGACATTGAAGCAGCGTCCGGGGCGGAAGATTGACGTCGTCTTTCTGAGTCCACCTTGGGGCGGCCCCTCCTATCTGTCTGTCTCACCGTCAAAGACACGTCCTACTCCTAGCGCCCCTATCGCTCTCGAGGACGCTTCAGAGGATACATACGCGGAATATAGCTTGTCCAGCGTTCGTCCCGTCCATGGCACAGAGCTCTTCAAGATCGCACGAGATATCACTCAGAATATCGCGTATTTTCTCCCCAGGAACACAAGCCTGGAGGAGCTCTCTGGTCTAGTCGCGTCCGACGGTGCGTCAGGTTCTGCCTCGGAGATGATCGAGGTGGAGGAGGAGTGGATGGGATCGAAGTTGAAGGCGCTTACCTGCTACTTCGGTGGGCTCGTGGCGGGTCAGGAGCTTATATTTAACGCATAGTGCTGTAGCTTCCTCTAGTTTGATGCTAGTATAGTTTTCGCATACACCTTTCTTGCGCCCGTTGGGTTGTGCGATCCAAGGATATGTGGCTACTGTCTCCTCCTGAGAGGCGAGTGTCTTTCATTTTGTCAACGCCGTATTGCGCCTGACGTTTTTTGGGGGGAGTGGGATTCCAGATGCCGCAGACCTACCCACCCCTTTTCTCGGCGCAGCAACAAGAGCGCTGTCAGGGCGGCGGGCATACCGCTCGGTCGTCTCACCGCGCAGACATCGCCATACTTAGATCATCGAGATGCGTGATGCATTAGCTTGCAGTCGTTGTTGGCCCCCGCGTTGCATGTACGATGTGAGCAGCAAGCGCCATCAGGTGATGTTGGCTTTGCGCTCTCGCGCGCTCGCCAGATCCCAAGCTGATGCTCGCATGCAGCTTCACTCGCCCTCATATGCGGCACGTAGACGCAAATTGTGCGGCTGCGGCGCGACTGTGGCTCTCTTCAGTTCATAATGGGAAGCAGCAATCGAGCTATATCGGTGAGTTCCATCTGTCGGCTATTGTCTCCCGTGGTCTGGCAGTGCGATCTGAAGGGGTTGCGTACTAATAGTGAGTATTGTCGTTTCATAGCCACGGATATTGTTGATGCACGGCCAGTCAGTTCATGAACGCCATCTACGCTCGCGCCTCACGCCTTGGCTCGTAGTACGAAAGGGACAATAAACAGGTGGAAGAGACAAAGGCGATTATACAGGGCGCTAATGCGGGGGAGGAGCATTCGCGCCGCGATCTCATCTTATTTGAACCTTGACAAAGCGCCTGAGCCTCTGGCATCCTTCATCGTCACCATCTACGGCTTTTTGCTCACGGGAGGTCTCTGCACATATCCGAACCACCGTGCATAAGGTATGCATCCGGTGAAGGAAACCGAGCCCTCGCATCAATCCTATGCGGAAAGCTATCCCGCAGCTTTCTATAACCACGCAATGCCTGCGACTACCGACGCTCCTGCAAAGCTGCTCAATGCTGTCCGTCAATCCCCGCCCTTTGGTGCCCTTCATCAGTTGCCCTCAATCGTATTACGGGAGGTATGTACCTGCTTGCTCTAGTGCCACCGAACTTCAAGTTCGGAGTGCTTACGGCCGTGGTTACGGTGAAATACAGATCCTCCGGTACCTTCACCCCTCCGACCTCCTCAATGTAGCGCGCACGTCCAAAGCGCTTCGAAAGCTCATGCTGAGGAGGGAGAATGCCTATATCTGGAGGGAAGGGCTGAAGCACGTTAAGGGGTTGCCAGCATGCCCAGCGTTCATGAGCGAGCCGGCGTACGCTCACATCATCTTCTCCGCGACCTGCCATGTAAGTTGCAGGCAAATTGCAGCGTCGCACCATCTGACAGGATTGGGCGAACAACCAGGGCTGTGGCGCAGGCGACGTCCACAATGTCATATGGTCGTGGTTTGTGAGATATTGTGATAAGTGCCTACTAGCAAGGTATGTAGTTCAGCGTCTGAGTCTCATATACGCTCACTTTGCCGTTGGATGAATATAGTTCCTGCACTTATCGGGAGATGCAAACGGCGTCTCTCATTCCTCAGGATGCCCTAGTTATCGGCGAAATGACTTTGAAAGAGATGTTCACCCTCATCCAGTACGCCTAGACCCCCGTTTCCCCCTCAGGTATCTGACATCATCTTGCGTACCAGAATCTCCAGCCCTTTGCCAAGCTACAGATTCCATTTGCCGCAAATAGACAGGTTCGTCAAAGCTTGGAAGCGCACTACGACATATGAGGAGCGTTATGAATTGTGCGACGAACAGGGCGCCTTGGTCAAGGCGATGAAGGAGGTGAGCAAAGTGCGTTCCCCGCCGATCGACAATTGAATCCACGGAATGCAATAAACAGCGCGCGACAGAATGCGTAAAGTGGCTGGAATGGGATGAAGAGAGGAAGGAATGCGAGCGACGAGCTGCTTTGATTGAGCAACGGATCTCTGAGTGAGTCTTCTAGTAGATGATGGTGATGTGTTCATCCGATAAGATATTCTGTTCAGCGTGATAAATAAGCTTCAAGCTGCCGGTTGGGATCCGGAGATTCGCTACATGGATGATCACAAGTCTAAGGTCACTACGCTCCGCGACATCCCCATCGTACTGCAGACATCGCAGCTAACAGACGAAGGTACCTCTACTTTATACTGTACACATTCCAGTGCTAATGCATGTCGAAGAATGGCCCCTGATCTTTGATGCTATCAAGCCCACACTCGAGGTGGCAAGGACGGCGCGGTTGGCGGATGAACGACATCTTATGCTGAAATCACGGACCAATATGCTCGACGAGGCCATTCGGGACCAATTCGCCACCCTACCTAGGAGTGCTCACTCGTTCGCCCGACCCTACTACATAGATCTCGCGTTCAAGCCGGAATGCAGGGAGCTCATCGATGCGTCAGCGTCCCGCCTGATCACGAAGGAAGACTTCTCCTTGGTCGTCCCAGGTCTCGTTGTCCACTGGGAAGAGGAATGCAAACGTGGCTTCAAAGAGTGGATCAAGAATCGCCTCCCAGGTATCCCTGACGACGTCGACCCCTTCGACCTCGCCGTCGCCTTCTTCTCTTGCCATTGCGACTCCCTATACCAGACACATCTTCGCTACCCGGCAATCCTTGGCCACGAATGCTTGCGCCGTGGTGATTGGAGGGGCCGCCACAAATTCCTCTGTTTTCCAGAAGCCTACCAGCAAGAGCTCATAAACTTATCCCGCAAACCCAAGACAATCAAGACGGTGTATCGCCAGGATGACGGCAGCCGCTGTCCACTCGACCCGAGTGCAGTCTCCGACATAGGCTTCAAAAGCATGCTCCAATTGCTGAATGTTCTCGGCCTTGACCCTCGCCGTACGACGTTCGAAGATCTGAAAGTCCACCCGTCTAGGCTTGTGCTACAAGGACCCAGTTGCTGGCTGTATAATTGGGCTTCTGTCGTATGTGGAAGCCACCCGTACTGTGGCTTGCTCCTACTGATGTAGTCGTTCCATAGCTCCACCACTATAGGCCAGGCAAGGGTCGGCTTCATGACTGGAAGCGCGTTGAAGCCCAAGATATCCCGAACCTTGAAGCCACTGAGTCCGCCGCGCTTGTTTCCTTGCTCCGCGAGGCTCTGTGGTGCTGCGCACTATGTCATTCTAGCCCCTTCGAAGGGATCTCAGCCATACGGCGACATATGCGTGACTTGTGAGTGTCATCGACTCTCCCATAGCTCTAATAGCAGAGTGTGACCGTTGATCATGGTTGGCACGCAGGCATGCCATCACGCTTCACGATGATCTAGTCAAAGATGACGTGATGTTTTTGCACCCTGATTTTGTTTACTCGGTGCACGCAGGCGAGATTGAGTGTCCCGAAGGATTATTATAGCAGGTGCCTTGTTCGTTCGTGTATATGTAGAGACGAGTGCAGTAGTTTTGTACTCGTCCAATATTGACATGTACGACCTAAGCAACTCTAGGTCACCTGCTACGGCCTCCTTGTAACCACCGTGCTTTCCTCGTAGACACACGCATTTGTACGGGCCCGTGATATTTCCACGCTCATTCGCACAAGCCACTGTGTCTTCAGAAACTTCCTCCTCCCGAAGTGCAATGCCCGACTGTTCAAGAACGCTCCCCAAGAATGCGAACGACTTGCCCCCGCGACCACTCTTTCTTAGCGAACCGGCCTTCGTGCGCCTGTTTTATTCACCACAATGCCATGTTCGGAACCCTCTTACCTAGTCTGATCTTTGTTGCTGATGGCGGTACCTTCGACATGCCGCGACCGTGGTACAGACGTCTCAAATTCGCCATAGACGTGGTTGATGGATCGTATCCCTACATTAGCTAAATGCTCATGCCCGTGGGCGCAATCGTGTGTGCGTTGGGATTGATCCCATTCATCGCGACGGCGGACGAATTGGAGGCATGCACTGGCTCGGGGAGACCAGGGGGATGCCGCATTGAGTCCTGTACTCCTCTTGTCATCAAGTATCCTCAAATGCTGTTCAGTTCTGCCACTACAACCCATATTCTCACGGACAGCAGCATCGATAGATACCAGTGCAACAGTCAATGTTGGACAGAGTGCGTGAGCTCGAAGCAAAGGGAAATGCCTTTGCTCCGAACATACTATGTCCTGACGAGAGCACGTGGGCGTGCTCCCTCTGCGCGGGCTGGGATGGCAGCGTGACTGAAATCAGAGTCCACCTGTTGGAGATGTAAGCAAGGCCATTGAAAGTCACATCAGTGCGTTCGAGAGAAGACCATCTACGTGCATCGTACGAAGAACCAAGTCCCGATGCGCCCAGCCGTTGCAACGTTCGAGGGGAAAGACTGGAGCTTAGTACCTCAACAGGGGAAACGGACACTTAAGTGAGCCCTCCTGTGCATGCGTAAGGTCTCTGGATGAGTAGTCTACTATAGTCGAGTCCGGTTCGATCAAGAAATGGTCAGGATGCATGGAGTCGTGTGATAGTGAGCGCGTCGGTCCCTAGTGGTCCCCAGTGGTCTCCAGTGATGAACTCCAACGGATGTGGAATATTTCTATACCGTATGTTGGCCGTTGGGCAGCTCAGCAGTAAATGACCACAAGTCACCAAGAGTCTTGAGTACATAGTCCTCCGGAAGTTGGACGGAGCCGGCCTTCCAAGTCTCATCGGAGCGCCGGAGAGGGCTCGGCCGGCGCCGACGCGGCCGAGCTGGTGTCACCGGAATAGTTCGTGGGTCCGTACCGAGGTTTGTCCGCACGTAGTTTTCGTTCCACCACTCGGGCAATCTCTACTACTGGAGACTCTACGACCTCGGCCATAATCACGTACCTCGTTGATCCTTTCGGTGGTAAGCGAGTTCTCTAGGCACCAATGATGGGACAAACAACGTGGGGACTCCCGGGCGGTCTCAGTCGAGCCGCAATTTGTAGTGCGATGCCACGGGTCCCATAACGATCTGCAGGGGCCATGGTAGTGTCATACACAATGAACGGTAAGCGTGTTTAGTCTCTCGGCATCGACAACACATACCGGAAGCAGCTGATGGGGATCGTTCGCAGCCCGCAGCGTCCTATGCGCATTCCGACTCTGAGAAAGCAGAGACATCTTGGTCACACACGGCTATCAAATGCGCTTGCGGAGCTGCAAAGTCCTTGTGAGCATGCGCAAACGTATAAACACTCTACCTAGGAGTCTCGCGGATACTATGCCGATCGGGCATCCCGCGCACTCCGTGGGATTTCCTCGGCTTCAAGTTGCTACGCCATCCGTGCATAACTGATCTCCATGGATCCATACACACCCATGCAGCCTAAGACGGTGTCACATCTACGATAGCCACAGTTCCGGTGTCGACAGGTCCATATATGCGCAATAGGACCACGCCGCAGGCGACTGACAGGCACCAGTGGCTCTGCAGGCCAGTCCTACAGAGTCCGAAGGCTATGCAGCGAGCGGTTAGGCAAACGCCTCGCCACAGTAGCATATCCGACTTGAAGCACTCCTCCCCGGTACCTACTAGTCGGGAACACCTGGAAGGCTTCGATTACCAAAGTTAGGATAGTCTTCATGGAGGATTGATGACGTGATGCGCCTCTCTTGAGTCGGGGCTCGCTGACCTTGCTGCTCAAATTCCACGCTCACCGGCTCTCTCTTTCGAATACCGCGTTCCCGTTCGGCGCTTCGGTGTGGAATGGTGCGATGGTTGTTTGCGAAATTTTACGGACCCGATCGCCGAAGACGCGCCTTCCCTCTTGCTGAGGTCATGACTACAGTAGCACGTACCGCGGTCAAGTAAGTGAAACCTCGAGATTGTGCTTCTCACGCTGGATCTGATCTCGAACTGTCCAGGCACGGTGCGATGCATCTCGTACTCCGATGACTGCGTTCTAGAGCGGCGCCACTCTCTGTCCTCACGCCAGTACGAAGCCCATCACGACGAGTCTACAGATCTACTGTGGCACAAGTCGTTTCGGTACCTTTCCCTCCATCTCCTGTCTTCCAAGCAACGCCGGACGGGGAGTGGATAGGGGTGCGGAGTTTGGTCGCCCACCCACGCACGTAGAGCGCAGCTCCCTCCACGCCCGTCCGACTAGACAAAGCATCACCGCAGATTCAGTAGAGAGATCACTCTATAACACCTTATCCGACCGGATGTGTGTCCAGGTGTGTCCTTGTCCGCGTCGGATCCATTCGGCACCGACCCCCGGGACCAACGGAGAATGGGCCAACGCCCCGGGCTGTCTCGGCCATGGCTCCACATCAGCCCCCGCCTTTCCCGGCGGCCTGGAGGATCCTTACCCGGTCGGATGCGGCAACGCTGTGGCTGATCGCAGGAAATCTACGTGGCCAATCTCACAGGATCACCCGACGCCCGGGGAAGTTCTCCGTCTGCTGAGCTCGATCAACAGCGCCATGGCCGCCGTTCCCAACCTGGGCGCCTGCCGCAGTGACACGTGCGTTACGGTACGCGTCCGTGACAGACCTACGACGGGGCGCACTCGCATCGTAGACCGGAGTTCTGCCGAAGAAATCCCCTCTGCTACCGGGGAATTTGGACAGGGAGACCGGGCTCTTACCCGGTCACCTACCCACGCATCGTTATTAATTGACGGGCATCCGCACCTCGTGAGTCGCGAACCCGGAACCGCATCACATCAAGCATGACTGTCGCATTGCACTCAATGAGGCATACACGCTACGCTACAACTACACACAGGTTTTCGCGCAAAGGAGTCGCCGGCCCATACGTAGTAGATACAACAAGAAGTATACGGCAAATTGGCAGCACGTCGTACAAGGGTCCGTCCAAGGCCCTCTTCCAAGAAGGAACCCGCTCGTTCGCGATATAATAATGCCGCACAACCACCGTGGAGCGCGCGTCGTGCCTGGAAGGTGGTCTCCCCTCTCTGATGACAATTCCCCGCTTGCGCTCTCGTTCATCGTTGATAGGTCGATTGCCAGAAAACGAAAGTCTTCAAGTGGGTATGCGGATGACATCTCCCTCGAAGACCACCGTTCCGCGCTCATGCAGCGTCGTGGTCATCTTCGTTACTTCCGCCGTGTCGAAGTCCTCGTACTTGTCCGGAGGCATTGCCGCGTTAAGGTACGTAACAAGCGCGGCAATGGTCAGCTCGTCTGACCGCGCGTACGTGATCCTAAACAGGTGGCGTACAGAGCGCGAAACGAACTCGAGCCTATCCATCCGATGTCAACCGTTCGCTCGGTGACGCCCATACCAAATGCAGAGAGACACTTACCTCCCAGACGGCGAATCGAGGTCGGCGAGCCTCGGCGGAAGGACCATGTCGACGTCCATGTAATCCCACATCGCGTCATCATCTTCACTGGAAGCCACAGAACCAGCACGTCCGGCCCGTGCGTCTTCAAGCTGCCGTAACCGCGCCGCGGCAGCCTCTGCCTTTGCCAACGCCTTCGCACGCCGCCGCTCCGCCTTCCGCCGCTCGCGGTCCGTATCGTCTTCGTCGTCGTCTTCCTCTGGATCGGAGTTGGCGCTGGAGTCGGTGACCTCGAGCTCGCCCTCAAGCGCTGCATCCCGTGTCGCACGGAGCTCCGCGATCTCTGCTTCGCGACCCGAGATTTTTTGACTGGTCCCAGAAGCGAATCAGAGGAGGCGGATATCTGATAGCACATCGACTCACTGCTTCTTGAGACATTTGGCACGGTGTTGCAGCCAAGGGTAGGCGCAGTACGTGCTGTCCTGACGGAGCTGGACCCACTTGTGGCACATTTTGCAGAACACACGGTTTGGCTCGACCTCCCCAAGGAGTGTATCGGCCCGCAGCGCTGCAGCACGCTGGTCGGCATTCCGTCTGCGGGACTCCTGTGTACCGGGGTAGTTGTTCGGGGTGTAATCCTTGAACGCTACTGGGGCCGGCTGGGTATGCTGTCCAGGATGCGCCGTGGACTGCGTTACCGCAGCACGGGCAGATGCAGAGGCCGGTGGTGGGAGCGAAGAGGACGAGGCCAGTGCCAGGAGGTGCTTCGGCGGCGGCGGCACGTTGGCAATATTGAACCTGCCGAATTGTCAAACTCGAGTTCTGCGGGGAACGCGAGATGCTACACGCACTTGGAAGTCGATGCCCTAGGGCTCGACGCCGGCTGCGGCTGGCAAGCATCCCGATGTTGCTTCCACGCCTTTATGGCCGCAGCATGGTCGTCGGCGAGGATCGGGATCCACTTCTCGCACGAACGGCACTGCACGCGTGAGCTGTCGAATCGCTTCACATTTGGGTCTGACGCAAAGGCGGCACTGCGGTCGTCGACTGGGTGCGCGTTCTTAGCCCTGGAGGGGTTAGCGGGATGCACGTTCAGCACGATGGCCTGCCACATTTAGACCCACAGATACACAGTGGTAGGAGCACAGATATACTCACACTCGCTTAGCCAGGCAGCTCTTCCGGTGTGCGTCCCAAGGAATGGAGCAGTACGTCGAATTGGGGCGGAGGCGGATCCACTTGTCGCAGGACGCGCACAAGACACGGTACGCCTCATACTTGGCGACGTACGGGTCGGTCCGGAGGTATTCGATGCGCTCCTCTTCCGTGCGCTTAGCACGACGTCGCTTGGCTTGGGGTTGGGAAGCCTCGGCCGTTGTGCTCGGCGCCTCCGACGCAAGCTGGTCGACGGTGCTCGCGGACCCGTTCTGGCTGCAGCGAAGGCGAACAGAGGAGTGAAGATATATTCATGGGCGACAGAGGTGTGCGCGTACCACGAGTTCCGGTGCGCGTCCCAGTGCTTGACAGTGAAGCCGCCGGTGGCCTCGTCCTTGATGGAGATACCCTCGCCGCAGGACTCGCAGATGATGCGCCCCGAGCCGTATTCGTCGGTGGGGGATGTGCTGTGTGTGCCGGCGTCTGTCTCGGACTGAGATGCGGCGCGTTCGGGCTCCCTGGGGCGTACGGGGGCGTGCGCCGGCGGATCCTTCCGCTTCTGCGGGATACTAGCCGATCTGTGAGCGCGATGTGATCGCAGAGCGGGAAAAAGAAGAACGCGACGGACTTGGGAGCTGATGCCATGAGGGATGCTATGGACGCCGTCGGCTTTGTGCTAGTAGGATAGGGTAGACGTAAGCGACGGTGGATGGTGGGCGTGCATGTGTGCGGGGTGCGGGACGTACTGGACCTGCATCGCATACCTCTGCGCCGGGACACTGGGGACGAACGGGGGGTCGCCGGCGTGTGCGGGGACGCGGGGGGAGGCCCTGGAGGGAGAGGGGGATTGACGTGGAATCGAGTCTGGGCGATATAAAGATGGGCTCAGGAAAGAAGCGAAAACATTGAATTCAGAATGGTCGAAATTCCATCGAAAACAAACAAAAAACATTCCCAGGCGTGAAAATGAAATCTGCCCAAAACCAGACGTCCGTCCTCCTGATCGGGACAGTGCTCCTGATCCCGTATCCATGTGCTCGTTACACACACCGCGCCCCAGACGCCCACCCGCCCCGGCTGAGCCTGCTTCCCGGCGGCGTGTCTCCCTGCCCAGCGCACGACGGCTCGCGGGTCGCTGGGCGTGGCAGCTGCACCGAAATCGCATCTGGCCTGCAGAAATATCGAGTGCGTGACGGCGTCTGCGTATTGATCGAAAACGTCGGTGGCATGGGGAGGCGCCGGCGTGTGTTGTCTGCCTCTCAAGATGGTCACATTGTATGTTGTGTTTGGAAAACGGTGCAGGCGCCCGGTCCCTTGCAGCGCTGCAGCTGGCTCGCCTCTCTCTCTCTCTCGCCGTCCGCCGGCGAGGCCAATTGCGAGTGCACGCCCCACGGTGCAGCGTGCCCTGTCTTCCCCTCTCCCTTCCTCCTTCCTCTCTCCTCCCGTGGGCTGCACATACCCCTTGCGGCCCGCTTCTGCCAACCACAGCCCCGCCTTCTTGGCTGCACTCCCCGGCCCGGTCGCCTGGAGCCCTGGACCTGGGCGGTCGTCACAGGCGAATGGCCGGACATTGGAGAGATTCGCGCAGGGGCGGCGAAATGGCTGGCGGGCTGCTGGCACCGCGTGAAGCGCCAGATTACAGAGGTTGGGGAACACGGAGAGGATGAGCACATTACCGCCACATTCCCAGCATGTTCCCACCACATTCCGCAGGTTTAGAGGATGTCATGGTATTAACTGCCTTCCCCTCACATTCCGACCATGTTCCCCACATATTACTTAGACATTCCGCACCCTGCGTAACATGGGATCAAATGGGATATACAATTTTGTATCTTATTATTCATATCCATTTTTGGTGCCCAGCTTGGCGCCTAGTATTCGTCCCGATATTGGCAGCCAGATTGAATTAGATCGAAATGAATATATATTCAAATGGCGACTCTCCTACGCTACATCCGGACTTCTCTATATATCATACAGACCGGCCCAATCAACCCTAACCCAATCACATCATACCCGTAGCCGCCAGCACAGCGATACTGGCTTACAATTGGACATCAGACACAGCTGAGATGGCACGCGCAATACATGCATATATGCACTCACCATGTCGATATTTGAGTTCTGCTTAGAAAGGATTAGCAGTACACTGTAGCGTTGAAACTGGGTACTCACAGTCTTAATCAAGGACAATCGATAAACGCGGGACAACCTACTAGATGCGGCAGCCATCAGACTTTGGGACTTCACACGCAACACTAGAGACGTACTATTGCCCTGATCAGCAGATGTATTTATGAGAGAACACCTGCATGTTAACACATCAGCTGCCATCCGAGAGTCAATGGTCAGGACGTACCAAGGGGAAGATAGGCATACGGAGGGAATGCAAGAAGTACAAAGTCAAGATGTGGACGCGATGGCAGGTTGATATGGGACCATACGACGACGTCATCGCGGACGGATAAGTAATTTTGGGCAGGCAAGTCCCCCTTATAATAGAAATCTGCACAAGCGGTTGGGGATGTTGAGGGAATCTGGAGAGAATGTGCATGTTCCCACCAGATTCCCATCAAAGGGGGATTTACTGGGGAATCCGTGGGTGATATGCGCGGAATACGCAAATTCCCAGCATGTTCCCCGCCACCGTAATATGGCGCTTCACGCAGTGTGGATCGGGCGGAATCAGCCGATATCGCGGGAGTGGGCATTGCCCTGGTGGTGGCCGGCCCTGGGAGTCGATGGCGCGAAGGGCAGTCACACGTCTGCGAAAGCAACGCAATCTGTCCGTGTGCCATCCATCTGTCTGCCTGTCGTCGTTCTGTCGTTCTGCGAGTGCGTCGCGTTCGCGACGCGCATTTCGAGGCAGCAGCGCTAAGCGTTTAGGTAACCCCTACCCCGCTAGCTATGCCCACATCCAACCTGTCACGAGCTCCTAGCTGGAATTGACTACAGACGGCGTGCGACGACACCGGGCAGGCCTGGGGACAGCACCACCACTACACCTCAGGGCGAGCGCCTCCGAACTGCACCCGCAGGGCCGGGCTCGCGTTCCCACTTGTGCTCAGGCTTAGAACGTTAACTCTATCGGCGCCCCGCTATCGACGACGGCTGCACATCGGTTACGACAGGACATGTTATCCCTCCGCCACATATCCAGAGCGTATCCACCTTCTCGCGCGTCGACCGACTGATTATCGCATCTCCATCATTCATCTCCACCCAGCGCGGGTGCTGTCCCTCATTAGCCTCTCCGTGTCACGCCTCGGTGGAAGGGGAGATGGGGAGATGGGGGTGGGGGGCGCCTGCAGTGGCAGGCTGATCGGGGCGTAATGAATTGTATCCGATCGCACGAGCTGCGCGGTATGCTTCATTTCCACGCCGGGGCGTGCGTGTCCGAACAGAAGGCGTGCAGGATGGCGAGCTCGCTGGGCGAGGGCGCGATAAGAAGAAGAAGAAGAAGTGGGATCATGTATGTAGACACGTCGCCGATGGCAATGACAGCTGCGTCTCCGGACGAGAAGCGCGTCGCCCTACACCGTCCCGTAACGGCCCTCGGAGAGGAACGCCTTCAGGCGGAGCACGAGCGCGTCGAGGCTGGCCAGCCAGCGCGTCAGTGCGTCGTCGAACTTCTCGTGGGAGCCCCCTTGGGCGAGGCGGTTGTAGAAGTCGTGCCTGCTGGGCACGGCCATGATTGCGACCTATGGAAGGCGGACATGCGACGTCGGCCCAGACGAACAAACATGTCGCGGCGTGAATCGGTGTCATCCTTTGAATCCCGGTCATGGAAGCGGCGAAGGAAGCTCGCGACTCACGGAGACTACGGAGCGAACGACGAACGAGAGGCGGGGCTTGAGGACGACGTCGAACGAGCGCCTGAAGCAGACGTGGAGCTCCGCGTTTCTGTCCTGTTGCATGTTCTGTGCGCCCGGCGGGGGACGGGCCCGGAATAGAAATAAAGTGCAGCGTATCAGCGTCCGCTCGCCCGCAGGGCGCGTTCCCTGCAGCCAAAGGAAGGCGGTCCGTGACCTGACCCACTCACACGGAGCGCTTCGCACGTGAACCACAGGCCGCTTTCCGTCGCGGGCGGTCGCATGGGCAGGGGATTGGGCGGGCATCGGGTTGGCAGTTGTGTGAGGCGGTTACGTACACGAGAGGGCTGGCGACTCACCGGACGAGGCGGACGAGGCAGGCAGTCCCGTGTCGCTCGCCGCGGCGCTGGCATTCATTGACGACGAGCTTCTCGAGCGTGCCCGATTCGGAAGGCGCGGCGTCGAAGCGTTGGCGGACGCCCTGTTGGAAGGAGGAATGGTCATTTAAGGTGCGGGCAGGCCCGTGGTCGCCAGGAACATACGGTTATGTTGCTTCGGAGATCGTTCTGGACGAATGCGAATACGCCGCCGCCCAGGAGGTCTTCGAGAGCGCGCGGAAGACGTAAAACGGCCGTCAGCGTAGTGCTGCCGGGCTCGTGCGGGTGGGATGGAAGGCGGGGCGACGCACCGAACATGTTCACAAAGTCCGTTGAAGCGAGAAGGAAGGTGGCGGTGTCGACGCCGTCGCCGGTGATTGGTACGTCGGCGAAAGACTGCAGATGCGGGTCAGTGTCGGCAGCTGGGACGTGGAGCAAGTGTCGCGCGCGCGCGCGCGCCAGCCAGCGAAGCTACAGGTGCCGATGGGACACAGTCCCGTATGTCTGGCTGGCGGGACGCGGTGATTGAGAGGAGTTCTTTACCTTCGCGGTCTCAAAGTACGGCACCATGTCGAGAGTGGTGAGAGCGGGGGGGATTACGGGACGTCAGGCTGCCTGAAGGGAAAGATGAGCTGTGAGCATTGCTGCGGTGCGTGGAGGAGGCGTCGCAGACGGCGGGAGGAGGTGCGGACGGTGCACGCGTTGTACGGCGAGTGAGAGTGAGAAGGCGCACACCGGGGTGGAACCAAGATGATGGTTCGGCAGAGTCCGCCACGCCGCCATCGCGCAGATCGATATCTCGTCAGAGCTGATTGGCACCGGGGCAATGGTGGAACCTACAAGCTCAGACGCCCGCTGCAGGCGATTTGTCGGGTCGAGCTGGGTGAACTCGTCTATTCGCCGAATCTAGTTTCGGGGCGGAGAGGGAGACGGCACTGGCAGGACCGCACAACATGTGTTCTCCCACCAGAACGCCACTCACAGGCTGATGGGGGCCCCATCGGGCGCCCGTGACACAGCAGTCGTAACGATCGTCACGCAACCATTTACTGGGCGCCCCCGGAGCTCCGGCCCTCAGGCCGACGGAGGCTCCGCATCCTCGGGGAACAAGCGCTAGAGACATAAGCGCCTTTGTCTGCCCAGACGCTGAGGGCGGCAGTGCCGGAGGGCTCGACTCAGGTGAGAGGGCCGTCGATCCAGAGGCCGTCCACGATGTCCGCGTGCTGAATGCTCGCGGCGGCTGTGGCATCTCTCTCCTCGTCTTCCACATCTCCCCCCTCTCCCTCCCCTGGCCGCAGTGAGCATGGCTCGTGTCTATGCCGATGTCAACGTGCGTTTGGGGCCCTCTTGGTATGATTATGGTCAGTAGCGTGCCCTCGCTTCTCTCGTCCTCGTGGCTCGCGGACGCTGTGCGCTAAACGTTGGCGACAGAGAGCTTGAGCGTAGACTGGAATGTCCCCGATAGATATGAGATCGTCCGACGGATCGGTGGCGGCAGGTATTCAGAGGTACGTGCCGTGGCCTTCTACCCGCACGAAACGCGAGTTCGACCCGGCTGCGAACACAGGTGTTCGAGGGCATCGACTCCTCCAACGAAGAGTCCTGTGTCATCAAGGTCCTGAAACCCGTCGCAAAGAAGAAGATCAAGCGGGAAATAAAGATCCTTCGCAATCTCGCCGGTGGCCCGAACGTCATCAGACTCATGGACATTGTCCACGATCCACCTTCTCGCTCAAACAGTCTCATCATGGAGTATGTCGAGAACACGGAGTGGAAGGAGATGTACGCCACAATAACGGAGATGGAGATCAAGTTCTATCTCTTCCAGTTGCTGAGGGTGAGCGGCGCCCGCCTTCGCTTCTCTCCTTCGGCATATTGAATGGCCATGTCACGCGGCGTGAACAGGCGTTGGACTTCGTCCATTCACGTGGGATCATCCATCGGGATGTGAAGCCGGGTAACATCATGTTCGACCGCACCCGTCGTAAGGTACGTAGTTGTAGCTAGCTAGACGAAAATTTACGGCTCATTCGTCGGGCGTAGCTGCGCCTGATCGACTGGGGCTTGGCGGAGTTCTATCACCCCGGAACTGAGTTGCACATTCGCGTTGCATCTCGGTACTACAAAGGTCCAGAGCTCCTTGTGGGCTACAAGCACTATGACTATAGCTTGGACATCTGGAGCGCCGGCTGTATTCTGGCTGCGATGGTATGGACATTCCGTGCACCATTCCTTCTTTCCCCCTCCTTACCTACGTTGACCGTCTTCCTCCAGCTCTTCCGCCGCGAACACTTCTTCCGCGGAAGGGATAACGAGGATCAGCTGCTCAAGATCGTGAAAGTCCTCGGAACGGACGATTTTGAGCGGTATCTGACTCAGTACCGGCTCTTCTTCCAAACCTACAACGACGATTTGCTGCAAAGGTGCGCGTCTCGCCTCCTTCCCAGCGACAACAAAGTCTGTAATCTGACTGATATCGTGACTACTCGTCTTGTGATCGCAGCTATGTGAAGCAGCCCTGGAACAGGTTTGTCACAGCGGACAACAAGCCGAATGTCAGCGCCGATGGCATCGACCTTCTCGACAAGCTCCTGCGCTACAACCACCTCGACCGGCTCACCGCGTCCGAGGCGCTTGCGCATGGTTTCTTCAGTACGTACATTCTCGTGTGCCCTCCCACAGCCACCCCCTGTCACGCCTGTGATAGACCTATTTCAAGCCACCTATTCTATCCTCCCAGTGGCACAGATGAACTGATGAATGGTCCTTACCTTTTCTCGCCCCGTGCCTCGCGGTTATGCACCACAGATGCCGTACGCCTCGAGACGCCCTCTAACCCCGCCGAGTGCGTGAGCGACTCGGGATTCTATTCGACATGACCATCACAGTGACGTGGTCGTTGGCGGTTCCGGACGTTCGGACAGAGAAAGACGGAGATGGCACGTCGCGCTGCATTCTATGGCATGTCAGAAGACGAAGCGGCCGCCGCCGACGTCGCTGGCAAAGTCTTGCTGCATGCCGCGATCTCTTGGGCCCGTGCGGGCATTGAGCGGCGACGTGCGGGGAAGTGCCTGGTGACAATATGGGAGGGGCTTCCGGGTTCAGAATCATCACTATATGTATATGCAGGGCTTGCCCTTGCCGCAGGGCGCGGGACAGCCCGTTCCTCTCCTGAGACGAGTGTTGTTGTGGCTTAACTTGAACGCTATTTATGTGCACCAAACGTCCCTGCGCGAGGCTCGCTATCCCCCATCCGTCCATGTCTGTATGTACCCTAGATGTTTATACCGCTTTCATGTATGTCCTGTCTCTCTCCTGTTCCTCGTCCTCAGACATCCGGCTTGCCGCTGTCAGCACTGGCTCCTATCCTCCCACTATATTTCTGTCCATGCCTGATCTCGACGAGTGGGTCGTCGTGTATACTATACTCATAATTCGAGTAGTTTGTTCTTTTCCGGCCCGCGTTCGTGGCAGGCCAGCACGCCACCTGACTGACATGTCTGCTCGTGCGGGCCTGTGTTGGCCCATCTGACACGCGGTGCGCCCTCCTTCTGTGATCACAGTGGAAGGAGGGAAGGCAGGGCCAGGTCACAAAGCTTGACATTCTCTGAGATTCTTGCAACTCCTTTGGGCGCTTGAGAGACGTCGACGTTAACGTTCGTTCTGCCGTCACGATTCCAGGGAATTCCGTACGTGTGACATTGGGGTTCCATATATGCTATCGCGCCTGCCCGACTCGGCAGGCAGGATGCCTCGAGCGTTGCAGTCTTGAGCTTCTACCTGATATGATGGGCCATGTGCCTTGCATTTCCACGTTGCGGCTCGCGACGTCCTGTGAAGACTGAAGACGAGGCCAGGCTGGACGTGTCGGACCTCGGGGATGAGTGCAAAGACCATAGGCGGCGCGAGCGAGAACGCGGCGGGAAACGGAAAAGGCACGCGCGTTCAGGTGAGTGGCATGATTGTCTTTCTGGCGTAATCATGAGCGAGGCGACGGGGAGCTCGTGGAGGATGACCAATTGCAGCGAGGATTACTGGGTGGGCGGAAACTGACGTGCTTCGGCCTCGGTGGCTATCCCTCTAACGACAGCAAACGAGGACAGTCATTCGAACCGGAGAGTCGAGAGGGTAGCGGCATTAGTTCTAGTGTTGAGGTTCGCCTCCGGGAATGTTGAGGAGTGCTGGGGCGCGCGCTGGTGACCCTGCGCGTCATATCGGTGGTCTTGGCGCGCCATCATTGCAAGACAGACACCGACGTGCTTGTACTCATGTTCGACACGCCCAAGGACGGGCCGTGGGCCAGCAGGCCCTGAGTCCGCTTGGCGTTACGGTGATGGCTCACCGAGGCTTAGCCATCCGTTTCCCAGCGAAAGGGGCGAGTGATGACAAGCTAAAATATCCTGAAGGCGCGGAGGGAGGAACGGGGGTATATACCCAGTTTTCTGAATGCCGAGACATGGAGAGAACGGCTGCCGCAGCCGTGGCCATCAGGCCAGACGATAGAGACGAGTCGGATGAGGTGCAGATGAGACAATCGCCGGACCACACCGTGTCTTCTGTGCTGAGCTGCGGTAAACGCGCGCGGAGACCTAGCTCCCAGTCTCAACCGCTGTCTCTCTATCATACGAATCTCCAGGCATCCCGCTGAGAAGGGTCTTCCGACTCCTCCCAGCACTCAGCACCTCAGCCTATCTCCCCTTTTGAGCACTAGACTGCCTGATGCAACTCGCACAACCCGTGCTGTCGGCAGCAGATCAATTGTGGACCCCTTCTAACGGGTCGTGCTGCTGTCTTCTACCGGGAATCTGAGCTTGTTGCAACCCTCTCGAGCTAAAGGCCACGGTTCGGAACTAGTCTACAGATCGCCAGACCACAGCGCGACTCAACAGGCGGCGATGACAATGGGGATGAGATTTTTGAGCAGGTCTGCAACGTCGGAAGGAGGTACGAGGAGGCTCACACACTGCTAAACATAAGAAGTCGAGGCAGTCCTCCCACCAAGCAGGGGCGGATCGCAAGGACGGGGGGAACGATAAGGAAGGGTCGTTGGACGTCACCTACTACGACGATTCGTAGCAGAGATATGTTGGAGGACAACTCACGGCCAGGTGTAGTGGGTTGGATGCAGGACCGTGACCTGGGTGTGGCGGCGCAGAGAGTCGTGACCGTTCCGAGGTACGTGGTGAGCGATATTGTCGTCGCCGTAAACCGGAATGGTCGTGGGCTCAAGATAAGTTGGAGATGCCAACAAGCCGACAGGTCGATAATCAAACCGCGTCGAGGAGATGGAACTTGAAGATGCCCGCCGCGCCACCTGCGCCCGCTTGCAGACGACCCCTGGCGACATTGATTGTCCAATCTCCCACCTCCGTCGAGCAGCAGTCCGCAGACGTCGTACGTGCAGCAAGAGAGGGACACCAACAGATACGCGGTGCCACGAACGGGTTCGCTGTAAAGAAGCGAGAAAGCAAGCGAGTAGAGCACAGCTCGACAGCGTAAGCGTGTGTTCGGCATGGCCCTCATCAGAGGTTTAATGGATGACATTGCTGCCCAGAGAACAGACTTTACGCACAAGTTCTGAACAGTGGGTGCGAACGGCTCATCATCCCGCCTCGTCCGTGCGCAGCCGCCCTCCTTTCTTCCAATAGTAGGGTACGCATTTGAACAGCAATCGCCCGACGGTCGTGTTGGTAGTTGCGCGCATACGACGCGCAGCCTCAACCCCACCTCCATCTTCTAGAGCTCAAGGCTCGTTCCAGGGTTCGCGGACGATTCGACGGCAGGCACGCCTTCTCAGACGACCCGACTGGCGGAAATTGAGCCTAACTCCCTGATGTACATCGTTGAATGGGGATGTGGATCGGCGGGAACTGCTGCGCTGCGTTGACATTTGCGCAGTCCCAGCTTTACGGTAATACAATTCAGTCTGATACCGTCGTTACCGCTGCCGAACGCTGCACACTGCGCTGTCATCTGTGCACGGTGACAATGATATTGGCAGAGCGCGATAACCAAAGCGAAGTATGCTACACGGTAGATCGACGCTGAAACTGCGATCAGATTTGACAGTCTATAAGTACCAGGGAGCGTTGCGACGCACCTCCGTCCGTGGTACATATATCATGTAAATGGGTTGGGATGTGCAGTACTCACCTGATCAAACTGGAGCACGGCGACAACGAATTCATAGGCGCTTATTGGCACCGGAACGGACATTCCTATTGCGGCCGTAGCCGTGGGGCGGGCGTTGCCGCGCAGCAGGTATCTGTCCTCCGCAACACCCTTCGCATGATTCTTCGAACGTACGAGCCACAGATGGTAGTGCCAGTGTCACTGGTTGCGTTGCGGCGCTGGTTGTGGTGAGGGAAAAAGATTGAGGTCATGTGATCGAGCAACGACCAGGTGTATCCGCAGCAGCAACGAAGGAGCGGGTCGACGAATGTAGCGAGCTCCCGTACGGTGCGTAAGTAGAGGCTCAGGACGGGCGGGAGCTTGCGCAGCCGCCACAAGCGCTACGGCCCCGCGGGACTCCGGAAGAAGGCAAAGACGTACAGCTGTCTCGATGTTAGTATGAGACATTTGGCCCACAGGCTTACGTTGATTCGCGGAGCGCCTTGAGAATAGCATACGAGTGCTTGCGGGCCGTTCTCGAATACGAAACTGAGCTTACGATGATCCGCGGGTAGTGGACCGAGGTACTAGAGTACTTTTGAAGCTTACCAGGTCGCCAAGAGTGTCCGTGTGCCAAACGTAAGCACAGCGCAGCGATGGTGGTGGGGGTTACATCTTGACAGCCGAAACCTCACCGTCCCGCGTCTGCAGGATTAGGATTGCGAACGCCTGCCTTGGCCATCAAGGATTGTTCAAGTCTCAGCTAAAAGCCGCAGTTGGTGGAACGACATCAAGATGAACCGGATAGCTAAGAAATGATGGCGAGTGAAGCGCTGAGAGTGTGTGAATGCAGAAGGAGCACTACTCAGTGCCTCTGAGGATTAGACGTCAACAGTCAACATCGCACGACGTGAAGGAAATGACTCGGAGGGAAAAAAGAACATACTGATTCACCTCCTGTACGTTTTCTGCCTGAACCGGGCAGAGCCGCTGTCGTGGTGCAACTGCAACCGATACAATAGTCGTAAGAGAGAAGGCCTACGAAGATGCCGTCAGGGATGCACGTTTAATCCTGCCGCTTTCGTCATGGCGTGCTCCATGACCATGACCTAGGCACTCTTGAATGTGTGGCTGTGACCATACGGCCTTAGCCTGGGATCGCTGTCCGCGGGCTATGTAAGTAGTTCGCGCCGGTAGGTGCGAGTAGCTGATCAGATAGTCTGCGCGCGTGGATTCCCTCCCACAGGAGAGACGGAGGATGGTTCTGATTTTGGTGGGGGCAAGGCTTGGGCCGCTTCAAGCAGCGAGCTGCTATCGACACCTCCTCGGAGGCGGCGCGGGGCCCGAAAAGGAGCAAGGTTCGACGGAGAACATGTGCGTCACGAATTTGCGTTCGTTCTCACCGGGGACAGTTGACGAATGAACATCGCTGCGCCTTTGGCAATGTCCCGGAACATGGAGTCTGCGACATCATGAGGAGGACCCCACCGGTTGTGCAGGCAACTATGACGGGCCGGTGCTGGGAGCGTGCGGAATTGGGAATGCGAAAGGGAAGAAGGGTGAGGTAATGATGGCGCAGGTGATGAGTAATGTGCAAACCGGTGGATCAGCGGATGAGCAAGATGAATGTTGGAAGAGGCACTTCTTGAGACAAACTCGGTTGGAGCTGCTTTTGTCGCCGCGGACTAGATTTGCATATAGCGATGGAAAACGCCCTCCGTTTGTCTCCCAGGATTGTTCGTGGGGAAGTGTGGAGAGCGTGTGCTCTCGAGTAATAGACCATGCTGTGAACATTCATAGCAAGACATTCGGGAGTGCTTGGGCGACGGGAACTCGTGGAGCTACCTTCGAGATCTGCGAGACGACGTTTGTGTGCGTGTGCCAAACGATGATGGTCGTACCGTGTTCCGATAACGTTGGCTGGAGTTCCATGATTCGGATGTTGAAACCGGTGACCACAAGGCTCTGCTGTGAGGCGAATAAGCAGTTGAGCACGAGCGAGGGCGGGTGAGAGTGTCGGATTCGTGCCTGGCAACTGAGGGTGCTGTCAGTGACACAAACTGCGGAGGAGGAGACCTCGATCGGGATCAGAACGACGTTTCCACGCTACAATAATGCAAGCGGCTCGTGCGGCCTGTTAGGAGCGAGAAGGGACGAGCGATGGCAATGGGAAATCTTACAACAAAGGAGGTGCTTTTGCGCCAAGGGACTTAATCAAATAATGCCGCATTCACCTGACGCAACCGCCGGCTGCGGATATCAATCTGATGTCTCCGTTCTTTTGAGTTTTTCAGACTGCGGGGTCCAAAGGGCGTTGTCAGGCGGCTATTAGCACCACAACCGCGACGAGAGAGAAGAGAAGAAGATGGGATGAATAGCATGCGCTGCGGCAGGCAGGCCTGGATGCGATACATAGCCGTTCTGCAGGATCGCAGTGTGCGTCCGAAGCGGGGGAAGAGGGTGATGTTTCTGCTGCAAACAACGGGGTGTCCTGTTTTGGGGATGAGGGATCTACGGCGCCCGCAGGGGCTTGCTAGGGTGTCAGCAATGAGACTGTATGTTGTCAGCTCAGGAGGGCGGGCGCGTGCGTGGGAGCGGGTGGGAGTTCGGGACCTGGGCGGGGCTGCGGGGCGGCTGGCGGGGGGCGGCACCGAGGACTCGGGCAAGATGGGACCGCGGCCGGTGATTGGGAAAGTGTGGGCCCGGCGGAGGAAATGAACGCTTGGGTTGTCGGGCTGGCACTGCACGGCCTATCTTATCCACTCTTTCCCATCCCGCCGGCTGTGATCTACTCTCTAACCCAAAACTGATTATCCGCCGCAGCCTGTAAAGGGCCTCCTTTCCCTCGCTCGTCAGCCACACCGCTGTGTCTCCCTTCCACGCTCTCTCATGCCTGCAGACACTTCCAAACCAAATGCACTCGCCGCCGCCGCGCGCCGCAGAAACAATCTCAGGCGCGACACCGAGGACATCAAGTACGATAGCAGCCACGCTCGCGAAATTGAGCTAAAGCGGAGTAGAGGCGAAATCTCGTGCGCCGAATGTCGTAGGTGCGATCACCGCACTCTTCCTCCTCCACCAACGTTGTCCTTACTTGTCACCCTGCAGGCTGAAGGTGAACCATCGCGTCCCTCTTGACCCAGTGAGATAGCTGTGCTAAAGGTATAGCAGATACGTTGTGACAAGACTATACCATGCCAGTCATGTCAGGTGCGTCTCCTCATGCGCGCGCCTCACGCAGGCACTGTATTCAATCTCCCCGCCCGCACAGCGCCGTGGGTGTGCTGCATTGTGTCCTAATGGTCCGTCGCAGTCCATCTTTCCGTCGGGCTCGAGCTAACCAACTCTCTTGCAGGAAGCCTCGCGACCGGTCAGGGCACTCGGTACGTTATACCTCTCTGTCTCTTTGCGCGCGCGTCCCTTATGGATATTGGATTGCCCCAGCTTTGTCCTCGCTGCGACGGAGCACCTGCATCGTCGAATAGCGAAGATGAGTGAGCGCATACATCAACTCGAAGACGCGCTCGCCATCCTGCAGGCGAAGAGTTCGAACGAGCCGCACCCATTGTTGTCTGACGGGTTGTCCAAGAACAAAAATATTGACTCGGACGACGACATGTTGGCTCCGGAGCAGCCGACCGCGGCCTCAGGCGATGTCGTCTCAGCTTTCGGCATGCTTTCGATGTCCGACCATGGTGTCTCAAGGTTCTTCGGTCCCACAGGCGGAACCGAAGTATGTAACGCCCGAGCTTCTGTCCGCGGAAACCCTAGCTAACTTTCTGCACCCGCGACCAGTATCTCCTATTCGTATGTTCTTCCTCTCACCTCGCGGTCCATGCTCTCACCAGCTTGTCTCCAGTCCGATAGCGATGTCCCGTCGTCACCCAGTAACGGTAGCAGGTCCCCAGAATCTTTGCGGGGGTCGAAGACGCCACCTCTCCCTGGCGAGATCACACGTTTCTCCAACGCGTTCCCCTTCACTCCCATGGGTCCACCTCATCACGTATACGAGCTGATTGAGGGTCATCTCCCCCCGTATCCCCGTGCCTGTGAGTTGCTCGAGTCGTACGTGAGCCACGCCGCCTGGCTATTCCGCAGCGTACCACGCACACAGCTCTTCGACGAGATGCTTCCCCGCTATTACAGGCAGGCGGCCGACGATGACGCCCCTCTCCCGAGGATGGAACAGAGCAATCCGCACGACCTTGCGCTTCTTCTACTTTGCTTTGCGATCGGAGCCCTCATGGACCTCAAACAGCAGCCGTACAACTCCGAAGCAGAGCACTACTGTCAGCTGGCTCAGGCAGCCATGTGTCTGCACCCGGTACTTGCAAATCCCACACTTGTCACGATCCAAGCCCTCCACCTGCAGAGTATCTACGTGGCTATGGTGGGCAATGAGCCTGGTGGCCAGGATAATCAGATGGAGTTTTCGTGGGCTCTGGTCACTCTTGCTGGCCAGCTTTCTCATACGGTAGGTGTACGGGGTTATAACCCGAGGTATGTTTGCGCTGACTCTGCATGTGATCGCCTTCCTAGATTGGATTGCGTAAGTTTAAGCTCATCCCCTCTGTGCCATGTAAGCGGTGTTGACGCGGACGTGTCAAGATCGTGACAGTGCAAGGTTTGGTTTCTCGCCGGAGATTGTTGAGCGGCGCAGAGTGACGTTCTGGGATCTATTCGTTGCTGACGCGTGGCAGGTCAGTTGACGGGCCGGAATACTGGTACGACAACTTGCTGACGTCCAGCAGAGTCTCATGACAGGGCGCCCCCCTGTCATACAGAGAGAGTATATTGACTGCAAGTTCCCCACGCCCACTGCCACACCTGATGATGAGGACCTTGGTGAAGAACGTGAAGCAGCCTGTGAGTTTCTGTATCGTTTCTTTCCGTTCCTTGCGCCTCAATGCCTCCGCATCCTCGAACTCGAACAGTCGAGACATGGGGTTTCCGTTTCGCATTGAACTGTGTGGCCGAAGTTGCGTCGAAGACGCTCACTGCTGAGGCACCGTCATACGACACTATCATGGAGCTTGATCGCAAAGTACGCGAGTTCCCAATACCGCCCGACGCCGCGGCGATGCTGGAGGATCTCGACACGCCTCTCGACAGAGAACCCCCACCGCTACAGGACAGCATGATTCGCTTCGTCCTCTCCCACTCGCGGGAAGTCAGTGAGTACCGCGTCTCTTCTTCCTCACGCACCCATAGATGGTGGCTAAATTGGACAACAAGTCCTTTTGTTTCTCCATCGTAGCTTCTTCGCGCAGGCCATCATTGACTGTCCGAGGAATCCGCTCAGGAGCGCGTACGCGCACTCATTCCTTGCTGCGTATCGGTCATCCTCCACGGTGCTCAAGGTAGTCCGTGATCAGTTCAAATTGTATCCCAGTATGTGCGCGCGCTTCTGGGTCATCTGGACGTTCGCCTTCTCCGCTGCGGTATGAGTATCTTGCTTAGCGTTGTATCGGAATCCGTCCTGATTATGCGGATGGGGATTTTCTGCAGGTCGTGTTCGCTACCGTGGTTACCCGCGGCCCACGCTCGGCAATGGCCCCGCAGGCCCTTGCACAGCTTGATCAAGCGTATGAGCTGTTTACACAAGCGTCGAAGCACAGTCGGCGTGCCGCGAAAGCGCTGGTGAGTCCTACCACGATATATCGGCTATTTCAGCCTTCCCCCTCCGATGATCGCGCGCTGACCGACGTCCGGGATGGTGAACCGTGCGGTGCATGCTTCGAAATGTCATGTAGCCTATTCTGTTGCGCCTGCGAGAGAAGGCGCACTGCTCGTTCGCGGCTGCGCTGAACGATCCCATGTACGACGGCGCGCTGTGGACCGTCAAGACTGAGAAGGACGAGGACGAGCTGGACATCTTCGCCGGCCGCACCGCCGTCGTCGCCTCTAAGCGTCCCTCGCCTTCGCCTACTGCTCATCTCCCGCCATTGCACACCGGCGAGAGCCTCCCGCTCATCACTCCCCCTTCCTCAATTCCGATTGTGCCGATGGCAGATCCAAACGGTGTACCGCTGACGGAGGCGTGGCCTATGCACAGGCAGACGTCAGCGTCGTCCAGTGGACTTCCGCATGTGTCCTCCCAGTATCCTCCCCAGCCGTCGCAACAAGTACACCAAGCTATGCACGTGCAGTCGCACCCCCACGCGTCACAACATCCATATCATCGCCTCAGCTTCTCTCAGTCCGCACCACCTCCGCCATCCCCACAAGCGGGCTCGTCGTCATATCAGTGGGCTGGGGGACATGGACACTCGCACTCGCCGTCGGGCCTAGCGCCCCCGACGCAGAGCTACGGGGACCAGATACCCCCTACCACGCATGTGCCACCTCAACACCCGCATTCACATTACAGCTCGCAGTACCCGCCAAGCACGGAGATGTCGGCGGACATCCTGCAGCGGTACGCCGAGGCTGGGTATCAGAATCCCCCTCACCATGCCCACCAACAGCACGGGCACCCGCACGGCGGGCAGCCATTCGCGCCGCCGTCGGAGCTGGTGAACCTGGGCTTGGCGTCGCGCCATGGGAGGCTGGACGAGCGGTGGACGTCGTTCATGCACGAGAATGGGTTCCTGTAGCATGGGAGCTTGTTTTCGGCCTGTCGTGCGCAAGTCCATCCTGGTTCCGCCCCCTTTGCTGCATACGCTGCCTCGTAGTCATCTCGTTTAACCCCTCAGCACCCCGGAGTTCTCCTCTCCTCTCCCTTTCACCTGCATCGCGCACGCTCCTCCTGCATCATCGTGTATAGATTGGCCCCGGAACCATCTGATCGTCTTCGTTCTGAATCGCACCCGGAACTCGCTTCGTATAGTCGCTTTGTGTCGCCATCGTCGTCGTCGGTCGCTTTGTATACTGTCACCCTTCGCACAGAATCTTCCAGAGGACATTCGGACACTGTTCTCTGCTACAGCGGGCGCGGACTTTTCTGATTTCGTCCGCTCGGCTGTCCCACCCATGACACCGGTCATCTCTGTTCATCGGCTCGTATGTCCATATTCCAGGTCCATAGCTCCTGGTGTATCGTACTAGTGTAGTTTCGCTCGGGCACAACGCTGTTAACGTAGTACCCCCCATGATCTGGCAGCTTGCGCATTGAATTGCATCCTATAGGTTTTGCGGCGCCGAAGCCGCTTCATGAGGCAAGATACCGGTGTAGTCCGGCGGTAAGTACGTACTCACCGTCAGGGTCGCGATACTATTGAGCCCGAGTCATCATGCTCGGCATAAGACTGCACGGTGGTCGCCCGGCTTGGGCTCCGAGCCATCGATTCAGATTGTGGTCGTCATTACGTTACGGGCCGGCTGCATGAACGCCCTTGCCCCCAATTTCGGCCGCGATAGATCCTACAGCCCCCGCAACAGTGTTGGCAAGTCCGAATCAGCAGTGCACGTGTGAGGGTGAGATGCAGCGGATTGACGGAGAGGTGTGGATATGGGCTCGTGGAAGCTGTGTTAGCAAGCATTCCACTCAACCGGAGGTTCGATCGACAGGTGGTGAGTAAGCCACCCCAGTGTGCGTCCGAGTGTCGCGTCGGCTATATCGCGATTGGCTGGCGGGCTAGCGGACACTGCGTTGATCCGGCAGTCCGAGTTTCCCGGATTGGGCAGGCGCCCTCGCAGACGACTCGGAGCACTCAGCCGGCAGCGTTTACGAGAATCCCTTCCTTTCTACTGACTCCCATCTCCTCACACGCCCTCGACTCTGCGTATGCTGCCCACTGACTAGAGCATCCCACAAGCGTCCAGCCCAATGCCTGCGGAACCACGACGGAACTCGCGCAAGCTCACCTCCGACGACGACATCGAGCTCAAGAGGGCGAGAGGAGAGATCTCGTGCGCAGAGTGCAGACGGTGCGTGCCACTTCTTCGTGCGCTGCTATCGGACCACAGCCGCTACGGCTGCTCCTCGCATGGGGAGAAGCGTCCCTGTCCTTTCACTGCTGTGTGGCTCAAACGCGGCCTTCTAGGCTCAAGCTCAAATGTGACAAGAAGATCCCGTGCGGCTCCTGCGTGCGCCGCGGCTGCACTTCCATATGCCCCAATGGTGCGTCTCCTGCTTGTCCTTGTGGGACCGTGTGGATCCCCGTGCTCAGGACGCGATGGCTCACACGCGCTGTGCGGCGGTGGACGTGGTCTGCATTCGCAGGGAGTCTATCTGCAGGACAAGGCACAAGGTGTGTACATATGCTGTGTTAGCCCATCACATGTATTGCCCGCGGCGCGTGCGGCTTCGACCGGTCTTTCCCTCGATCGGCACTACTTGGCGGCCGCGCGTCGAAGCGAGGCTTCTCGGGACCTGTGGCTAACCAACTGCATTCGTTCAACCCCCTGCGTCACGGCACGCCGCGTGTGCGGGTGTGTATGCGCGGGGTACGCGGTCGCTTAGGTTCATCCTTGCGGACACGGAACAGCTCCATCGGAAGATATCCGAGATGAGCGAACGCATACGGCAGCTGGAGGACGCACTTGCCATCTTCCAGGCCGGCATCTCTCATGAACGACATCCGCTCCTCCGGGACGAGCTCTTAACCATCAAGTTCGGTCCCGAGGTCAGGAGGACGGTCGACGACGAACATCAAAGGGACATGTTGTCCGCGTCCATCGATGCCCTGGGCACGCTCACCGTTGGCGAACATGGGGAATCGAAATACTTTGGGCGATCTGCAGGCTCCGAGGTATGTCCCTTTGCTCCATATAACAATGCATATATGCAGCTAAAGTACTTTATGTCATTCATTCTCGATGCAGACTATGCTGGCAGTGAGTGGCCAGACTGTTGTAAGTTCCGTGAAAGTAATCACACTTCACCTTATAGCAAGCTGTTAGTGCAGATGAGGAAGGAAGTCCCGTTCCTTCGATCGAGCCTGAGCTAGCGAATCTAGCAATCGCCTTCCCGGTCTCTATTATCGAGGAAGGAACGGATGCTCTCATGCTCAAGCTCGAGGCCCACCTCCCGCCTCAGCCTAGGGCATGGGCGTTGTGTGAGACGTATCTGGAGCATCTTACCTGGTGGTGTCGGCCCATCAAGCGAGATGAGCTCATCAACGACATTCTGATACCCATATACAACTGCAAGAAGGACCCGAGTAAAAATGTATATCACCGAGATGGCACTACGGACGAGGAAGGCAGATGCCCCCACCTGCTCTCCGTCCTCTTCTTCGTCTTCGCTTTGGGCTCTCTTGTAGACCTCACGTTGCCACCGTGTAGTGCCGAGGCAGAGCTGTACTATCGTCTAGGAAGGGCTGCTTTGTCTCTCCGTTCCATCTTCGACTCGCAGGAAATCGAAACGGTACAAGCGCTCATTCATATGGCGATGTACCATAGTCTGTGTTCCCAACGGTGGTCGCTGGAGAGCGCATGGCGCATCATCTCGCTCTCTGGGAAGATCGCACAAAGTGTGAGTGAGTTCTTTCTCACTTGAGTGAGTAGATGACTCAATCCGTCATTGGGTCAATACAGCTCGGACTGCGTGCGTAACTTTCATATAGGCTCTCCGCGGCGATGTTCATCTGTCGGTTCTTCTATAGACCGCGATAGCGCAGCGTGGAAGTTGAGTGATAAAGCTGTCCAGAGACGACGGAATCTATTCTGGGAACTATTCAGTCTGGAGATGATACATGTGCGCCCTAACCTACATATTATGCCTGTCTGTTGTGCTCACGCTTCCTAGTGCATGTCCCTCGGGCGTCCGCCAGCACTGACCTTCAGTCACATAGATTGCGAACTACCAACTGACGAGGATGCCACCGTCGATGACGGTGACGGCGGAAGCAACTTGCGCGGATGTCAGTGTCATCGGACACCGCTGATGATCGGTCGCTAACTAAACGCTCTTGTTTTCCGAATGATAGATTGGTCCTTCAAGCATTCGTTCACACGCGATGTCTACACTACCGTAGTCGACGGAGTGCTGGCTGCCAAGCCACCTTCGTACGCCAAGGTTCTCGAATATGACCGCCAGATCAGGCAAACGACACTCCCAAACGTCCGACTTTACCTCCGACCGGACGAGGCCAATTACAGCAATCCGTCCGTCGTTTTGCGGTCGTTCTTCCTATCTCATTTCCGGAGCATCAGTGCGTTGCGCCTTTCGCGTGCCTTTCAGCGATCTGTCAAGCAACCTCGGCTCATGCGCGACGCTTCCATTCACTAGCTATGATCCATATACACCGAACATTCTTCGCACAGGCGCTATTGGACAATCCGACGAACCCGTTGTCAAGCCCCTACGCGCCGTCGTTCCTCGCAGCCAACCGTTGCGCTTCGATTCTCCTCCGCAGCTTCCTCCACCATTGGAACCGAAGGTGCTCATTTCCGCCATATGTCTCGCTCATCCGCATGCTCATCTGACATTCGCTTCGCTTCTGTTTTCCGCTTCTGTTTCCGTCACACCTACCCAGTCCGGAGATATGCAGTCGCTTCTGGGGCATGTGGACGCACGCGTTCTCGGCTGCTGTTCGTATTCACATCTGCCCGCCAAGCTTTCGTCTGCGGGAGCTGATGTTTTCCCTTCTATCCCTCCCTCCTTCGCCTGAATCGTAGGTTATCTTGGGAAGCACCGTCACGCGTTCGCCCAACGCGACGATGGCGCCAAGCGCTCTCACGGATCTTGACCTTGCAGTCGACTTCTTCGAGCGCGGTGCTCAGCTGAGTCCCCGCGCCCGTCAAGCTCTCGTACGTCCTTCCTCATATGTAGTCCTTTGTTCTCTTTCCGACGCGAGCGCTCCTGCTATCTGGCGAATCATGACATGCGTTACCACAGCCGATACTGAAGAACCTCAAGGAGCGCGCCCTGCGTGCGTTCAACGAATACCGCAACCGCCACATGACACCGTCCCTGGACATCCAGCTCCGGATAGGCCCCGAGGACCAGTTTCAGGACGAGCTCGCCATCTTCGGCGGCCAGACACGCGTCGTGACAAACAAGTTCCTCTCCCGCCACAAGAACAGGATCCCCACCAAGCCACGCATCGGCGTCAATGGAGGCGCGGACACGCCGGTGTCGCCGAGCCAGGCGACGACCCCTGCCCCCACGTCGGTCGCGAGCCCCCAGTCGGCGTCGACACCGAGCGAAGATGGTGGGCCGCTCCCGCCGCAGGTGGAGGACCAGATGGAGGACGTGCATCCGTCGCTGATGGAGTATCTGTCGTTATTCCCATCTGCGGCGTCGATTTCGGTGGTCAATGGGCAGCAGCAGCAGCCGATGGACACCACGCCGTCGGTGTTCTCTCCCGCAGCCTTGGGATCGTCGCCCTTCACGAACATGCGGACGCCCTCATCCGCTGCTGGCGTACCGGGCCTCCGACACCAGCCACAGCCTCAGCCACAGTCCCAGCCTCAAGCGGGGCCGTCGACCCCGACAGGCCGAGGTACCGAACCCGTCGGGGACCCGCTCGCGTTCTTCAACGTGCTGCCCGATAGCGGTGCAGTCGCGGCTGGGCTCGCGGACCCGTCGCTGGTCTTCGCCGCGATGGGGATGGGGCAGCCGGACATGGGTCCCCTGGGGACGAACATCTTCGGTAGCTCGTTTGGGGGAGGGGACTTTGGCGACCAGTGGACGTCGCTCATGCGCGAGACAGGCTTTTTCGACGCCCAAGGGAACTTCAAGACGGATGGCTTGATGTCCCCGATGTCCCCGACCACTCCCGGGACGGGACAGCAGGGCCATGCGCGACGGGACTCGGGGGACATCTACCCGACATATTAGAGGCGCGCTGTTGCTGTGCCTGTCTGCTTTCGGCTCTGAGTCTTCTCCACTGCATCTTCTCGCGCTGTGTTCGTTTCTATCTGCACTGTGCTTGTTGTGTTTGATTCACGTGCTACGTCTCTCTCGATCTGTATTCGCACTGTACAATGCCCCACAGACGTCTGGCTACTATACTATACGCACGCGTGACACGTTCTAGGTATACATTGTCTCCTCTCATATCCCAGATTGCTTCACCCCCGTTTTGTCATCGTGTGTCTCGAAGGCCCCTCAAAACTTCGCCTCTCGTATCAGATTGCTATGGTCAGTGTTTTATGTGTCGCATCGTAGCTGTGTTGAACTGTAAAGTGTATGTGCAAAGATGCCAAAATTCCCACCAGATTCCCCAACACCGGATTACGGCGCTTCAGTGGCATAGCAGGTTTGTTCCGTACATCTCGCATCCAAGTTCCTTTCATACCCCAGGCGGCCTTGGAGTACAGAGCTTTATTGACTCGTGTTCACGGCATTCGATGACGCATCACAAGCTGCTGATATATGCCTTCTGCTTCCCTCTTCATCCTGACAAGTCTCCCCTCCACGTCGTATACCACGGATTGACAAGACCATTACCTGTCCGCATTACTCCTCATGAATTCCTGCTCACTAGATCTTGCCCCTAGCGCCTTCACTAACTCGCGGATCATCGGTTTACTCCTGGAAGCCGCGTTTTTTGGAGTATTTGCAACGACCAGCGCCATGGGTACCTGGTGCCTACTTATCGAGAAACATCTGCATACCCATCTATGGCGCAATAGGATGCTTCTCGCATTGAACGCTCTGATGTTTGTGCTAGCACTAGCGGTGAGTACTCTGGCCCTGCCGAGAATTCGCAGTTGTGAGTCAACACCTTCGATAGCATCTAGCTCTCACAACGCGGATGGTTCTATCGGACTTCAGTCCATCGGACGGTGATATGATCGACGCCATATTCCAGAATGACCCAATCTCCTCCCCGGTTGGATTGGCGCAGTTCTATATGTATGTCACGCAGACCGTGATTGGAGACATCTTCATAGTAAGTCTCTACTTATCGGCTCTGGTTCAGTATGTTGATGGTGGGCTTGCTGCAGGTTTACCGCCTATTTGTAGTCTGGGACATTAAGAATATCTGGGGAAAGTCAATTCCAATAGCCATGTTGGTCGTAGATGTCGGTGAGTAGTGGTTTGAGTTCACGCACCTATTGGCACCCGTTATATCTGCTTGCCTTGCATCGTGCACCTTTTGAGGCAGTTTTACACATCTGATCCTGAATCCGCTGCTTTGCATATTGCTGACTGTTTGCTTGAATAGCTTGCGGATACCTTCTTCCTCGTATACCCATAGCATTCTTTGGAGTTTCCTTCTTGAGCAATGCCCTCGCCTCAGGTATGTGCCATCCGCTTGGGTGGCAACTACGATCTTTGACGATCATATCAAGCTCTTATAATGTGGCGCATACTAAATACCAAAGGGGCGCAAACACAATATCATTGGGAGTGGCACTCTCGTGCGATGTTCAATCTCGTTAGGTACCGTCGGGCTTTCGAGGCCATCATTCAGTCCGCAGCCATATACTCCATGGCGTCCATATCCCTTCTGGTGACATTTTTCCTCGGCACCGAAGTTAGCTTTGTGACTTGCATGAACGTTTTCCCTCCGCTCATAGTTCGTTCACTTCACATGTTCAAGCAAGCTCAGGCTGATGCGGTGTGGTCAGGGCTTCGTGTTTTCGCTCATAATCCTGCAAATGGCCCGAAAGTCTGTGATCGAAGGCCCCTCCCAAGGCCGCTTCTCAGCAGCAGAAATCGTAGCACTTCGCCCTGTGATCGTGCAGAAAGCGCGTTCCGAGTCTTCAATGGGCACATATCATGAAGAAGTGGAGCGGGTGCAGCAGAGCTCTCTATCCAGTGTAAATGACAGACAGCTCCCCGGAGAGTCGAACCACGGAGACGCAGTAGTAGCAGAAGGGGAACCCTGAAGCGATATTAACCGTGACGGTACTCGCTAGCTGTCAGTCGTGCCATAATTCTAGGCTAAGATGCGGAATATATATGATGCTTGTCGTGTCGACGATGCTAAGGCGCTTGACGATAGCACTGACTTCTTCCCTTTTAGAAGCCCGGTATGTACCCTTGCACTCTCGAATGCTCGTGGATGCCGTACGTCCCCGAACGGCGCAGATATTCTGAATTCGAGCACTCAGACTCGGACGTCGCGACATATTTCCATATAGGGATTTCTGGCAAACGCCGAGGCTCTTCGGTCCGACGCGCTTGCCAGCGAACACCTCTCATGCCTCGAAAGCCTCTTCTCTCACCGCGGAACCGCGACATAACTACTATTGATGGTCGGACTTTGACATGATGCCAGAAGCTCACTCTGAAACATCGGCACATACGGCCAACCCAAAGGAATGGCAGAATCCCGCATTCTAGCATGAGTCAGTCTGCTGGGGACTGACACTAGTTCAACCAAACGAGCCATCGTGGCCGAGCAGCTTTGGGGGAGGGGGAGTCGGAGGACTACAAATGATCTGAGGGCTGTCCAGTAAGTTGCTCCTTACGCTGTCAGCCGGCTGGTAGACCATTGGAGATGAGTGTGTTTGCGGAAGCAGTCTTCCTCTATCAAAGTGCGTGCCGGCAGGGATGATGGCAGGAGACTTGCTGCACGCGGGTAATTCAGGGCCTCGCGAAGCTTCTCTTCTATCATAGATTTAAATATGCAGCTGCCTCGTGTGCCGTCATCCTCGCACCCTCGGACCTCTGGAGGGTTGACTTCACTCGTCGGTCACCGACGCCGGGACCAACCGCTCTGCCTTCTGCTATATCTTGCGCCAGTCTCGGCTCTCGAGCTTAAGCCGCGCCCCTTCAGCTATGATCTTCGCAAAGGCTCTCCTCACTCTCACGTATCTTGGCTTAGCGTGCGCCACGTCGTCGACCAATTTCGTAGTCCATGAGAATATCAGGATCCCCCCGCGAGGTTTCACTTCGGTGGGGCCTGCCCCGCAGGGACAGACAATCACCTTACGGATAGCGCTAGCTCAGGCAAACAAAAATGCCATCGTTGATGCACTATACAGCGTGAGCGATCCGACGAGTGCCATTTATGGTCAGCACTTATCGAAAGCGGAGGTACGTGGACATCATGACTAACGACGTCGAGTCGAGTATACCTGATGTACATTCGTTTGAAAGGTTAACGCACTCGTTGCCCCAAGTTCAGACACCAAGAATGTGGTCGATTCCTGGCTGCATGCCAACGGCTTTAACGTTACGACGCTCTCTCCTGCGGGCGACTGGATCAGCATCAACGTGCCTGTCAGCAAAGCGAATGCCCTCCTCGGTGCCAACTTCACGACGTTCGCGCATCGGGATTCTGGGAGGCAATTCATTCGCACTCTCTCGTACTCGCTCCCGGAAAGTCTGCGGGGACATGTCGACCTCGTGCATCCGACTGTCACGTACGTGCACACCTTTGTACCCACCCTTGCACCTGGACTGATTAGGAAATGTCTCGAATACATAGCTTTCCGGATCCTGCGAGCATTGCACCCGTTGCGGCGAAGATGAAGCGTGCAATCCATGAAGTGGTGCAGCGCGACGTGTCTTCGACCTGCGCGAATGGTACGATTCCAGCGTGTCTTCAGGACCTGTACAAGATTCCCACTGCCCCCGCAACAAACAAGAAGAACTCGCTCGGAGTCACAGGTTTCTTTGGAAACAATGCGCACTACGCCTTCCTGGAGACCTTCCTACAGCAGTATCGCCCTGACATGAACCCGGCGACGAACTTCAGCGTAGTTGGTGTTGACGGCGGCTCCAACGACCAGGACGTCCCCTCGGTCTCTGAAGGAGTAAGAATATATCGCCACCTTAGGCTTATTTTGGTTCGACTCACCTGGCCATCACTATAGGAGCTCGACATCCAGTATACTGTTGGTTTGGCAACAAACGTGCCCGTCACCTACTACTTCATCGGCACGGAAAACAATGATGCCTTAGGGGGGTATCTCGACGAGGCGAACCTTCTTTTAGGTCTTGATGCCCCTCCTCTTGTCTTGACAACTAGCTATGGACAGCAAGAAAGCACGATCTCCTTTGAGCTTACCGAGTACGTCCGTCACGGGCACACGAAAGGAAAGGAGCTCACTCTTCTTCAGGAGACTCTGTCAGGTCTACGCACAGCTTGGTGCGCGCGGCACGACAATCCTCTACGCTTCCGGAGATAGCGGCCCGGGATGTCCGTCAGGGAACAACACAAATTTCCAGCCGACTTTCCCCTCTAACTGCCCCTTGTGAGTCTATTTTCGCAACGTCTGCAGGAACTCAAGCTCACAGCGCACAGCGTCACGTCTGTAGGTGGTACGCAGGGTTTTGCCCCCGAGGAGGCATGGACCGGCTCATCCGGCGGCTTCTCAAACTACTACCCACGCCCGCCTTACCAAGCCGCCGCCGTCGGGACATACCTCGCTCGTCACGGCCACAAGAATGCTGGCAAATACAATGCGAGCGGGCGCGCGTTCCCGGATATCGCCGCGAAGGCAGACGAGTTCATTGTCTCTGAAGATGGGCCATTCCCCCTGTTCGGCACGAGCGCGTCGAGCCCCACCATGGCGAGCATCATCGCGCTAATAAATGATAAGTTGTTGAATAAGGGGCGGCCCCCGCTGGGGTTCTTGAACCCGTGGCTGTATGGTGGGGGCTTCCTGGCATTCACGGATATTACGAAGGGGAATAGCTCGGCCCGTTGCAGCTTCACCGAGACTGTGCAAGGTTTCGATGCCGAGGTTGGCTGGGATCCAGTATGTCTTATCGGTCTGCTTGTAGATGTTACGCACATGACTGACGCCCCTGGTGATGCAGGTGACGGGCCTTGGGACCCCTCGTTTTGACAAGTTGGTTTCTCTCCTTGGACTATGAGTAGCTGGGCTACGGCCGGAATTCCAGGATGGACAACATGTGACATACTGCGCTTTGGACACTACCCGATGACATCACACGACTTCATGTCAAGTCAAGTAGGTAGTGCAGGACATGCTCTTTGGTATTCAAGGACGTCTCTTGCACAGCGATTCTTCCGCCATTGTCATCTGTTCTGGCGAATATTGCCAGATACGGCGTCTGACTTACAGTCCATGAGCCGCATTCTCCTTTTGTCTTGATGACACGCCTAGGACTGAAACAAAGAGCTGCACGTATGGCCACGTGCAGTTGGGTACTCCTTGGTAAATTGGAGTACTTTGCACTCACTTCTACATTCAGCTGTCACTGCCATGAAAAATTCGTCCGAAACCGCGATCCTTGCGGACTCCTGGTCACTGTTTACCTATTATATCCGATCTCGTTATAAAGCGGCGTCGCAGGTGAACTTATCAGGCAGGTACCCTGTCAAATACATCCCTCACCACACTCGTATGTGAATTTCTGTCGGAGTACTTAGCGGGTGTGGATGTATCGAGATGCATTGCGCTTGTATATTATTGCTACTGGTAGCAGTACATTTGTACACTAATTTCAACAAACAAAACTGACTCCCTTCGCGAATAACCCAAAGCTATGGAGTCTTGTAGGCTTGCCAAAAGACATCACGAGGCCCAAAACATACCTAGGTAGAGCACACGAAGAATGTAACGAAAGCAGGATACGGTATTAAAAAGCGATAGGAATGGAATGATTGTTGGGGAGCACTATGAAACGGTAAGTTATGTTGCTTGACAACTCTACGCTTATTGAGCGGACGTTCGACAATAAGACCTAGTCGCAAGCCTTGATGAGGTCGGCAGCGCGCTCAGCGAGAGCATACGTCGGGACTTGTGTATGCGCGGCGGGGATGAAGGGCTAATCGATCCGATCAGCAACCTATTATGCCTTTCAGACGAGAAGGGTAGACTTACGAAGGCAGAAGCATCGACGACGCGCAGACCTATCACGCCCTTCACAGTCAGGTCGGGGTTCAAGGCTCCGCTGCCCTTGGCAATAGTGTTCGCCTTGCCCATGCCGACCGTACCCGAGACATGATTAACAACGAGAGCGTTCTGGCGAATGAATGACTCGATCTCCGCATCCGTCTGTGCACTCGCAGAATCGCCAAACTCTCCGACAATCCAGCTCTTCCAAGCTGGCGCGCTGAGGAAGCGACGGCCGGCTTTGAGCGCTTCGGTCATAGCGTGAATGTCGAATCCGCCCTTGTCGCTGAGCAGACCTGGGTTGATGATGGGATAGTCAAAGGCGTTCGTGGACCTAAGTGTGATATTCCCACCTACCCACGTGGAGACAGATCATTAGCAACGTTCTAGCAGAGACGACCATGCGGATGCTTACGAGAAACCGGCGTGTACAGGTTGCTGATCAGAGTAAGGAAATGTCCATCCGGTCGCGACCCCCCGGCGAACGCAATGTACAGGTCCTAGAGCAGCTATGAATGAGCGAAGTCTGTGCAGCAGTACGCAAGATCCCTTACCGAAAAGATGAGCTGGTAATGCGGCGCAGTCGGACCAGAGCTTGGGTCCGAGACGGATTTGAAGATGGTGTCATTGGATGGGAGACGCTCCCACGCCCACTGATTGCACGCGCCAAGAGTGAAGTCGCCAGTCTGGGTAGCTTCCCACTGCGCCAGTTGTTCAGTTTGGAACGTGGTGTTCGTGATGAGATTGTCTAGCGTGTCGCTCGAGCTGACTTGAAAGTTTGTAGTCAGCAACGGATGGTCCTGAAGGTTCTGGCCAACATCAGGGAGATCGACGAGGGACTTTATTCCCAGAGACTTCGACTGAGCGACTGGGCCAATACCGGAGAGAAGTACTGAGACCCATCTCATCAGTCATATCGCTAAGAGTCGTGACGTCGATTAGGAGACATACGGATCTGAGGACTACCAATAGCACCGGCGGAGAGGATTACCTCCCTGTTGGCCGTCAGAGAATAGGACTTCCCGCCGGAGCCAGTCTGGAATTGCACGGTGCGCACAACCGGAGTCTTGCCCGAGGTCGTAGTCTGGACTACCTTGGTGACCTGCGCGTTCACGATAACATCGAGGTTGCTCCGTGAGAGCGCCGGCTGGATGTAGTCGCGCGCTGAATCGGAACGAGCGCCGTTTTGTATCTGTTGATCACGCACGGAGGGTCAATGAATGACACACTTGATCAACTATACGAGAAAGGCGCACAGAAAAGGGCGTCCAACCTGTATCATGGATATCATCATATGTCAGCTGTCTGCTGCAATAGGTTATGCGCGGGCAAGACACGTACTGAAGCCGATCATGTTACCAGAGTTCACATCTTGGTTGTATGCGAACTCGGCAGAAAGCTGTTGCTGCGCTTGCAGTCCAATGTTGTCCGTGGCAAGGGTGACCTCTGGTAGACCTGCGCCGAGGGGACCGGTGGTATTGTGGAGCGAGGGGACAAACTTTGTACTGGCACTAACGACCTGAGGCGAATTTGTGAAATCCTCCAACTAATGAACGTAAAACAGTAAGTGGAAAGTTAGCACGAGATGACTACCAGAACAACCGACCTTGAGGAAGTACTTGAACATATTGTTCCAATTCCAGCCACTATCACCCGTTACGGATGCCCACCGGTTGTAATCATCCTCCGCAGCGCGGGTGTAGATCATGTAGTCTGTCTACGTATTGGCGTACGGCTCAACAGTTTCGGTGGGAAGGGAGTGCTCACTGATGGATGTCGACCCGCCGAGGACCTTACCCCGCGCATACCCGATGGAGCGGTCATTAAGCCCCACTTGGGGTGTGGTAGTGTAGTTCCAGTCCTATACCAATGATATTAGAACGATGGCTCATCAACGCGCAATCTCCCCCGCTCACGAAAGTAGACCCGGTCAATGCTGGAGCAAGCCACGGAATGCGAATGTTAGTGTTGTTATAGTCGCTGAAAATTTGATATAACTATGTCCACCATCACAGGAGCGGCCAAAATCGCTCCGTACCTGGAACCAGCCTCAATAAGAAGGACCTTTTTGGTGCTGTCCTCGGACAACCGGTTTGCTAGAACGCCACCAGCAGCACCAGCTGTACCAAAAGAGACAGTAAGTTTCACGCGCACTAAAGCAGATCCCATTCCGAGAAAGACGTACCGCCGACAATGATGTAGTCGTACTTCGTACGCGAGGTCTTCGCAGCAGCGGCATCAGCACTCTGGTAGAGCGTAGCGTATGCTGCCTGAGGTGCAGCTACCGCAAGAAATAGCAGAGCGGCTTGAAGGAAGGAAGGAGTGATCATGGCGGGTGTAATGGCAGCGGATACTGTCGTCGTCGGCTGTCTCGCGTCCTGTGGCCCAGACGTATCGAAGGATAGGAATAAAGAACGACGAAGTCGCAAAGCACGAGGTTATAACAGAGAAAGGAGAAGGGGCGAGAGTGTGGGATGGAGGCCCTCCCCCCTACACTATAAATGGCGAAATGGCAGGCTCTTGGTCCGTCGGAGAGGCATGACAAATTCACTGCACGTCCAGGTGCCGCAACGTCATTTCTGCCCGTCGCCGAGGGACATCAGGAACAGTCCAATTGTCGAATGGGCAGACACAGACCGGAAGCAGGCAAGAGCGGAACCATATTGTAGATAGGCGACCGAGTGGAGGAAAGTTGGAACCGTCAAACGTGGTGTCATCCATCAGTCTAGGTACCTGATGTGCACTGAGATTTGCGAGATTGATGAGGAGAAGACCTGGGATGCCATATACACCCGTTTCGGATGCCATGAGACTTGGTGGATCTACCTGTGATCAATCTTGGATGTGTAGTAAACGGAGAAGCGACTTCAGTGGACGTTTGACTTACTCCTGGTCATCAACGTAATACACAGGTTCATGATCTGGCTGACTTGCTGTTTCGATAGTCAAGGGTAGCGACATGTGCCAGCTGAAGTATAGTGGAAGAAAGATGTTCTCAGTAAGACAAAACCGCAGTGACAGCCGACGAGACGGCTTCTATCAATCCAACCGCGTCGCGTAGGCTGCCATGCCGAGCGTTCATCATGACTATCGTACAAGCGGCAAATTTGTGAGAACGAGAACTACTGTAAGTCCGATAGCAGACTTCAGAATTGGCGGTCTCCACGTTCAATAGTTGCAAATACCGTTGACCATCGCAACGCGCCCGAGCTTCCTACCTACACGAACGTCCGTCCCACACCGTTGCATATGCCGCATGTGTCCTCGTCAAATATCAAGAAGGACGTCTTCCCACTGCCCCCACATCGCCAACAAAGCCGCCCGCCAATCCTCGGATCGCCAGGCGAGTACACAACGACGTTCCCCAACGACGGCGAGCCGCCACTCAGCTCTCCGACCGGACCCCACGATGGCGGTGGGAAGCCGGTCCGCGCTCCTGCCCCGACACCTAGACGGTCAAGGTACGAGGACATTGGCAAAACACCGCCCGCGATGGGCACGACACGCGAAGATGCGCCAGGATAGCCGGCACCAGATGGAACGCGGGACGTGGTTGCGGATCGTGAGAGTTCCTGGGCGGCGGAGGACGGACCTGCCCATGACGCGCTGTGGTTGTGTAGAGATGATTGTGGTGATCGGAAGACAGGCAACGGGCGCTGGTACGTCGACGACGACGACGCTGATGGCCCGTCAGGCCCAGGTGTCCATGGCGCGTACACAATCGCGCCTGCGTAGGGCTTTGCGTACTTATCCCAGCAACGAGAGCATGGGTGGGAGGGGTCGTAATTCTTGTAGCCGGTGTTCCGACCTAATCGCCGAGCCGACAAATAGGTATGGTCAATCATCTCTGGCGAACCGCCGGGCATACATTGCGCTCACATTTCTGACACTCAAACCCATTAGGATAAACCAGTACCTTGCCGTGCCTCAGTAGTGGGTGACCAGGCACAGGACGGTCAGTCGGACGACCGTCGTCAGCCACATCGTTTGAGGACGAGGACGAGTGCAGTGCAGGCGCAAATCCAGGATTTGCCGGCGAGCTGGCCGAAGGGGATGTGGGTGACGCACCAGCACTTCTACTCTGATATTGCGAGCTCGAACCTCCGAACAGCCCGCCGTCATCCGGGCCTGCCGCGTAGAAATCGCGCGCGAAATCCGAAACTGCATTGCTTGGGACGTCCGGAGAAGACAGCGGTCGTAGTCTCGTCGTTTGTGAACGCTGGACAGGATGCTGTGGGGGAGGTGCGAATCCAGAACGATGGACGTTGCCAGGGAAAGAGGACCAGCTGCTGCCGCCGGTAAGCTGCGGCGACGTCATCCCCCATGTTGGAGGAGGGAATTGAGCTTGATGTCGGCTTGGGGTTGCTACTGGTTGTTGGAAGGGCCTTCGCGGGCCGAGCTCGAGAGTAGTCTCGCCCTCACGGACGTTGGGCGTAGCAGTGTAAGCAGGAGGTAGTTCTTCTTTCAGGAGCTCCGCTACAGAGCCCCCTGTTCTCTCGGGAGGAGTCGATGTAGGCGCAACCCTCTCCGGAGGTGGCCCGGGAGGTGGTGCATAGGAGGATGGAGGTGGGACGTCGTCATTTACGGGAGGCGAAGGAAGTGGGGGAGAGGAACGTCCGGTGCGCCCTGTGGGGGTAGGCGTCACCGTGGGAGTGCGGAAGGGATTGTGAATAGCGACCATAGATCTTGAGGGGGTTGTCTGATTCAACTAGAGACACTCAAGGGAGACTGAGGCCCGATGCAAGGAGACGTTGTGTGGACGATAGAACGAGAGAAGAGTCACACACTGGCCGAGGGGCAGAACAGAGCACCTGAGCCGCGGCACAAGAGCCGCCCGGCAGTGCTTCACAAGGAAGTCTCAAGCACTTCTGTCCAATTCATGCAATATTGCGGCTTCACACAAGATGGCTTGCGAGACGACAGCAAGGAGAACAAAAATGGAATAACCAACGACCTACAGCTTCGATGTAGGGTATGCAGGGCACGAGGCGACGCACCGTTCGATACGCGCCACAACGTCGCCCTGAAGCGCAGGCCGACAGTATAGTCCAAGTCAGCCCCCACGAGTCGCAGAGCCATCGTTCAAAGGCATGTCACGCGATCGTATAGAAAGTACAGCAACACTCGCCTCTCGGCGACAAACGACACATACATCGACGCATCGGCACGGCAGGTGTCCGAGAAAGCCGTCGTATCACATCAGGATTACGATTAGTCCTCCTTGCCGCTTAGACTCCTCATGAATTCACCATAAGCGTGCTCAATGTCAAACGACAGCTGCGGTTGTCCGGAACAAAGTCAGTGCTCCGCCGCAGTATGACATGGCCTCCCTGCATCGCCATAGCACTCACCTGCCGAACCTGCTCCTCGGTGAGCTGTTCCGACGCCTTCATTCCATTTAGGGTGATCAGCCTGTATGTGGCGTCCCGCCCAAGTTCACTCAAACGCTCCGGCGCGCTGTTTCAAACGGTGCGAACTCACCATCCAACCATCTTGCTGCGACCTTCCCAGTCCTTGCTCCCCTTGAAGCGTGCATAGCTCGTCACTAGCTCCTGCAGGTGCGGGTGCAGTTGATCCTTGGCGCGCATGCCCAACTTCAAGGCATCGGCAAAGGTGATAAACCACTGAACAGAACAAACACGGAACACATGATGTTAGTAATGAGTCTAAAGTTGGTGGGGTGATTATGCGCGCAGGACAGGCGAGGGAACGGCCACGGTCGATGCCGATTAGGCGTTCGGTGACGCTGCGCGACCTGCGAGCGACATCGGACTAGACTTACTTGTGTCGTTTCTGCCACCCATTTGGACGTCTCAGGCCCGGCCTCGCTAGAATGCTCGACCGTAGCGGGTACTCCCACTTGTATTCGGTATAGCGCGGCTGGGTGATCCATCTATGAAGTATCCACCAAAGAGACATCAGTCTCGAAACCTCACGACTGTGCAGGGTTCACGGCGTGAACTCCATGGACGGAGATTGGAGTGCTCACCCGAAATCTCGACATGAATTGCTCAATTGACGGCACGTCGTCCCCGACGAGCTTCAGCATGGTCTTGTATTGCGACAGTAGTCGCGTGCAAGCTGGAGAATACCTCTTCGGCCGGACCACTCAGCATCCCTCATCTCATCAAATGGAGCCCATCTTTCCTCAGTCTTCATGAAGGAGGCTAGACGGGCTGGAGATGTACTACTCACTCGGCAGCGGTGACCGAATCCCGTACATACGCGCGCTCGAGGTACTCCAGCGCGACAATGATCCCAAACAGAGTAGCCAGAAGTCCGTATTTCTCGCGTTCCGCGTTAGTTGTGTATAGCCGAGCCTCTTCGTCCAGGTTCAGTGGGGTGGAAGACATCGCAGATAATGAGCACCAGGACGAATTGGTGGACTGGGGACAACGTGATAAGCGCTTGTTGACCGGAGCTCGCGAATGCCACGCCGACGGCATCTCCTGCCGATCCTCCAGGTATGATAACTGGCAGTGGAGGATTCCTTTGAGGGTCGACTTCCTCAACATGGTCTATCTTACTACACAGATCATTAACATGCTCGCATCTGTGCCTCAAACGCAGTTGACAACCCGGTGCCTAAAATTATAAGAGCTGAACTACAAGTACGGATTGCACCAATGTGACAGAGATCTAGATGACACTATGGTGATACCAAGACCAGCCCGGCGTAATGACAAGCGGGTCTATGCTAAGAACGGCTCCGGTTCCCTTCAAGAGCTCAGGGGGATGAAGCACGACACTGACCTCTTCATGAGAATGGTGGTATTGCTACAACCTTTTCAGTATGTATAATGTATGGGAGCCGACTCTAAGATTCATTGTCATCAGAATTGTGAGAAAAGGATACAAGGTGTACGGTATTGACACCGCTGTGCGCTACGACGATCAAGACCTAGCTCTCCTTCAGAAGGTCAAAGACAAGGTATCGTTACGCGAAATATTGTCCTAGTTGCTACGACACACATACAAGTTGCCAACAGACTATCGAAACGTTCCCATTATTATGAGGATGGTTGGCCGATATCCGCCTATCTCAAAGGGCACTATCTCAGCTGGAGCTGTCTAGCTAGGGCGATGTACGTACCTCCACATCTGCTATGCGCCATAGTCTCAGTCGTGTTCCCGTGCTTCAAGTCTTTCTGTAGCGTCGGTCGCGCCCATTCGCCGGCTTCGCCCGACCACCTGTACAAGACCCCCGGCACGAGAGTTGCGCCGCAGGAAGGTTTCAGATCCTCGTCTCGTACCTCTTCCCGTCCTACAACCAATCGCGCAAGGGTAGTAGCTACTCCTCGCAAAAATGCCCAGTGTTGGCTTCAGCGAAGTGCCTGGAGAAAGTATAGCTGATCATAGGGCTCACCGAGGCGACGAGCCTGCTACTGAAAGGACTGAGGTAACTATCTATCCTAGTGAACGAGTCAATAGTTGTGCACCAACGTTGTGGCGGTCCACTCGTTACTCCGGCATGCCCAACGGATTGCAAAGCTGTTCGCCACGCTTGGCGTCAAGGACATGCTGTACCTCCGCGTCCTGTCTCGCATGTCGTCGCGCAACGAATGGCTTCGCGAGTTGCGCAACAACGGAGAGTGAAGCGAAATTCAATTGCGGATCCTTGTCGACATGCTCGACGACGTAGCTGAGGAATGAGGAAGATGGGGAGTTCAGCCGTGCAGCGCCGCCACAGGGACTCCGGAACGTATCCGAGCGCAAAGAGCAAATGGGATACACATGTGAGAACGTTGGCAGCAGATGATGCATGTGTATGAGTACTTCCGAGGCGGTACAAGTTGTAGTATGTCACTTGCCCCGTCCTTCTGTCCTGCTATGAATGTTAGGGTTTCTCGAAAGGCTAAGTAGCGCTGAAAACAAAAACGCCTGGAGGCAGTGCATCTCATCAGCGCAGTAAGATGACGTAAGGGGACACATTTAGCGCTCATCGTTGCCTCGCTTAAAGATCGAGTGCATGTTCGTTTTTCATGTTTCATTCATCTTACACTCTGAGCCACTCATGCAACTCAGTCATGCTTCCTCGCAAGAAAATGAAACTGAGCGATGGCAAGGCTGGCGACTGCACCAAACAGACGAGCATCAGCGACCCTGTGGTTACAACCGATCCAGAAGCAGGAGCATCGCGCAAGTTCAGGATGCGCAAAGGATGTCTGAAAGACATACCCAGCTTTGCGGTGGAACTTCAACTTGAGGTTAGTTGTGCCTACTCTTAAGCCTTAAAGTGCTCTGAACCATCTCACGACGACTCAAATTTCAGATCTTCGGTTACCTACAACCACAGGATCTCTTCAATCTCTCGCGAACGTGCAAGGCCTTTCATTCGTTCTTCTTGCATCGTAGCAATGAACGTCTTTGGGAAGCCTCCCTAAAGAACGACGAGGACCTGCCTCCGAGACCGCCATGGATCAGTATACCGGCATTCATTCATTTGCTCTACTCACCCTATTGCCACGTGCGCCACCATCATCACCACCTTCGCCTATCTACACTGACGTTTCATGCCGCTTACAGAATTGCGCTGGCCCCAACGTTCGCAAAGCTGCTTGGCTGTGGTTTGCTCGGTATTGTTCCCACTGTCTGCCACAGGTGTGAGTGGCAGGTTCGACACAGGCTTCTGGAAATCGCAGCCGTGGCTTATTCCTCCCTTCCAGGTCTTGCTCCGCTCAAACCGTACACGAAAAGCTTCAGCGCGCGGACACCGTTTTGCAGGAGCAGTTCAGGTACCAGCCTGAGTGCTTCTTGCACGGAATCGACGAGGAGCGTCCGAAGGTCCCACAGTAAGTCGCATTCTATTCGGTACCCGGAAGCGTAGTTACTTATCGAGAACGTCTATTCATCTATAGGCGAGGCGGTTACAATTACAATTATCATCGTCAGCAGCAGAAGCGATACTTTTCTCGACACGTGGACCAGTTGATCGACAAGTGGAAAGCCTTACCCGAGCGCAAGGACCGTGATGTCCTGAAGGCTTTCCTCTCCGAACGGAGTGCTGAGCTTCGTGTGCAGGAGAGGGTGAGTGACCTTACAGGGCGTTGAACTGCCACACTGTGATCTCATGGTATATGTAGTACGCTCGGGATTGTGAGAAGTGGTACGAAGAGCGAAGGCAGGATCGGAAGGACGAACTTCAGGACGTACGAGAACAGCGGTTTGACGCGTAAGCGGCCTTCTCTGTCCCCAATAGTGTTCATTGTTTGGACCACTTTCTGTTCTCAGGATTCTCAGACTACTCGAAGAGACGGGTTGGAAGAAGGAGCTAGACTATCTCGGCGAAGACGGACTCCAGAAAATGTCTCGTTTACCGGTAGTCAGGCAGTCTACGAAGCTTACGGACAAGGGTATACCTCTGAGTCACACCATTATATCGCATGTGATGCTAATAGTCCCGCAGGATGGGAAAAGGTGCAAGATGCACTCGACGACTTTTTGAACGACACCCGTGCTCAACGGCTGAAGGAAGAGAAGGACCGGATCGTCAAGGAACGCTTCGCTGAACTGGATGCCGCCATTGTCGCATACTGCGTCACGCTCCCGCGCAACGCAACGATGAACTGCCGCCCGCTGGCGTTTGACCTTGCGCCCATGAAAGAGCTGGAACGCCTCGCTAACGCCCCAGTCTCGAAGAACGTTACACGGGAGAGCTTCGCGTCCATCGTCCCGAAGCTCGTTGACAAGTGGTTTGCGAAGCAAAAGGCCGATTTCGAATCACTCCTTCGCCCTCTCGTCAAGTGCGACCGTGTCCCTCTGGGTGTGGACATTCTGGATCTTGCAATCGCCGTTTTCTACTTGGGGGGTTCCAACGAACCCCCCTCGTCGAGGCTTCGTTACCCTTATATCCTCGCTCAGTCGCAGTTCCGGTGGTCCTATGGCAGCGAGGACTTGCCTTCTGGCCACTATGCCCGACATGTAGCTGATCGTTATAATATACCCTTCACGGTCAGCGTGATCGATAAGAACAAGGTTGAGCGGGGCATCAAGTGGATGCGATCCATACTCACGGCGCTGGGCCTCGATCCCGACCGGACTACATTCGCCGAGCTGGAGAAGTGCGAAGGACGACTTCGGTGCGCGAAGTGCAAGTCCGACAGGCGTCCGGACGTCGTCTATGCCTGGGAAGCCGCGGTGAGTGCATCCCCCAATACGCACCCACCGTGTTGCGAAAATGTTCACTAAGACGGGTGTCACAGTTCGTGCATACGGCGTCGAGCAACTCAGGAAAGAAGACGTCTTACCATAACCGCTGGGTCCGGGTTAAAGCAGCGGATATGGCTCGCGTGAAGGAGCTCGAGGCGACCGCGCATGAAATGTCGTTTAACAGGGAACGCTCGGCTTGGTGCTGCAGCCTTTGTCTTGAGGATTGGTGGTCAGGGAAGGGAAACGAGATTCCCCAGCATCTTGCGCAACAGTCAGTTCTCCTTGGCGCTCATGCACTAGTGCAAACGTCACTCACCAAAACGCAGGCATCAGATTGAAGACTGTCGTCGTGCCATCGAGGATGGTACTGTCTACCTCAATCCCAAGTGCTATGCACTCAGGAAGCCGCCTGTCACCTTACCTCCGTAATCAGGCGACACGTCTACTGGCTCAAGTACCCTTGAACGCTATCAAGACCCGGTGGCATCGAGTCGAGTCATCTCCCAGATGAGCATTGCAACGATCGGTAGTTCTACATACATGTGACTTCTCCGAAAATTCTTCCAAGTACATTCCTATGTCATGTCAGCGTAACGATTGTGCATCGATATCCGGGTTAGGACTGTGCGGCCTTGATGGCATCGACAAAGGCTTCGATGTCGGAGGGCAAAGTGTCGTATGGGTTCTGGCCGTTCGCTTGGGTGTCATCGGTGACCCAGAATGCCCCAACCTCGTCAGTAGTGACCAGCTGAGAAATCAGGCTCGTCGGGGGTGTGGACGGCCCGTCGGTCAGCACAATTGCCTGCTTTGAGGCCGGCGTAGATGATCCAAGTGAAAGCTGGCTGGGGCTGCATTGAATTGGTATTGCATGGGGATGAGACAAGAGGTGAACCGGACGCAGATGAAGGTCATTCTCACCTGAAATCGTCGAAGAAATTCTCTGCAGTGAGCAAGATGTCCGCTAGACTATAGTACGCGGTGTCCGACACGGCAGTGCCGGGATTCAGCGCGATCTACATCATGTCAGTCAGTATCCGAACTCGGACTCTTGACCGTAGCCATGGCACGTAAGAAGTCAAATGTTTTCCGTGCATGCGAGACGAAGCTCTGGTACGTGCTGAAGTCGGCCGCGGTGCCGGAAACTTGGTCAAAGAAGATGCCATCCACCCTGTATGCCGCATCCCAGCCAGCATATGTGTTGACGTCTTGGGTGACGCCAGATACCTTGCTGGAGTCGGCGTCCCAGGATGCCACATATCCAAGCACGATGACGTTGTCGGACGCGGCCTGCAGGATTGGGATGCACTGCTGGTATTCTGCCCCGGGCTGAGTGTTTGCTCTTCCGGGTCCGCTGTCCGGGTTGATGATGGCGTAGAAGGGCATACGAGGGTGGGCTTCTATGCTGTGGTACCGAGGTTGTGAGCACACAAGAGTTTCCCCAAATTATGACCTCACAGAGAACGAACCTGTTCAGAAGAGAGGCCCAGCCGGAGCATTGGGGCCCACCCACAGGGTCAATGTACAGCGGGATCAGGACCCCGGAGGCAAGGGCAGTAGCGGTGGCGGCGGCAGCACCAGGGAGATGCATGTGTTCTGTTGTACAGTGTGAAACGAAAGGTTACGTGTCGTGCGAGAGAACAGGACACACAGCCCGACTTTCGAGGCCTTGAAAGAGCTCCGGGCAACAGCAGACGGGTGAACGCCTGCTTTATATGCAAGACATTAGAGTTCAGTGTCACCGTAAGACTGGCGACATACTGGTGAGGTCTTGTGCGACTAACCTATTCCTGGCGTTTCAGGAGGTTCCTATCATGACAGGCAGCTTCGTGCGCGTCTCATAACTGACTGCACCTTCAAGTTGAAGTCTCGTGTCTATGCTCGGCGAAATTAGGGGGACGATGAGAGTGGCTCATTGTGCGGTCAACAATATTGATCACTCGCCATACAATAGCTACTCGATGGTGTCGCTTGACTCGGATCCGGACTGAGACTCTGCAGAGAATGGTACAACAAGTAGTACAAGAACAGGCTCGAACTTTTGCATGACATCATCCTCCTCCTCAAGCGCCCGATCACAGTTTGCCGACATACCTCCGGCATCTGCCACCCAGCTGGCAGTGATGGACCTGTTGCAATAAGTATCGATTTCTCAGGTTCTTTCACCTCATGAAACCTCCGAGCTCACCGCCCCTAGCTACTACAGTCTATGATGTCAGGACTATCTCAATTGATCAGCAACCAACAGCTACGTCCGTATGATCTCGTCAGTCAACCTACAGCGTCGAAACTGCCCCGTGGGTCGTTGACACTTGCCAAATTTTGTTCAACATCGCTCAGTGGAGGTAGGCCCCCGTGTATCGAGCTGTGTACAATACCAAGCAGTTGGTGCGTTCGTCTGGACCGGCGTTTCCTTTATTCGTCAATCTACCTGTGCCTTCGCGCATGCCCATCAAGGGAACCTGGATTCAGAATGGCATGTATGAGATGATATACGGCAATCGTCATACCAGAGAAGACACCCGGGCTTCACAACCTGCCAACGCGTCAGGCGAGGCCGCCTCGCATGCCGTAAATCCGCTCGCATCGCCGCTGCAGGGTCAATTCAAAAGCGTAAGCCTCAACGTCCCCGTGACTCGAGCGTCTTCTCTCGGACGACGATCTACTATGTCTCTGATACAGCGGCACAACGCTACTTCCAACAGTAAGCCGGGACACAGTACGATGCACGAGAGAGAATCATACTTACCAGTGCGCTGAACTCAAGAGGCTGAGAAAATTCCCGCTCCTCGTATGATACAGTATCGTAACCTGTATGATGTGGGGGATGATAGACCCTCTCTCCAAAGCGAGATGAGGTTCGTGGGCCATCCTCATTTGTTTCATGATATCTTAGTAGGTTCGAATAATTTCACACGACTCTTACAGTGTATGACTGACCTTTCCACAGAGCACCATACGTGAGATTTGGCGAGAGCATGGAGTTGACTATAGTGTTCCATACAGACAGCAGGATGGGGAGATCATGGAGGAAGTTCAGGAACACGTACGTCCTACTCCGTTATGGCATGACCGCTGATTTACCGAGAACGTCATATATCAGGCGTTCCGTGTTATGCCCTGCCTCCGTGATAAGTACGAGGGAGGATGGCCTGTGGATGTCTACCTACGGACGGCTCTCAAGCCCCACGGGCGGGGTATGACCCCAGTCCAGCAGAGAAAATGCAACCAGGTAAGAATCTATGTCTCTTGACACTCTTCGTCCGCCAAACTGGTGTTATGCCATTCATGCACAGGCATCGTACAAGTACCACGGAAAGCCTATAGTAATTGCCAGTACGGAGCTGAGAGAGAATCTTAGGGTGTGCTCTGATTCAGTGGTGTGTCTTCGAGGCCCTACTCGCTACTACTCGGGCTCGGAATACTCGGACTCGGAAGACGACGCAAGGCTATCAGACCATATCCAACAAGGTTGCGATGCAACACCTCCGTCGGGACTGGACCCTCATGTCTACCGGTACAACGAAAGCTCAGTGACCATGTCGAGCAACACCAACGCACCGTCTAGCTCTTCCCCGTCTCCATCCCGCTCTTCTACTAGGCCCGCCGCGTCCGCCTCTCGCACCGCCTCCTGGTCCGACTCGCGATTCGGGAGCATGCCCTCTCAACGGCGCTTGGCGCCCCCACCTCTCGACCAGCCGCTCGTCGGGCTCCTCCGCGCATATGCCCTTCCGCCGCAAGACGTAGAGCACCTGGTCGGTCTCTTGGCCTCCCTCAGCGTCTCAGACATGGACTATCTGCGCCTCCTCTCCCGGATGGCCTCCACCGACAGTTGGTTGCGTGAGATGCGGGAGCAGGGACAGCTCAGTGAGATTCAGCTGCGCCTCCTGCGCGAGATACTGGAGCGCGTCGCTGACTCCGAGTGAGGAACGTGTCTGCTTCAGACGTGCATATAGGGCATTGCAGCTTATGCGTGCAGGGAGTGACAAAGACAATCGTGCGCTGAGAAGTTGAGCAATGTAAGGATGGTCAAAGGTCACATAATATGGTATGCCAGGAGAGGCGTGTATTCGAGCGGTAACTGGTGATCTGTGACACAACGAGCGATACGTGTCAAAACGTAGAGTACAAGAGAACCGCCGGTCTCTAGTCCAGCCAAGTAGAACACCCTTTTCACATAGAAGACAAATGTCCGTGCCTCGTTCGAAACACTAAAGGCTATCGGACCACCCAGAGCCGCTGTGTGCCTGCTTTCGACCCGAACCAGCAGTCAACCTCGCCGGACCGGCTGCGTCAGGGGGACCGGCTGTGACAGGCTCCCGCTAGCGGGTTCCAAGCACGTATGTGTGGTTGTGCGCCCCCTAAGCAATCCGCCGGACGACTCCTCCCATTCTTCCGTTATAACGCAAGGTGTCGGTCCAGGGACGTGCCAACGAAGCGGCACCAGCATGGGCCGCGGCTCCGCGTTGAAGTGCGCCGCAAGCGTGAAGGTGGTCGAGGCGTGGGTTCCTTGTGGGGCGTCGCGATCCAGCTGCAGCTCCAGGAACGGATGCGCGCGGGGTCCGGAGCTGTCCTTGAACGAGAACTCCTGCGAGGTGAACGTGTCCTGGAAGGTCGGGATGGGGCCCTCGCGGTGACACGGCTGCCTCCAGTCGTGGGCGACGGGGACGTAGTTGCCATCAGGGTCGAAAGCGTCTCCCGAGATCGTGATGGGCACGGCCTTGGAGCGATACGTGGACAGCGGGAAGGTGACGGTTACGGTGAGGGAGAGAGCGAGGGACTTCATAGTCTGCTCCGTGCCTGGTGTCTTGGACCCCGATCGCGGTACTTCCCGCGAGCAGGGGCATGGAAAGATGGAGATGGAGATCGAGCATCGCCGACGATGGAAGGCAAAAGTGTGGACATCCAGAAGGTAAGCGCTGCGAGCGGCCCTGGAGTAGGACACACCATATCCTTCCCGTTTCAGCTCGCTTTCGGAACGCGGATCCAATCTGATCCCGCAGTACGTACCCGGACCCCCACAAATGGCTGGTTGCGTAGTTGCAAGGTGGTCGGTATCCGCAATTCGCAAACCCCCCGATGGGTGCAGCAGTATAGGGGGTATGATCTCTCTAGTGAAGCCAGGCTGGAGACCGCGAGAGATGTGTACCTCCACCAGTCGTGGATGTTCAGAGGGAGTAAGGTTGATGTGTATATCAGCATGTGTAAGTCGGATACGGCCTAGTCGAGGGAAGGGTCTGATTCGAGGGCGGGATGCGGTCACGAAGTCCGCAGGGCTGATGTTACGGTCGATACCGGCGATGCTGATGGGCACCAGTATGCCGTCAAAATCACCCTTGAGCATCAGGCACATGGTGCGGCCAACACCACGACCATACTGGCAGGCTAAGATAGCAAGATGAAAGTGTACAGTGATCGAGATGATGGGGAGGACAGTACGGATGCCGTAGGATGTCATGCTATGTGTAGCAGGGGGAATGCGCAGTTGTAGTCGCCTCGACAGTTCTTCACGTGATATGGCATGAATGTTCCCTGAGGATAGGAACCAGGCAGGGGATAGTGCGAAGAGACTGGCCTGATGAAAAGTCTGAGAATGTGGGTGCAGGGACAGGGGGAGGTGGAGGTTCCAGGCAAAGATTGACTGGTCGGGAATACGAGCGAGGATCTCTTCTTGCAATCGAATGAACGCACGATCGCCTTCCCCATAGATGGGCGCGATATTGACGCCAAAGATACCAAGGAGAGAGTACGCTTCGTCCTCTTTGCGCGTGGTAACTCTCCGAGCTGCCCAGGACATCCGCCGCGCAACGCTCACCGAGTGGAGAGGGCGTGAATGTCGTAGGATGTCTCCATCAATCCCGGTGATCTCCTCGATAATGCCGGATAGGGCTGATTTGTCGCCTATGGTGCGCCATTCCGCTGAGACGAAGATGACGCGGCGGGGAGCGATAAGCTCTTGCAGCGTCCAGCCACGGGTGAACCAAACACTTTGGCGGAACCGGGAGAGCACCGCACTCCGGGGTTGCATCATCGGAACGTCATGGAGGAACGCGAAGCAGACGGTCGCTTTGCTATACCAGGCGTACATCGAATTGATCGCTTCGGAGAGCTCTGCGCTGCTCGTCTTGTCCATACAGCAAGAGTCGATCCAGATGAAATCGAATCCTTCTGCGAGAGCGTAAGCGCATGCACCTCGTATTTTGGGCGACATTCGGTCCAAGGGAGTGCTCTTCGGGAGGGTAGGGTCAGCTTCTTGCGCGGCACTGACTTCGGCGTGAATGCGCTCGAGGTCCTGCAAAGACTGCTCGCCGTCTTCAGACCAGACGTGGGAAAGAATTGCATAGCGAACATCTTCAGGAGATCTGACTTGGACTAGTTCTCCGGTAAGCGTTGCAAGCAGCCGCATACCGAGCTGTAATAAGGACTCCAAGTCAGTCGATGACGGGGACGGCCCGGGGCGGTGAGGCTATTGTGACGAACCGTTGTCTTGGAAAAGACGGGTTGACGACTGTGCCCGCCCTCGATTCCCTTGGAGAGGAAATCGTCACGACTCTCTGGCCTCAGAGCGATTCATTGGGTACATCTGGTGGGTTTTTTTTCAAGGTCTTTGAGGGCCTTTGAGGGGGTTTATCATGCACTTTTGCTGATGGTAGCGACCGCGGCCTCGAGCATGTGTACAAGACTTCGGTGATATTTTGCACTCCGACCTAGTGCTGTATAGTACCAGTACCGACGCAGACGCGCGGTGCATCTGGGTGTTGACAGCGCTTGGAAGTGGGTGATAGCATTGCACAGTGAGCACAGGCTGGGACAGACGATGCGATGACATCGCCAGAGGGACAATATTGGGCTGACATTGCCCAGGCCTCGCGATGCAGTAACCACGAAACCAGTTATTTTGGCGTTTGCCATTATCTGATCATGGGCTTGAAAGTTGATTACTAAGGCGTCGATTATTAGCTCCGTGGCCATGGGGCCGATTTCAAAAGGAATTCTGTGATGCGTCCTCTATAGCATGGTCACACTCAAAGTCTTGTGCCAGCTTCGTTCCACTACCGGCGGGCATAGAGGATCCATATATTGTCAATTACGGCTCCAATACGGCGCTTCAAAGCATTCGAGGCCATTCGAGCCAATTGAAGCCAATCGCTACGAGCGGTTGACTGGGTTGGCTCGAATGGCCACAGTTGCCTATGGATAAATTCAACAATAAGTGAGCCATTCAATGTTTCAAGAGGGATCAATTGGTCACACAGTACACAATTGTATGTATTGCGCGCGAGTGGAAGTCGACGAAGTGCAGGGAAACACCCCAATGGGTCCACGAGTTTGGACCACATTGGTTGACATATACTTGGAGGTACACACACACATATGTTCTGGGCGAAAATCGTATAAATTAATATTAGTATATAATTGGGGCCACGGAGACCGTTGCGCCGATGCATGGTCGCATAAAGCACGTGAAGCAACATGCATTCATAGCGGAACAAGTAGCATACATGCGCAAGAAATGTACAAGGAGCAGAAAAACATGCGTTACCACCTGAATCGGTTATGCGGAAATTCCGTCCGAACCTGAGACACGCGCGTCCAAAGTCGAGCCTTGAGTGTCGAAAGCCGCCGAACCTTCCGTAGCCTCCAGAGCGCTTTGAAGTGTCCACCCCGAGCCAATGTCGTCGTCGTCAGCAGCATAGGAAACCCCTTCGGATGGTGGGCGTTCGTTGTCCTTATCTGGCTGGAGTGTCGCCTCCAACCTCTCTAATAGTTGAGCTCGGCGCATGGCTACAGCCCGCTCCCAGATGTTAGGCTCGCTGTCTTGACCAGAGGGGGGGGTGTCGTCATCGTAAAGCGATTGATTCCTTTGTTCGATGCGCTTGAGGCGCAGCTTGTCATCACCATATGCATTGCCAAATATCCAGCTGTACACGAAAAGAGTGAGAGAAGGCAAGGCAGAGTACGAGCACCACAAACTGATTATAGAAAGCAAATACATTCTCTTCGACAACCTCTTCCTCCGTAACTGGCACGGGATGATAGTCGTCCGCGGATCCTTCGTGGGCTTCAGATTCGACGCCCAGAAACTCCAAGAGATCGCCGTGAAGTCTCTTTCCAGAGCCATCGGCGTCGTCGCCATCCCATTCAGGCTTGCTGCTTAAAAGAAACCGTAGCTGCGAAAATGTGGCTAGGGTGAAGTGGGACCGAAGGAGGTATGATGGCGGACATACTAGGATAGCCACATAGGCGAGGACAGCGGCAGATGCACAGTGGACATGATATTTTCTTGCCAGCGAGGATCGACCGGTACCACGACACCCAGCCGGGCGATCCGCGGCAGTTGCTCCCATGAGGAGAGTACGTACACACTAGATATTAGCGGGAGTACGGTGAGTCAGCTCGAGAGGCACGACACGTCAACACTTACCTTAAGAACAATGGTTGACTTGAAAATTCCGCGGGCGGGGTCTTCGGCTCGGTACTGGAGGATGTCAGGGAACAAGAAAGAAGGGAACGTCGAATTGTCGTCGGTAGCAGGATTGTCTTGCAGACGCCGATTTTTTACAGCCGGTGTCTCTGCAAGCCTTCTCGTGCGATATCTAAGGGCGCAGGTCAGCGGAAACAGACATTGCAAGGAAATTAGGAAAACGGAGATACAAATCGGGTGCACGATCAAAATCGTCTCGCTCGTTGATGTTGACAAGTAGGCGTGCAGTATAGGTTGAATAGAAGCCACCGTTGCGCTCCCTGAGGGAATATTCTGAGGGCGTTAGGGGGGGGATTTTCTGTCCTGGAAGGTCGACGGCTTCGAAGAATCTTGGGAGTTCGACCTTGAGGGTCCGAATATCTGTGGCTCGGGCCGCTCGCGCGTGGAAATCGAGCTAAGAGGTTAGTAAGTGATAAACTCGGGGCTGTGAAGACAAAGATTAGATCCGACTAGAGTCGAAGCAAGATCTTCAGTCAGTAAGGAAAGACTATATTGCAGCAACGAACTGTACCTAGAGTCGAAGCAAGACTACAAAGTTTAAGTAAGTAACTACAAGTTAGAGGTAAAGATAACGAAGTACTCACTCTTCAGTCAGTAAGGAAAGACTGAAGAGGGAGGACGCAATCTGAAGTCCTTATATACTACAGAGAAGTGTCCATGACTAATCGAAGAGTGGTTAGTCACATGTACCATAGTGCGATGAATAATACGATGGTGAAAGAATTGCGAC